AGTGTTGTCAAACATCCTCGCTTGGGACGGTGACACCATCTTCGACATTGACCAGGTCCCTGCATCGATTGTAGATGCTGTCAAGACTTTGATTGGTGAATACCTATCCTGCAAGAACGACAAGGAGTTTCGAACCTTCTTCTCGGCAAGTGTTAACAACCCAGGCATTGCGTGTATCTGGACAAGGGCCACACATAGCGGTAAACAAAGGCTGAACCAGTATCATGCCTGCCAGCATTGTGTTACTCTTAGACGTCCATGCCCGATCAGGATTAGAGGCAAAGACCTTCGCCCTCACCTCGCACCCCTCCCGAATGATGTTCGCCCTGATGATGCTACGAGGGATGAAGCAGCTTTCTGGGTCTTGCCTGAAGATTCCACTGCATGAGGAACCTGGTTTCCACCTTTGTCTTCCCTTCTGCAACCCTCCGAGAACATCCACTTCTGTGCATGTTATCCTCCTGACTCGATTCAGACATCCTTCACAGTCCATGCTTCTCTTGAAACATCCACTGTGACCTGCTTCATCCTCGCATCACTCACAGTTCATGATTCTGTTCAGAAACATCCACTGTGACCCATGTTTTTTCTTTTTCTGTTTCCTCTTTCGTTTTTCAGCACATCTCCTGTCTTCAATACATCAGCCACAGCCCATGTATTCCCCTTCACCAGGTAGTCAGTAAATGCATCATCTTTTAACTCCGCATCTCATTCTTCACACCGTAATCATCAGAGTAGGTACTCTAACAAGTAGTTCATCCTTGACAATCTCAAGCTGCGAGGACCAGCCTCTTCCATTGAATCACGTCATAGCACTATCCACCCTTTCGACGAGCAGGTCCTGGCCTTGATCGAAGAGCCATGCCGCCTCTCAAGGTCCTCCGACAATGGCCAGTGTTGCGGCTTCTCGGGCTTCTCGGATGCAACAGTACTTTGCAATGTATCACCTACATCGAGACTGGATCACTACATGAGATCGACACCGCATCCTACCCTGGTTAACCTGGCAAGCTCCTGATGTTTGCTTCTGGCACTGTGTCTCTTTCTTCGTAGTTGCTGCTTCCGCTGATTCTTTGTCCAGGCTCTAGCTTTTGGCTATTATTGTCAGCAAACATCTCACGTCTATCGATTCTTTCTTCAGTCCAGAGTATGTTTGAAAATCAAGAAAATGCTTTCGTTTTGTCATGTCTTCCTTTGCCTGGCAAACACGACACCATCTCCATCAAAGCCATGTTCAAACATCCGTCCTTTGATTTGCGTTCGATCTTTTCTCTTACCCAAGCCTTGTACCGAGCTCTGATAAAACCACTCTCTCGTCATCCAAACCCCCATCTTGACTCCATCACGACTCCATCACTCAAGCATCATGTCGTTCGACACCCTCGTCTGGCCAGAATCTCCACAGAAACCCAAACAAGCCATCGAAGATGCCCTCGCAAGACTGATCGATAATCCAAAAGTTTCAACATCAGAACTCGTACTCAACCAGATGCGTCGCTCGACCATGAGGTTCCAACAAATCGTTCCCTATGCCTATCGCCTCACGGATCTCTGGGCCAAGTCTCAAGACGTGACACCTCAAGAACTCGTCGAGGTCAGAGACCGCTTGCTCTCCGACGCCTCCAAACTGAATCTTCTGGTCATCGAACAAGTCCAACTCGGCAGAAAGGGCAGAATCATACAATCGGAACTGGACACTGCCTGGAATGCTGCTGCAGTCAACGCCTCGGTCGCTAGAGAGCTGTATCACGAACTTGAAATGAGAACAAGCCAGCTCGCCACTCTGGAACACGATCAAGAAGTCATCCAGCTGCTCACAGCACAACATCAAGAACGCATGGACCAGATTACTCTTCTCATCAACAAGAGAGTGGGTTCGGCTGGATTGGTATGTTGTGCTGTTAATCATGACTTTACCAGCTGACTAACTTGTTGATAGCTTTCTGAGGGCCTCGATTAGCAGTAATGAGGTCAAGCGAAGGATGCGGCTAGAAGACACGCCTATTGACTTGTTAGGGAAGGAGATACTCGGAGACACGTGAGTGATAGATGAAGAGCTTGTCACAGAGGCATTGAAGTCGTGTTCGGTATTCATTGTCACAGAGTGATATTCGCTTCTTTCTCCAAACGAGGGAAGGGTGATTGTGGTCCTTATGGTTAACGATGCCATCTTATCTACAATAAACATCCGTGAGGACCATAACATCATGCGGACTTTATGCTGTTTTCTTAGGGCGTAGGTCCGTGCATGATCACAAGTTATGCAATGCTTGTGCTGCTGCTCTTCCCATTCTCATCACATACTTATAGTAAGATTTCGAAAGTGTCAAAACATGCTTCGCTTTGCTTTACTCGTTGCTAACATCAAAATCTAAGCCTATCCAGCTGCTACATGCCATACGATACAGTACAACAGGTGGTCTAAGACGTCCAGGAGCCAGATGTCCAAGATGACCCCTCTCATCCCAAATCCCCTTCTTCTTACCTCTCCCCTCGCCATTCTAAAGCTTGGCCTTGGTCTCAATGGTAGGAAGCATGAGCTCCTTCATCTCTTCTGCGGCTTCGTTGATGTAATGGCTCATGCGCTCGGATCCTAGCTTCTTGGACACAATGTTGAACTGCAGACTGTTCTCGTTGATCATGTAGGCAATACCCCAGCCCTCGTCGACGACTTGGCTCCAGCCGTAGCCGTTGAAGTATTCCGAGGACAGTTGCGATGAGGAGATGAACCATGTAGATGAGTAGGAAAAGGCAGGGTCGCTGAAGATGGAGGGCAATTGTTCGCCTTCCTTGAGCAGTTTCTTGAGACCGAAAAGGTGGCGGTCAACACCCTTACCATCCGATGCGTCGCTGATGTAGGCAACGTGCTGTTTGATGGCGGATTGCAACTTTTGTCTGCACTCATCGGGGGTAGCTTCAGGGTTGGCCATGGCGTCGGTGAATGCAACAGACTCTTCACTGACGGTGCGGCAAGTCTCGGTACGTCCTTGTTGGAAGCGACGGGTAGCGGCGGATTCATAGGTGGGTCTGTTCTTGCCGTAGAACTTGTGGTAGGCGAGCTGAATGATCATCTGCACGTATGCGTCGGGACTGCACTTGAACTTCTTGATCAGACCCTTTCCATAGCCTTGGTATGCTTGTACCTTGAGCTCGTGCTCGCCAATGACCTTTGTAAAGTGCGACTGAGCGCGGCCAATATCTTCGAGGTTGGAGGGAGAGAGGTCGAAGCGAATGGGAGTGGGTTCGGGGAGATTGCTGCGGACTGACGGGTTGTCATAGTCGAGCTTGTTGTTGAAGATGAGCATGTTGATGTAGTCGTTGAGGCGGTGGGTGGGTGTGCCGTCCATCATGCTGTGCTCACCCATGAAACCTGAAGTTCCATTGTCGTTGACGATGAATTGGAGCGGCTTGTCGAAAAAGCGGTTCGCACCGTTGCCGTGCCAGTATTGGTGAGCGCGCTCTTCGAGTGTCACGGGTCTTGCCTCGTCCAAGCAGACGACAAAGGATGATGCCTCGATGGTTTGGAGAGCGGCCTCGTTGGAGGGGTTTTGAGCAATCAAGGCGTCGCGCATCTATCACGGTCAGTATACAACTTCTATGAGTCTCTCCTTCATAGCACATACCTCAGTCCAGGTGTCTCTGTTCTCGGTAGTCATGACACCAACAGCAGGAGTGTCCTCGGCAAGTTGATAGATGCGCAGGAACTGCTGCTCCAACTCGGCGGTGGTGAGCTCCTTACCATTGACCTCATGCATGACCTTGAAGAACTGGTTCTTGCGGACGACGGTAATGTACTTGTGGTCGTTGGGAGCGTATTGCTTGGGGTAGTCGGCAGGCTTAGCGGGGATACGGCAGCAGTTGAACATGAACTCGTAACTGCTCATGGCAATGGGCAGCTTCTTCATATACTCTGGCTCAAGAGTGCCTTCAACGACCTGCTTCCTGAAGTCGAGGACAGACGAGGCGATGGCGGCGGCTCTCTTTGCGGGGTTTCTTCTCTTGCGGTCGTCACGGTGGCTGTAGAAGTAGGAGACGTAGGGCACGACGGGATCACGGTAGGCGAGGTATGCAGCATCGTTCCACCACTCATAGATCCAGTTCTTGTGTTTGGGGTCCTCCCTTCTTGCAAGCAGGCGCTTCTGCAGCGTCTGGCCGAGACTGTCGGGAGCGAGGAAGTCGTTGACGGCCTTTTCTGTTTTTGCGTATTCTTGCTTGCTCAGAAGAGGGTGCACCGATCTGAGGTAACGCTTTGCTGTCTCTTCCAGGGTAGGAACGGGGAGACGTGGCAGCGACTCCTCGAAGCGAAGCATGGGCCCCTTGGATGTATCCTCTTTGTAGCCNTGCGTGGACAGTTAGAACACTCCTGATTGTTGCAGATCGAGATGCACACCTTCGGGCAACGAACTGCTCTTGCGGGCTGGCGCCATTCTAGTCGTCGCAATAGTCGAGGGGATGGTAAGGCGTGGACGGGTCAGCGGGGAGGAGAGGATGCGGCTTCGAAGACCAAACATCCCAAGCGTCGTGTGAGAGGGTGTGTAGGGAAAGAGAAGGAGTCAAGAATGCGCAAAAGAAAACAAGGACTACCGTCACACCGTGTACAAATATCCTGCTGCTACGTAGTTGCAACAGATGCCGAAGGTCCTCGGTCGAGGGTAAAGAGCTTCCCCAGAATTCTGCATGGGCCGAGGTTCGTCACTCCGCCTTCCCCAGCGAGCGTGTGCCCGTCATGATACAGAACGCTTATTCACGACACGCTCGGCTCGCTTTCTATGCGAGCTCTTGTCTGTTCGCTACACTTTTCTAACCGTTCTGTACACGACCATCGGGCCACCTACAGCCGAGTCTGAGCTAACATGGGCCACCGGATCCATTCTCGGCCAACTGACCAACACCATGTGATAATCTGATAGACACATAGATTTCAATATGTATATACCACTTTGCTACTAATACACATGATCATGACCATCTGAGGCATCTCGTATTCAAGAGCTCATCATTTAAGCGTTCTCCTTGGCGAACTTGACACCCTTCTCAATGTTACCCTTGAGGTCCTTGAGACAGGCGTCGAGGAGCTTCTGCTCGTAGTCGGTGATCTGACCAACGGGGTGAATCTTCTCAACACCGTTGGGGCCGAGCTCGACCTGCGAGGCGAAGAAGTCAACACCCTGGTCCTTGTAGAGGGGAGAGTCGACAAAGGTGGGCTCAATGACACCCTTCTCGCCCTGAGCGGCCTTGAGGAGCGACTCGGCGAAACGGGCACCGGCCATGGCCATGGAAAGAGTGGCAGAGCCAGCACCGCCCTTGGCCTGGACGACCTCGTCACCACCGAACTGGACGCGCTTGACGTAGGCGTCGAGCTGCTCGCCCTCGAGGTTGTAGCCAGACTGGCTCAACAGAGGGACGATGGTGGCACCAGAGTGACCACCAACAACGACAATGTTCTCCGAGGCGGGGTCGGTGCTCTTGAGCTGCGAGATGAAGCGCGAGGCACGGACAACGTCAAGGGTGGTGACACCGAACATGCGCTTGGGGTCGTAGACACCGGCAGCCTTGAAGACCTCGGCGGCAATAGGGACGGTCGAGTTGACGGGGTTGGAGATGATGAGGATGTTTGCCTTGGGGCAGTGCTCGGCAGCAGCCTTGGCCAGGTCGCGAACGATCGAGGCGTTGGTGTTGAAGAGATCTNNGGAAGGTATTAGTAGGAGATCACTGCTTGGCTTCGTTCAGATCATACCATCACGGGTCATGCCAGGCTTGCGGGGGACACCGGCGGGGATGAGGACAATCTCGGAATTCTTGAGGGCCTCGGCGACGTCGGCCTGCTCGTAACCCTTGACCNNTGTAGAGTGTGTGAGCATGGAAGTGTGTTGCTGGGAGGAGCAGCAACTACTTACAACAGACTTGGTGTTGACGTGGGAGCAGTCGGCGGCGACACCNTGCATTGACATTGAGATTAGCGCTTGAGCATACAAGCTGGACGGGTGCGAAGGCTTACCGGGAGCACCACGGACATCGTAGAGGGCAAGCTCAGTGACTCTGGGGTTGAGCTTCAAGAGAAGCGACAGAGGCTGGCCGATACCACCGCCGGCACCGAGGACGGCGACCTTAGAGGCNCTGCGCGAGACTTGATCAGCTTTGAACCAGACAATTGACCCGACTTGACATACGTCGCGGGCAGAAGCCGAGAAGGCTCTGCGCTGAATGGTTCCAATGGCTTGACGAGCGGCAAACATCTTGATGGCAGCAACGAGTGTTGGTTAAACAAGAACTTGTAGAGGGAACGAGACGATGGAACTCAAAGATGTTGTGCTTCTCGGCGGGAGAAGCACGAGCCATCCGTCTCACCACCTCCGATCCCGTCGTGTCCGGCACATTCCCTGCCATAGCCCCTCCACCACCACCTTCCAGCAGTTTTCCTGCAGGTGCATCCAGCTTACTCTATACCGGATGAAAGGATACCACGCCATTGATCAGGTTAAATGAAGCAGCTCGTGAGGGGTCTGGTGGAATTCTCCCTTGAGCCAGCGCCTCAAGGTGGAGCTTGAAGCTAGAGCTAAAGCTTGAAAACGCCCATCTCGAAGCTGCGAAGCCCAACACCCTGCCACGAGTATACAAATACTCGCAACCATCGTCAATCGCACCTAGTACTCGAACGATCACTCAGAACTATTGTGAATGTAGATATCAATTTGACTATAAAATACAAGAGTTGTATATTGTCCTTCCAGACCTGTATTTCTGGCCAAGCACTCATGTTCCAAATCTGCCATACATCATCACACAAGAGCACGAGTATCTTGCCAACCGCGTGACACTTCGTGCAGTATCTTTCCGTGCGATACACCCTACTTCTCATCTTGGATCTCCCCAACCCTCATCCTAACCCACTCCTCATACCCAGTAGGCTCCCTCTCTAGCAACCACCTCAACACATTACAATTCCCAATCAACCCTCTCTCATTATAGTACAAAAACATCCTGGCTCCAACCTCTTTCATCGCTTTCGGCGGCTCTTTACCTCCATTAATCATCTTGATACTCGTATCAACCGCATCCTCAAACCTCTTGTGTTCAGCCATGACCTCTTTTCCCAATACCTTACTCACAATAGCACAAGCATCTACATAAGACAAAGGCTGAGCCGTAGACACCAACTGATACGTCGCGGCAACATGTCGTTCCCTATCCCTCAACACCTTCCCCGCAGCTTCACCAATATCCCTGGTAGTGACAAATGAGAATTTAGTCGCTGGGTTCCAATTCACAGAATGCACTGGTTTTTCCTCGTTCATCAGTTTTTGCAAGGGTAGCATTTCCATCATGTGTGTGGGCTGCAAGATTGTATAGCAGACTCCAGATTCGATGAGGTATTCCTCGACGTAACGCTTGCAATCGTGGTTGAGCAGTTTGGTGAGGATGGGGTGGATGACACTGCTATACACTACATGTTGCAGCGGACCGCCATTGTCTTTCTGGGCAATACATGCGTCGATGAAATTGATGCCCAAGGTCGTTTCGTGAGGGTGGAAAGGCGGGAGAACCAAAAANCAGGCAGTGACGTGTTTCAAGATACGGTGGCAGTCTTCAGCATTCGCGAGATCTGCTTGCACGACCTCAGAGTCTGGATATTTCTCTTGCAGTGATTGCGCTGAGGTGGAGCTGTTGCATTGCAATCGGATCTTCCTATAGGTCTTCTGGATGTGGGGGATCAACGCTGCGGACTGTTTCCCCGAGGCGCAGGTTATGAGAATGAGATCGTTTTGAAAGTCAGGCATGGTGTCTTGAGAGCGTGATGATTCTGTTGAATGAGAGATAGAGTTGGTAGAGGAATAGCTTTTGAGGTGAGCGTGTCAGACTCGACGTCATGGAGCATCGATCATGCTCGGTCTCGGGGTTAGCTCAAAGTCCGGCTCTATTGTTCTGGTAGAGGTGAGCATCATATCGATACAAGGGAAATGAGGGGATGAAGGAAAGAGTGATACAAATCGTCTTCTCGAGATGGAGAAAGACGACATGATGATGACTTCAATAAAGAAAAAGAGGTATCATAGTCCAAGAAAGGAATGTAAACCATAAGAACATGAAAAACAATGCTTCCCTTTTCACAACCCAACACACCCGCTGTCCATACTCGCAAGTCCCCCAAAGTGCAAAAAAAGCAATCAAATCATTCTGTCGCACTACGCATCAGCAAACTTGTGGTCAGGCCCAGGGAGATCTCTACTCAACGGCAACGGACCCTTTTTCCTATGCTGCACCTGCACCTCTTTCTCGTGCGCGACTTGTGCATGTCCCTTGACACCCCCATCAACATAACTTTGGACACCTTCGGTATCACTACCAATTCCATCTTCTTCTCTTGTGCTGCTTGCGCGACTTACGTCCCGGCTGGCTGGTGTCTCGCTTCTCAGGCCCAGGTTTCTGCCTTGGCCTGGGGAAGGGTTGTTGAAGTCGTGGCCTCGCCAGTCTGCAGCTCCAGTCTCGGGGACATCGGTGCCGGGTGGAGGTTCAGTGATGACAACGCTAGCTCTTCTGCCTCGAGCGGGTTCATCCACGGCCTTCCAGACCACGGCAAGTTTGTCAAAGCCCTTTGTGCCTTTTTTGAGACTGCCTTTGATGCCATCCATGGCTTCCCAGTCGATTTCAAAGACACCCGAGGAAGCGGGGGCTTTGTTGTGGGTTGCGTTTTCGGGGCCTTGGCCTTCGAAGAAACAGTTGAACCAGACGTGGGCGACCGCAGTCACCATGCTCATACCGTAGCCTGCTTTGTTCCTGCGCTCAAAGTCGATGTTGACGTCGCTGGTGGGCAGGATGATGGGAGTTGATGGTCTGAAGACGACGTCGCCGGTAGCGTTGTGTAGTTTGTCCTCTGTGACTGCACCTTTTGTCGCCTTTGCCTTTTCCTCCTTTTCCATATTTTCGGCTTGTTTCAGGTGGAGGTTCTTCTCTGCGCTGTTGATACCCATGACGGCAGTGACTGCATCGGCAAAACCACCAGACTTCTTGATCTCGCCGCGCACAATCTCCCTCTCTTTCTTGGAAAAGGTGTGGAAGTTCTTGATGACACGACCTTCTTCGACAAACCCTTCAACACTGACCTTGACACCGTCTCTCAAGCCCCAGACATGGACCTCACAGACCTGGATCTCGCGCTCGACATAGACCTTCTTGTGCTGAGTCCAGCGATCGACATAGCTGATCCAGCGCAACTGGCTAGGAATGCTGACACCAGCGCCAAAGCCCGGCCGCATCCTTCGCTCTGTGAACCTGCGTATCGCGTCTTCAGCCTTCCAGCCCTCCTCCGAGATCAAGTAGCTGCAACTCATAGAGCCACTGCGTCCCTTGCCGGCTTTGCAGTGCACAACGGCAACCCTCTCTTTACTCTCCGTCAACCAATTGCGCATACTAGCCATGATCAACGGCACGAGCGCAAACGGTGGGGGATGGTGATCTGGCCATGGATAATGCTTGACTCTGCCGTAGACCTCTTCATCAGGGTATCCAGTTCCTTCAGCCCGAAATTCCCAGATGGCCCAATTGTCACCGTGTTTCTTGTCGAGGAAGGCGACGAGCTGGGAAAGCGGGTTGCGGTAGGCGAGTTGGGGGTAGGTGCCGCTGGGCCCCGAGGTTGCGATGATGTTGTCGGTCACGTAGCAGAGGTCCAGTCCGGCTTCTGGGTGTTGGGCGCGCGGACCGGCCACGATCTGGCGTAGTAGTGAAGCCATTGTATTGATTTTGTGTATGGAAAGGAGCGAGTGTTGGCTGTATGTTTTGTTCGTTGGAGTGACGCCAGAAACTTGGTCGATCACAGGTGGCCCGACGTCATCGCGAATGCCTCGGAGCCTCGCACCTACTGACCAATTCTTCCACGACACCCATCGCCATCAGATGACTCTTTGATGTAGAGATGATGAGGAGCAGTGGAACAAGTTCAGAGCAGTAAACACATGTGAACATTCATGCAGGCCGAGAATGACCGACCTCGTGTAGTTCAACTTGGCTCAACAGCCTTCATCCGATAACTCCGATGTCGTTCTCTTATCGTCATGTACCTGTTACATCAATGTCCTTTTTCCTCTGTCCAATGCAATCCATCCTCAAATCCATCAATAACACACCTATACAACATGTCATCCTTACTCACCCTGCCTGCTGAACTGCGAAACCAGATCTACGACCTTTTATTCCTTGAATCATGTCCCTACACTACCACAACCAACGACCCCTTCCACTCGCAACAAAGCCTCGCCGACTTTGGCAAACCAACGACTTTAGATGAGATCTCCTCGGCGCCTGCCCAACCCTTACTCCTCACATGTCGCCAGATGCACAGAGAAACCCAGCTGCTACATCTCCAACGCACCTCATTCACAGTCGGCGGCCTCTACGCTGATCCAGAAGCCTTCGCGCGCCTATGCACTGCCAATCTGTCACCAACACTAGCAAAGCAGCTCCGACATATCACGCTAGTCGGACGCATCAATCGATTACGCGCCCTCAACGAGTGCTGGAATGGTATGCCGTTTGGAAACCCACTCCTCTCGCTCGAAACATTGGTCCTCGTCCCCCGACGTCCTGCGCAATACGATCGCCATTACGCCGAAATAGCAGACTTGGACTCGGCACACACCTTGTCATATACCTTGTCCGAGACGCTGAAGAACTTGCACAACGTGGAAAGAGTGATTGTGAGGAACGAAGATGAATGTTTCAATGATGTCGTGTGGAAAGTCATATACAGAAGCCTGATAAGCCGATTGCTGAGATGGGGTGGAAAGTTGTGTAGTTGTAGGTTCAGAGAGGGCAACGGTTGGTTTGAAATCCTTGTCGATGGCCGAGGTGCCGATCCAGAGGTCTATAGTGATGCCGATACCGTGTTTCAGCGTATCATCGGTTGACGTGATATTACTAGAATCCAGATTTCCTTTTTGGCTTCTTGCTTCGGGATCGTGTCGGACGTGTTATATCCTCCTGTTGTCCAGCATCGGGTCCTTCTTGAACGGGCTCCTCGTGATCGGCCTTGCGTTTCTCTCCCTTTGCCTTCTGCTCTTCTTCTTTGGCTCTCCGCTTTTCTTCTCTAGCCCTCTGCCTCTCTTCTTTTGCTTTCTGCATGTCCTCGTTGGCCCTCTGCTTCTCTTCTTGTGCAAGCCTGTCCATCTCCCTCTGTTTTTCATCCTTGGCCCTTTGTTTCCTTTGTCTTTCTTCCTTAGCCAGTCTTCTTGCCTCTTGCACTTCCTGATTCCTTTCTTCTTGCTCCTGTTGTTCGATAGCCAGCTTTTCTTCCTTTGACAGTGTCGCCTTGTAACCTGTTCTGGCCTTTCGAACCTCTTTCTTTAGTCGCTCTTCAGCCACTCGTTCCTCCTCTGCTAGCCGTTTCTGGTTCTTCTTAGCGTTTCTTCCGTCTTCCTTGTTTTCCTGTGCGGCTTTTGACAGCCAACTTAGACCTTTGCTGCGGTCGTCTGGTGCTGATCTGCTGAGCAAAGGTTCATTTGTCGTTTCTCTGCTCAAGATTCTGCTCAAAGTGGGCTTTGGACGCTTCTTTCTGGGGACGCCGTCTGCGAAGGTCTCAGTCGTAGCAAGTGGCGCTTCTTTAGCAGGCGAGTCAACCATCTCGATATCCGTATCAACAGCTTTGGTACTTTTCCTGACAACAGCAATTTCGGATGTTTGCTGAGGCAAGACGACAAGACCTTCTTTTTCGAGATGTTCATAAGCCAGCCGTCTCCGTTTTCTCGCCTGTTGTCCTCGCTTGTGCATGCTGGCAAATGCTTCCGGACGTACAGTGTCAAAACCGAGCTCCCATGGTGATTTGTATGCAAACCCTTCTCTCCAGTTGGCGTTATCTGACAGTCGACGATGAATAACTGGTTGACGTGGGATTTCGACCTCTTCGTCCTTGATGTCATTGGGTGGCGCTACACCGAGAGCATCCCACATCTCAATTTCTTGCACTCTGCTAATCTCTTGATCGACGGCTTCAAGATATGCATCGTGAGCTTTNTGGAAGTTCTTCTCCATCCGGCCTTTGCGATGACTTTTCTTTCGAGCGGCATCTTGGACTTCTTCATCGTCTGTCGGATGGTAAGCGGCATCTTCCTCGTCAGAAGCGTCTGAGTGTTGATCGTTTGGTATGTTGATGGGAGTCTCATTTTCAGAATCGGATGCTTCAGTCCAGAGCTCGGAGTCGTTATAATATTGGTCAGGATCGAGAACGTCGTCCTCCATCTCGTCCTCGACGGTTTGTGCAACATCTTCGTCTGTTTCGGTGACCACAGTTGACGCTCGGCCGATGCCCAGTCTCTCTTCTGCTTCTTCAAGACTGAGCTCAGCTCCAGCCCTCGACTGTCCCTTAGAAAATTTGGATCCTCGCTCGTAGATGCGGAGGCCATGTTTCCTAGGTACACCTCCCCAGAACTTGCGTGTGTTTGGTTGCAGATCCAGAATATCAACTGCCGCACGTACGTCGTTTGCCGTGATTCTAGCGCTCGGTGAGTCCTTGTCGCGTGCTCGCAAGCGAGTCATTGTTTGGAAAATAGTGGCTTGTACGACACGCCTTGTCAAGCTGATTGTCAGATTGTGAAAATCTTGGAAAGCAGTGTGGTATATCGAAGGAGTTTCGTGGCGAGAGGTGGTGAAGTTATCCCAGCTGTCGCCCAGTTCTGGTGATTGATACATGAACATCTGAGAAAGTCGTAGCCACATGGGAAGATCGAGTAGCTCAGCTGCAGGGACCATGATTTCTTCGGGTGACTCAGAAGATTGATCATCTGGCTCCTGACTCTGCGAGGTCGCTCTCTCGGGGACATTCGATTCGTCTTGGACATCTGTTTTAGGGTCTTCCTTATCGGTCTCGACGTCCGTGTTGAAAGCCTCTTGGTCGCTTTGAGCATTGTCGAGATCATCGTCCCCATCTTCATCCACATCCTCATCATGTAAACTTGACTTCATATAAGACTCATCACGGGCCATGACCTGTTCCTCGACTTCCTGCGCAATCTCTTCAGTAAGAAGCCAGTAGTCACCGTGTCTCTTCTTCTCCCGCTTTTGGTCACTCCTCGTCTGATACTGAGCCAGGCCATCGGCATACTCTTCAAGCAGATCTTCCGATTGCTTGCTGACTTCGAAAGCAGGTGATATGTCTGCAGCAGAAAACACAGGCAGTGATTTTGTCACATTACCCTCAACGGTTCCTGCGTCGAGAAGCGAGAGATATTGACGCACTTCAGTCTCCGATTTGGTCCTTACTGCGCTTGAGATATCCTTGATGTTGTCTTTGCCAAGAGTCGAAACCTTCTGGAATAGGACCTCTTTCTCCAGTGGAGTCCAGACAGCGATTCCAATCTCAGAGGCAGGCAGTGCATGGGTGATGGAATGGAAAGGACGAACAAGCTCTTCCAGGTGATCATTGTAAAAGTCTCGGTAAGTTTCCTTGTAGGTAGCCTTGATGCTTTTTGTGCTGCGAGGCTGCAATTTCTCTTTGGATGTCGGCTTCTTTCCAGATCCAGATCTTACAGATCGATTGCTTGAATGACTGCGCGCACTCCGCACCGAGTCCGCTGCGTCGTCGCTGTGATCGTCCTCATCTTGATAATCAGATCCAGAATCTTCTTGAGCATTGTTGATCTCTTGATCTTCATCGTGGACCGACCCACCGTAGGTGTCGTTATCACTCATCCCATAATCTGTATTGAGAAAGAATGTGTCGTTGCAAGATAAATAAATTGTTATTCTTGTGCATCAAAACATTGCATGTGAAAGGAAAGAGCTGATCAGCAAAAGTCTTGGCGCTTACATAATGCTCGCGTGGCTGCATGTCCCAAGAACTTTACCCAAACGGGAAGCATCGCCCTTTGCATTGGACAACACCCTCCAACGAATGTTCAAGGTCTTACAGCTCGTCAAGAGCTCGCACCACTGCCGTGTAGCTCGTCAAGTTGTGAGTCGCTCGTCCCAAGTGCAGCGAACACCTTTCCGCCAATATGCCACCGTACAACCAGTGGCGGCGGCTCAAAGTCCACAAATTCAGTTGAGATCATATCAAGAAGAATGTATCGAAGCAGTTTTGCGACATCTTGAACTTGGTCAGAAGCGTCTTGGAATTTCACTGGCCACTGGAAGCGGCAAGACGGTTATTTGCAGCCACTTAATCGAACGAATCCCCGAACCAACGAGAGAAGCCACTCAGACCTTGATCTTGGTCCATCGCCGTGAGCTGGTAGAACAAGCAGCTCGTCATTGCCAGAACATCTATCCTGACAAAATCATCGAGATTGAGATGGGCTCAAGACATGCCTCGGGTGTGGCTGATATTACAGTTGCTTCAATCCAGAGCATCATGTCTGGAGATCGTCTGGTCAAATTCGACCCCAATCGCTTCAAACTTTTGCTCGTGGATGAAGCTCATCACATTGTCGCCACGAGATACTTGGACGTTCTCAAGCATTTTGGCCTCGATGAAGACTCACAANAGATACCCAACCACCAATGCCCTGCTCTGGTGGGTGTTTCTGCAACCTTCTCTCGACATGATGGTCTCAGACTGGGCGCTGCTATCGATCAAATTGTCTATCACAAAGACTACCTGGACATGATTGAGGGTGAGTGGCTATCTACCGCCTCGTTTACGACAGTGCAATCTGGAGCGGATCTCAGCAAAGTAAGGTCGCTGGGAAAACAGGGAGACTTCCAAACAGGTGATCTGTCCAGAGCTGTCAACAACAATGAGACAAATCAAGTCACCGTTCAGGCCTGGCTTGCACAAGCTCAAGACAGGAAGGCCACTTTGGTCTTTTGTGTAGACCTGGCACACGTCTCCAGTCTTACAGCAATGTTTCGTCGCTTTGGTATTGACGCCAGGTTCATCACCAGTGACACGCCAAAGCAGACTCGAACTGAGCGCTTGGATGCTTTCAAGAATGGAGAGTTTCCTGTCCTACTGAATTGCGGCATCTTCACAGAAGGTACCGACATCCCGAACATTGACTGTGTGCTACTCGCTCGACCTACAAAATCCCGCAATCTCTTGGTACAGATGATTGGCCGAGGTCTACGATTGCATCCTGGCAAACAGGGCTGCCATGTCATTGATATGGTGGCGTCTTTGGAAACAGGAATTGTAACTTCGCCAACCTTGTTCGGTCTTGATCCATCGGAGTTGGTTGATCATGCAGATGTCGCATCCATGACTTCAACTCGAGAGAAGCGCGAGAAGGAGAAGCTTCGCGAAGAGGAAGCTTCAACAGCCATGGGTCAGCTTTCTGAGATCAGTCCAGGAGACATGAAGAATCTGGCTGGGAACATTACATTCACTCATTATGACTCGGTCAATGATCTTGTCGAGGATACTCGAGGCGATGTCTACATCAGGCAGATCAGTCAGTTTGCTTGGGTGCAGATCGACACCGACCGGTACATCTTGTCGAGTGGTGGAGGTGATACCTTGAAGATTCATCGAGACGATACCACTGATGAACGACCTTGGATTGTGACAAGTGTCGCAAAGCTACCAGAAGGTTACGCCTCGAAAAGCCCTTATGCAAGACCTCGAGAGCTGGTCAAAGTGCATGAGTTCGATGAGGCGATCCACGCTGCGGACAGCTATGCAGGCAAACACTATCCTTTCAGAAACATCGCTTCAAGAGCACCATGGCGTAGGTATCCCGCCACGGAAGCGCAGTTAGCTAGACTGAACAAGTCACGCTCAGAGGATCAACAACTTACCCAAGAGAATACTAGCAAAGGCCAAGCGGCAGACATGATAACAAAGATTGTCCATGGTGCCAAAGGACGATTCGACAAGCTCAACCAGGTCCGACGCAAGATGGAACAAGAGAAGCAAAAGCAGCAGCAGCTTCAAGAAAGAATGTCCAGACATCAGATACAAGTCGGTCCTGTGCGATGAGAGGCGTGTTTGTCATTACCAGGATGGATGAAACTACCTGTCATGAGGCCAAGCCATGGCACGTTCGTGATCGACTGCACGTCTGAAGCAAGCATGTTGTGTATTTGGCGTTGCGGCGGATAGCTACAGACTGTCAAGTTGTCGTACGCCGCAAGCCATGTGTGCGACCTTGGTCCTTGTTTGCGAATATCTTGTGCCATACAATGTGGGGAAAGATGAATTGAACAAAAGATCGGCCGCCACCTACGCTCCGTCTTGATCTATACATGCGAGGAACACCGCAAACGTACGATTCACTGGATTGAGCAACACATCACCTCATGTCTGGTATTTGTTGTGAGCAGCTTTTCAAGAGATAGATAAGAGTTGGTCGTCGGAGTCTATCCTCTCAAGCAACCACTCACACAACCACGACAATGACTTCTGCTCTACTCTTGTTTGCTATCATCTCGACTGCAGTCGCTGCACAAATCGGAAGGCGCCATCCATATGGCATCTACCCTGGACCTAGCATCACGGCTTCCTCGAGCTCGGTAAGTCATGTTGAAGCCTCACAAGGAGTGCCGACTTCTGATCTACTACAGAGCAGCATGATAGCCTCGTCTAGCGAGTATTCAAGTTCCGCTTCGATGATCAACAACACATCATCTAGCGTGTCATTGCCTACCGATACATCGACTTCTGCTTTTGACACGACTACTTCATCATCTTTGTTGACATCCACTATGTCAGGACCTCCACTCAGCTTCACTACCAACAGCAACGGAACATCTGTTCCGGCCACTTCAACTACATCGACTGAAGGCAGTAGCTCCGAGACTGCGGCAACAACGACGAGCGCCGCGGCTCCTAGAGAAACAACTTGCGTAGCAGTGGCAATCAACAATATCGGAGCCAATGGTGAGTGCGGCTGCGACTACGACGTATACACCTGCCTCGAGCGACTGTCCAACCTCAGCGAGTGGAGCATCTCTCAGACGACCAGCTCATTCAATGGCTGCATGCAAGCTTGTGATTCACAGCCAACTTGCTACAGCTTCACCTTCCAGATCAGCAATGGACTCTGCAGAATGTTTGGCGGGATGCTGAATGGTGGGGATGGCACAGTAGCTGCTCCAGACTTTATCTCGGGAGAAGTTGTCAAGGGCACTTGCACTGGCCACTGCGATGGCTCTTGAAAAAGGCAGCGATATTGACTTTTGTTGGCGACCACGTTCTTGCCGTTTCTTGTTGGATTTCATCGTGGTTCCTTGATTTTGCGACAGAAGTTAGTTGACGCCTTTTATGATAGTCTACCTTGAAATCTCATGCGCTTGTTCCAAATATGGCCGTCACTCCATGTTTGTGTGTGATGTTACGGTTCACATGCGGGGAAGGGCTGGGTCAGCGCTTGGAGAAGGTTTGTCTGGAGAACAAGAAAACGCCAGCTTTTTGGTGCCTCCCCGACCGCGCGTCCCGTGTCGTCTCGAACAGGGAAAATCGATATATGTCGAGGGGTATAGGAGCGGGTCAAGTAGTTAGCAAGGGGAGCCGTTGAGGATTCCACGACGGAAGAGTGCGGCTGCGAAACAAGCAATTGCAGCTACATCATTGTTTTGGAGGACGCCAAGCACAGGACTGCGCAATCGAGCATGCAGGAAACACGGTGGCAGGCGGGTTGTGACAGAGGATGCAGAGCTGGGAGATGGTGGCTGGAAAAGTGTTTCTGTCAAGCAGTGCAAGAAGAGAAGTTGTCAAGAAGAGGAATATTGATAAAGTGAAAGGCTCGTTCTGTCGTCGTATGTGTGGAAGCCACGCGGGTCCGCAGCGCGCGCATTGAGATTGACGATTGTCAGGGACATCCGTGCCCGTCCACTTCTTTTCCCTTTGCTCTCTCCAATCGCAACCCCCCTCTGTCGCTTCTGTTTTTAGGATCAAGTGTCTGGACGGACCTTGTCGGCAGCGTGGTCTTTCTCGGACGTCGACGTTGCTCATGCGAAGACGGGCCTCTCTAGCGGGCGCCGACGAAGATGAAGGATTGAAGGTCGACATGCGAAGCAATGTTGAAGAGGTGGATTCCGACGACAACAACGACGACCCGCCCACTCTTGAACCACGAGAAGTCTCACGCGAAAAGGAATCTGACGACGACCTGGACTCTCCCCAATCGACCCCTTCGCCTGCCGCCGATATCAAGATGGAGGACTTCTATCGCAAACAGCATCAACGCGCAAGGCTGCGTAGCCCCTGGTCGTGCTCGCTGGTGACGATGATATGCACCGGTCTGTCGCTGCTGCTGCTGGCGACCATCGCCCAGTCGTTTCTCGCCCGCCAACTGGATCCCAAGGGCTGCAACATGTCGTACATGCTCTCGGCCTTTGCCAAATACACAGACTTTGACACGGAGCATACGAGGTTCGCCACAAAATACTCGTTGTACCTGTATCGCGAGGCTGGCATTGACCAGGATACGCGCGTGCGTATGAACCCTCAACAAGTCATGCAAGACACTGACACTCGCTACAGGNTCAAGGGCATCCCCGTGCTGTTCATTCCCGGCAACGCAGGCAGCTACAAGCAAGTCCGCTCTCTGGCCGCCGAAGCCGCCAATTACTACCACGATGTCCTGCAACACGATCCACAAGCTCAGCAGGACGGCAAGCGACCCNTTGACTTCTTCTCGGTCGACTTCAACGAAGACATTACCGCTTTTCATGGCCAGACGTTACTGGACCAGGCTGAATACCTGAATGAAGCCATCGCATACATCCTCGCGCTCTACCACAACCCGCATCGCAGTCTGCGCGACGAATCCCTACCCGATCCCACCTCGGTCATGCTCGTTGGTCACTCAATGGGCGGCATCGTCGCTCGCACGATGTTTACAATGCACAACTACCAACCTAATACCATCAACACCATAATTACCCTATCCGCCCCACATGCTCGTGCACCCGTCTCCTTTGACCAGGACATCGTCGACACATACCAGAACATCAACGACTATTGGCGCAAATCATACTCTACAGATCAGAATCCATTGGACCACGTTACTTTGGTATCTATCGTCGGAGGTGGTCTGGATACTGTTGTGCCGTCAGACTACGCCAGTCTCACTTCTCTGGTGCCCGAATCACATGGATTCACCGTCTTCACTTCGACAATGCCTCATGTGTGGACTGGAATGGATCATCTGGCCATCATCTGGTGCGATCAGCTCCGCAAAGCAGTCATCAAGGCCTTGTTTGATGTTGCTGACGTACAACAACCCACACAAACGATACCGCGCGTGGATCGCATGCGCCACTTCCGCAAACGTNTTTTGACTGGTCTGGAAAGCAACGTGCAGAAAGAGCTACCAAATCAAGAAGCGAAAATGCTTCTCTCACTCGATGATCAATCTTCGGCTATTCTCGCCGAGGGTGAACGCTTGAGTCTTCGTCAGCTGGGTTCCTCTGCCAAGACCGAAGCTCATGTTTTGCCTGTACCATCTGCGGTTCAGGATGATGCTCGCAGACTTTCTGTCCTGACGAACCAACGTATTGATGAACATGGTCCTGTTCAGGTCTTTCTTTGTTCCTCTCACGTTCCACAAGCTGGTGCTGGTGGTAATGCTTATGCCATCAATCTGGACCTTTCAGGCGGCTCCTCAGGGTTCATGCGTCTATCTTGCAAGGATACTGCAGTCGATGCTATTGCTCTGCCTGCTTCGAAGTCGGAATCCAACTTTGCTTTCGACGATGTCGCGCCTTTCACGTACGTCGAGTATAAATTACAGGATCTATCCGAATATCAATTTGTTGCTGTCATTGACAAGGCAAGCGAGCTCACTGATGGATGGGTTGTAGCTGAATTCAGCAATGCTATCAAATCAACCGTCACTGTCAAGCGATCATTGCGCAGTTTGATGCTGAGTGGCATGCACCGTGTCTTGCCAGCTACACGTGCGATGGTCAATGAAATTCGTGTTCCTCGTGTGCACTCGAGTTTACTGGCCTACTGTTTGCGTGTGCACCAGAAGTGCAACACTGAGCCTCTTTTCCAGCCTCTGCTGAGGCAGTACATCTCTGAACCGTACGAGTCGAAATTCTTCCCCAACGTGCGCGGAGATGTCAACATCAACCTGCATGGCGTCTCGCCTTTTGTGCCTCCGCCAGCCAATGCCGCACACACCAAAGATGGGCTTTCGCTACAAATCTGGTCGGATCCAACATGTAATGCGGAGATGAGTGTGTCTTTGGACATTGACTTCCTTGGAAGCTTTGGCAAACTGTATATGCGCTACAGGACTGTTTTTGCTGCTTTTCCTCTGGTTGTCGTGACGCTGGTGCTGAGGAAGCAGTTCAAAATCTACGATGCAACTGGTTTGTTCATACCATCTATCGTAGTGAAGATTTTGCTAACGATGTTTCAGNGCATTTTCATGAGCTTTACAGAAGGCATGGATCAGTGCATTCGTACATCTCTTCCTGTTCTCTTCATCGCGTTGTCATTCTTGTCGCTCGCTCTCGCCAACCATGCCACTACCTCTGCTGCGGAAGAGATCCTCGGACGCCAGCATGAGGCTACAGAATCGTTCTTGGAGTTTACGAAAAACGATCTCTTGCTTGGCTCTAATGATCCATTCTTCTTCTGGCTGGTGCCACTGTTTGGAATCATCAGTGTAGGCGTCTGCATTGTGCTAAACTACATTACACTGGCACTGACACAGGTGTTTACTTTCTGTTATGCCAAAATCAGAAACGTGCGGTTGAGAAATGACGACGGAAGGTTAGTTGAACTTCTTGATGGATACTGCATTCAAGCAACTGCTGACTTCATCTGAAACAGGCGAACAACAACAGCATTTGCAGTCACTAGTCCTCTGCAACGCGTCATCACAACCAGCATCTTGCTCATCATGGTCGCGACCATTATACCCTACCAATTCGCCTACCTAGTTCTCTGCCTCGTGCAGCTCGCAACCTCTGTCCGGGCATTGCGATTGGCACAAGAAACAGTAAGCACATGATGATCCCACACCATCCAAAGTACACATGATTTGCTAACATTAACTTTCAGCNGCTCTGGCAACAACTACAACTTCTACAACTACGTACACAGCATGCTAATTATCATGCTCTGGATCCTGCCCATCAACCTGCCCGTCCTCGTCGTCTGGATCCACAATCTCGCGGTTCACTGGTTGACACCATTCTCCTCACACCACAACATCTTGTCCATCATGCCCTACATCCTGATTGTCGAAACCATGAGCACTGGCCACATCATACCTCGTCTTCAATCTCCTTGGCGCCTTGTCAATAACATCATGCTGTTCTGTCTAGGGCTGTATGCAGCGGTATATGGCGTTAGTTATGCGTATGTGCTGCATCATCTGGTCAACTGGTGGTGTGCTTGGTTGGTAATTGTCCATTTTGCGCCCGCGGTTGTGCGGAGGGGTGCGCTTGGGGAACAACAGAGGGGAGGAGGCAGTTCGCCGCCGACACCGCCGGGGGATGGACATGTCAAGAAGATTCCTTGAGAGAGAGAGAAGAGCACAAATGATGAGTTGTTTGTATATAGACGTGTGTGGTTTTTTCTCCTCGCTAGCGCTTTGCTTTGGTTCGGGCATTGTAATGATTAATATTTCTTCCTTCTGTTTCGGGGTTTCCTTCCTTATAAGCCCGATCGCGCCTTCTTTTTCGGCTCGATGAAATATCTCTGCTTCTTCTTCTTTAACATCAATACGGAGAACCTCGCATGTGAGGTCTGTACTTGCAGTCTAGAAGAGCCGCTGTTTAGGCTGGACAAAATTATGTCTCATCAGAAATCCTGCAGCATCCAACGGCTTTTCAGCTCACCGGCTGCTCTCAACGGCGTGTTGTTGACCATTCTGGTTAGGGGTCAGCTGCCAGACAACGCTTCCACTCCGCATCGTCAAGACTCGAACAATTTGCGAGTGAATGAAAACGCGATTCCGAAGAGCAGCGAAGCTTTGGTGAGTCGAATACAACGCCACAATTCTGCTGCTGGTTTGGCTTGCTTCATTGACTATATCGCTCGCTGTCAGTCTTCCAGAATGCTTACTAAAGGGCGGTTGGCTAACCGTTTCCTGACTCTGGACGGTATGAGAGAGTGCTTATAAGCAAGCCACAACACTTCGGAGCAGCCGAACTGATGATGTCTCATCTCATCGTTTGTCTGATTGTCAACCATGTCGATAAGCATTGGTTAGTGCACGCTCCTAAGCTACGGGCACAACAGAGATACATACTTAAGGGCTATATTCCTGATGGGCAAGAGCCAACCTCTTTCGACTGCTTATATTTCTGGTTCCGACAAATATGGTCGCGCTTCAATTCTTCCTTGCGTCATGCTCTCTGTTCCTTGTCGCCCATTGTGCAGCCATCGCACAACCGTCTCTAGAATGTCAGATACCGACTTTGGATGGTGCACTTCTCGAGGGGGAAGTCACACATCCTCTCTACTTCTGTACATGGTATCTCGAAGAGTATGTCTGACCCGACAGTGTCAGTCTGTAGTTCCAAGACTGATTTTGGAGTAGCATCCGGACAAGATCACCTGTACTAGGCCTCACTCCCGATACATTAAAAAGTGCATGTGAGCGCATCAGCGGATGCGCGACAGCACAAGATCGAAACGCAGCGAAAGCCGCCATCGAAAAGGTATCTCAAAGCACAATCGCAGTCAGCCCCCAATGTCCCGCCGATTCTGCAAATTTCCTCACCAAGGAATATGTATTCACCTCTGCATTTTGCACTTTCTTCAATGCCTAGTATGTCGAAACACATGTCTTCGTTCTGCATAGTGACTGACTCTGGACTCAAAGCCCAAGAACCACATCTCCCGTTCCGAATCAAAACACTAAAGCAGTGTTTCATGCTTGCGATTGTATCCTCGGCAAGGGCCCTACGTCCTCTATTGCGACCTCGTCGAAGAAGTCCAGCACAACCAAGACGTCGATTCCAACCAGCAAGTCGAGTGTCAAGACCTCTACCACTTCATCACGCAAGCCTCCCGCTTCAGCTTCGTCGCTCAAGTCGGGTGCTAGAGTTTCTACCACATCATCACGTAAGCCCTCTTCAACCTCATCGCTCAAGTCGACGAGCTATAAGCCTTCAGCATCAACGCAAAAGTCAAGCTCTTCCAAGAGCTCTTCCAAGAGCTCATCGTCAGCCCTGAAGTCGAGCAAAACTAGCAAAATCTCAACCTTCACACGTACATCGAGCACTACCCTCAGGACTTCGACATCATCGGCAGGATCAAGCTCTTCGAAGACCTCATCTACGCATGTGACAACGAGCACCAAGGCTTCTGGCTCACCGTCAAGTTCCAGGGTGATGCCTTCTCCAAGCTCAAGCAAATTATCAATATCGAGGTCGGCTGCGAGCTCGATGTCATCATCTGCAAAGCTCAGTACATCCTCATCCTCGACATTGAGCATAAGCTCGTCATCCAGGTCACCTTCCACATTGAGCACAAGCTCGACATCCGTATCGACTTCCACAATGAGCACACGCTCGTCCTCCACGTCGACCTCCAAATCATCGTCGTCATCAGCATCACAGACATCCCGCCCCACATCGTCGTCCTCGATCTCGACCTCCGTCCCAACCACTACCTCGACAAGCATCTCCACTACCTCAAGCGTTTCTGTCAGTACCACCTCGACTAGCATCAAAGATGCATATGACGTGATCACCTCTCAGGGCTACCAGCCCTTCTGTTCCAACTATCTCGGCTTCAGCACTCCATACACAACAGTCACTGCAACCCAGACTGACACGGAAACCACCGTTCAGACTAATGTTGCAACAGAAACCAGCACTTCTACCTACCTCAGCGTCTATACTGAGACCGACGTGTCCACTACCACCGAATTTGCTACAGTTACAACATATAGTCCCACTTCAGTCGTGGTACTGAGCAAACGAACCGATGTTGCCATCCCAACGCTCTTGGCTGGATACTCTGACAGCAGCTTGAGTTCAGCTTGTAGCAAAGCAGCTACCCCTCCTAAGACTGTCACCGTTTCAACGGGAACCACAACCACGAGTCTTCTGACATCTGTCACTGACACTACAACAACCACTGTCTCGTTGACCACACAGGTTTCGTCAACAACAAAGCAATATACAACCACAATCACTTCGACGTCAACTTCTTACTTGCCTCCCTTACCTACTCAAGTAGTTGTCAACCCCTCTTTTGAGATTGGAGGTGTCAACCAAGGCGACAAATTATCACCGTGGATCTACGGCTCGTACACTTACTCTCAGAACAACGTCAATAACGCTTACCAGAGTTACGACGGCAGCTGGTTCACGTAAGTCACATAACCTGGTTCACGCGGGTCGGAAGGAAATTTAAACAACTAACAAAACCGACAGAGTGCTCTACGCGGATAGCGGCACTACCCTCTCCCAAACGCTAGTTGATCTTGAACCCGGCGCCACTTACACATTGCAGTACTACTACCGGGTCTATGATGAGTCAGAGGATGATGGTTCGGACCCCAGCTTGTTGACGGTCATGATTGGCGGCAGAATCGTGGATACTTATACATACTCCTCGTTTCAGTCCCAGGACTACTATACATCGAGAACCGCTACATATGTCGCGACGGCGGACTCGACGAGCTTGCTTTTCACGCTTAGTGGATCGTTCGCAGACTTTGCTTTGGATGCTATTACTCTGACTCTTGTGGAATAGAGAAAGTTATGGTACATTGATCTATATCTTTTTCTCTTTCTTTGGGCCATAGGTTCGTCTGATGTTGCTCTTGTTTCATTTATGTAAGATCTCCTGTTTGACCTACCCAGAGCGTCCGCTCCTCTGTCACTAAAGAATATCGTCAAAGTCAATTGAGGAAAAAGAAGAAACAGGAAGCAGCGACCTTGAAATAGGTCCTTGCACGTGGCAGTGCTCGAAGAACCAGGCAATATTCGAGCAAGCTGATTCGCTCTTTCCATTTCATGATCTCATGTTAGCAAACAATAACAATGACCGGAACTTGTTGCACGACGAATGGGGATTGCCTAGTCGTATATCCTGGAAAAGGAGGTCTATGATTAGAAAGATCCTATATCAAGCGACATACCATTACACTGGCATGGCCGCGATGTCATGGGAAGCAAAGCACAGCCTCAGCTGTGATTTAACTATTGCAAGATATACCATTCTTGCAGCATTGGCAGGTAGGTTAGAAGAAGCGGCTGCGTACAGAAATCCCCTTTCTTCTACATTATCCACGACTCTCTCTCCACCTCAAGAACCAAAAGAAAGAGCCATTGATCCGCAAAACCACAAGCCTTTCGATCTTGTAATGTGCGGCTACCATGAACTCCAAACCCCCTGCTGCCACGAAAAGACAGGTTTCTCCGCCTCGTCTTCCCACAAATGCATCCACTACTTCACAAACAATCGGTACTGCCGCACCGGCTCCGTGCACTCTTGGATTCTACCTGCGCCACCTCTACTCACACGCTTTACATGTGGAAATTGCAAAAAGACCGAGCAACACGAACAAGCAGAAATCAAAAGACAGCAACAAGAGCTAGACAAACAGATGGAAAAGGAAAGAGCAGAACAAGAGGAAAGAAGAAAGCAAGAAGAAGCTAGGCAAGTGAGATTGTGGGAGAAGGAGTTGAAGAAGGTCAAGGAAGAGAGGAAGGAGGGAAAGAAGAGTGCAGTGGAGGCTTTGAGGAGTCAGTTGGCTGTGTTGAAGGTCGATAATGGCGAGGGACCTTCTTTGGGCAGAAGAAATTGGTCGGAGGATCTTGATTGAGCGCGAGATGTTGGTTAAAGACAATGTTCGAGTGAGAAGAATGCTTTGGAAGCTTGTCAGATTTAGCCTCTTTCTGGACAAAGACCCAGAACTACGAATCTCTCCTGCATTTTTGGAAGGTCAACGATGTAGCTGTAGTGCACGAGGGAGGTGGTTTCCTTTCCAGACTGTCTGGCTTCTTGTGACGGGTCTACTTCCATGGATGTTCGACATGGATTGTTCCAGACGGAGATCAGTGCCAGAGGTATGCAGAGATCGATTAGATTGCTTCCTTTGTGTGTGAAATCTCGAAGGAACCCGGTAGGTATGCGGCAGGCTGCAGACCAGTGTAGAAGCTCGACGACAATCGCACCTTCCATCTCGTGTTAGCTGCAGCCTTCCATTGTACACACGGACAAAAGCAGAAGGCACCAACCCGTCGCATCGTTTCGGCATCGCCACAACAACAAGTAGAAGGAACCTCAACCCACCTCTTGTCACGGCAGGAACCCGACACCTTCGCACTTACCACAGCATCTCCATTACCACCACCTACAACTCTACAACACCATCACAACTCACGACATCATGTGCACCAGAAGAGTCAGCCGCTACACTGCTTGCGCCCACCACCACAACAAAGCCTTGGAGGAGAAGCTATGCGTCAAGAAGGGTCTTGTTGCTCCTTGTCCCTCTTGGGAGTGGTTGGTCATCAACGACCTTCCTACTGCTGAGCCTTGTCCTTGTGACCACTGCTTGGCTGCCGAGGAGCGTCGTCTGGAGTTGGAAAGCCCTGACATCAAGGCCAAAGCCAAGGATATCTCTCAGTGATCGCGGCAAGGTGAGTCTAGGTCTTCGTGTGGCTTGTCATTTGACATTGCTGACAATTGTAGCGTGGAGATGGCTGCCGAGAACATCGTCGAAAGTACGAAATGGATCGAAAACACGGCATGATCCAGAAAAAATGACCTCAAGTTGAAAAGGTCATGAGCAACAGTGATGGGATTCTGACCGGGTGCAATTTTTAGCTCGTCAAAATTGCCGTAATCACATCTCCATCTCGTCAGGGTTATAGCCCTTCTTCTTTCCCTCTTCCAACTTCTTCTTCGTCTTTTGTTTCGAGTCTTCAATCCAAGCATCGTAAGAGCCATCTGCAATTTTTGCAGCAGTAACACCTTTCATCAACTCACCTACGAAACCGACAAAGTTGTGTCTGCGTAGAGCATTTTCCCATTGCCATGCACGACGCTTCTCCTCCTCGCGGTATACCATGTCTTCATCTCCAGACTCTCTTGCTTTGACGCGTAGATCTTGACACATGGCCAGCAGGTTGAAGCGAATCTCGTTGGAAGGATATCTTTCGATGCGGCGTTGGAGGACGGGGATGACCTTATCGGCAAAGTCTGTGGGTGCACATGGACCGTGGTTGATGGGAGCTTCTTGAAGACCGTCAAGCTCATAGAGCTTGCCGTTTATGCTGGTGTATGCGATAAAGTGGAAGAGGTCGTCGTCTTGAGTGGCCATGCGGGTCTCGTCTGATACGAAAGGCGAGCTGCGGGCAAAGGAGTTGTGGGTGTCGCGGATGAGATCGCTGTTGCTGAGGGCTTCGCCACGAATCNNTGTGATTGTCAGCTTGACTGTGACTACAACTTGTTACTGGCGATGACATACGTCCGGTGGAAAGGCGGCGGTAAAGTCCTTAAAGTCTGTCAAATGGGGACCCAATTCGACACCGTCTGCATTGTCCTTATTCATCAAGACACTGAGCAGAGCTTGTGTACCGCAGGCATTCTGAATCGTCTGAGCAGCGAACCACACCTTGCCCTTGCCATCACCTCCACTGCCAGCATCGTCCAAGTTGTATGTTGCTTCAAAGTCGAATTGGCCGTCTAGCGGACCATCTGATTTGCGAGCTTCGTTGTTGTACTTGAAGAGGAAGATGACTCCTAACGGTGACAGCTGGCCGAGTGATTGTGCGTCTAATGAGATGAGCTCCTCGAATTGAACATTCTTGACTCCGAGATTCTCTAGCAGATATGTGAAGACGCCNCTGATAAGTTGTCAGTATGCGCAAAAGAACGGTCTATCAAGAAGAGCACTCACAGCGTCCGACTCGATGGTATTCCAGCCCCCTGACATGTTCGCTGAGTCCAAAAAGTGATGTTCAAGATATGAAGCTCGTCGCCGCGCAAACATTCATGCGTCATGAGCAGCACAGCTTCTGCCAAGCCCGCCCGATGATCGGCGTTTCGGCTTGAACAACCTCCGCTCCGCCAGCCCATACCGTTTTTGCAAAAGGAGGTGTCCTAAGGAAATTTTCATTTGTCTAGCAAAAACTTGTACTGCATACATGTCACATGAGCAAAAGATGGAGTAGCTGGGAATCGAACCCAGAACCTTCTCCACTCAGTAATGCTCAAAGAGCAATGCTAAGAAGATGTCATACCACTAGACCACAACCCCAATTGATGACAACCCTGGTTTGGAAAGCACCAAGACTCTGTTGGATACCATCCCTTCACAGTGAAGCGATGCGTCCCAATGCTTCAGTATGCTAGCTAGGAGACAGAAGAAAGCCAAACGTGATTCTGAGATTGAATGCTTTAAAGCTTGCTAGCTTCTGCACCCTTCTCAAGCTCTATCACAAGCTTGCCGAATTGGCTACCATTCTTGATGTCCTCGAACAGCCCATTGATTGCGTCCAGGTTGTCAATACCCATAACTGTTCTCGAGACCATTGGTCGGATGTTCTTGGATGACACGAAGCTTACCATGTCGGCAAACTCTTTTCGGGACCCCATGGTAGACCCACGAAGATCAATATTCTTGAGGACAGCAGCCATTGTGAAGGGCATCTTTGGACCTGTCGTCATGCCATACGAGACGATGACACCGCCGGGCNNTGCAGAAAGTCAGTCATAGTAAATGTTTATAGTGTGAAGAAGACTCGCCTTCAAGATCTTGAAGGTCTTGCCGACAATATCACCACCCGCACCGTCAATGACAGTGTCAAGGAATTTTCTATCCTTTGGTAATTGCTCCAACAGCTTCTTCTCCCAATCCTCTTCCTTGTATATGGCGCCTCCTGCTGCACCTAGCTTCTTTGCCTTGTCCAGCTTTNNTTCTTGACTACCACTCGTCACGAAGACATTTGCACCAGCGGCAGTTGCGAATAACAGTGCCATGAGGGCTACACCTCCTCCAATGCCGGTGATGAGCACATTGCGACCAGGTTTACAGTTGCCGCTCTTTGTGACAGTCGCTCTCCAGGCAGTGAGGCCTGTGAGAGGTAGTGCCGCAGCTTCAGCATTCGAGAGATGCTTGGGTGCCTCCTCTAGCTCAGACGCATCAATGACCAGACTCTCAGTCAAGGTGCCCAGAGGATTGAGCTTCGTTCCGCCAAGAATAGCATATCCTTTGGGATCTTCAGGACCCTCAGGGTCATCTTTCCATCCGGTGCCAGGGTTGAGGATGACGCGCTTGTTGAGCCATTTCTTTGCTTCGGGAGACGATCCGGTCGAGGTCACGATGCCAGTACCGTCTGCGAGTAGTGGTACGCCGAATGTTGTACCAGGGTATAGATGCTGGCGGATAAAGTGGTCTCGGTGATTCAATGCTGCAGCGGTAATCTTGACGACTACTTGGTTGTCCTTGGGCGTGCTTTCGGGAACATTGATCTTCGCTAGAGGGTAGTAAACTTGGCCGGGCTTGCCGTCCACTTTGCTGATTGAAATGGCGGCAGGCATCTTGTTGAAGTATGTGTATCACGAGTGTACAGGATCAACAAGAGACACTGCTTGACTTATCTTGGAGACGTGGTTACAAATCAACACCAAGAGGACTCCGTTCATGCGGTTATTGCGGGGCGGAAGTGTCAAGGTGGGGAGAGCTTGAGAGGGTCAACTTGGGCCGAGGCTCTTTGAACATGCTGACTCAGCTTTGTGCGACTTCACGTCCTGCCTTGGGAGGCTTCATTGTTTTCAGAGACGATATCCGGCCAACACACAGGCATCAGTATTTCATTGTTATATCTGAACACTGAAGATATCGATCATGACCATAAACACGTTTGTTCTGGCGGCAAACTTTCCTGCCATCTTCCACACTGGGATGCTCGAACTTGTCTTCCTAGACGTGACCTCTTCAACAATGCCAACATGTCCCCTCAATCAATGCGACGATGCATAGCGTCTGCGATGTTTCTCTCTAAAGCCTCCTGGCGCATCTCTGCTAGACGTCTGTTCCATCTCACACAGTCTGGATGCTCGCAAGGGATGTTGGTACCTCCAAAGAATTCCAGCTTCTCGTACTGCCATTCGTTTGCTGGACAAGCCACGCCTGTGCGTCTGGCGTTTCTGCAATAGTACTTGAAGACGAGCTCGTGGCGGCACTGGTACCAGACCTTACGTTGTTCTCTGCACATCTTGAGGTTTGGTCTTGAGTTGCTTGTACTGTTTCGATTGTGTCAGTCTGCGCGAGGACAGAAAATGCTGAAATTCCTACCTGGATGACTCTGTGGACTTTCTTTGGTTTCGTTGGTCCACTCAGAACGATACTGCCTTCTTCGTTCGAGTGATTGAGAAGTATTTTATACCGTCTTTGCCCATGGGTACAGCGGATTGAATACTGTGACCACTGGCCAGCGCAACAGCCAAGTCACTCCCTCAGGTATCCCACTTTAACTTCAACTCCATCACGAGGCATCCAGGCGTGGAACTTGTAGGCTTTTAAATCCGGATTTCGAGTGCTAGTTCCGTTGTCTTTGCAAGTTGGACGTTCATTGCGGTGTGGAACAACTTCATGCTGGCATTGAAGCCATTCACAAGCTCTCCGCTTCTCCAGTGCAACTTTGCATGGTTTGATCAGAGCCTCGCTTTCATGTCGGCAGCCTGGCCAGACCATTCTTTCGTATCGGCACATGTCAGAAATGGATTGATGAGCTGGACAATCAAAAACAAATTCGATCAACAAGAAAGAGTAGCGAGGATCATGGCTCTTGATGTTCTCCCTGACTTGGATGTCACTTACAGAAGCCTGCATCGCCCTTGCCCCAGGTCGTGGGGTTCTGTACCACAACCGTCACGCTTTGTGCTACTTTTCAAAAGCAGGTCCCCCTGTACACTAGCCCTGTCTGCTGACGGCAGTCTTTGCGAAACAACACCTTCGTTCCAGCTAAATGACACTCATCCACCACTGGGTATCATCCCGAGCTTGCTGATAAGTAACGGCTACCATCAACCCGGTTTCAGACTCTGGTGCAGGAACTCTTCCAGATGTCGGAGCAAAGTCTCCAAAATCCCTTCCAATAGGTTACATGGAAGATGACCTGTCGTTTTTCCACCTGCTCGATCGTTCCGCAAGTCAGCATCTGTTGTACCCTTGCTGCTGAGTGCTCTCAACAGCTTGTTGCTTCTCGCTTTGTTCAACTCACTCCGCTTTGCTTAATGCGACCTTGGTTATACACCCCACAAGGACCGCGCATCCTTTCGCATGCCCTCTACTGATTTGTCGGCACTCTTCTTGGCCGCACATTGAGGACATTTCTTTGTCTTTGATGGCGATTGTATTACCCGCCAGTATCTTTCTCCGCATGATTGACCCCTCTCGCGAGCACCATCGAGTTGATTGAATTCGCAGGATCTGCCATGTCCACATACTGGCCATATTGGTTGGTGATAATGGCACATTCTCGTTGCTTGTCTGGTCTTTGGACGAGGGAAGTGCCCAAACTCTGGTGCACACAGCTGGTCTCTTATGCTCAAGTATTGCTCCGGTCTGCCATCTATCCTGCTGCAAAGTCTCATGCTATTCCGGCTGTATGAGCTAGTTGAGGTGGTAGCATAGGCTGCTACAGGATTGTGGTCGTTCGGCTGATTGGCAAATGTCCAAGTCAAGAGCTCATCTCATCTGCCTGTTATATTGAAAACAACTCTACCGCGTCGAGAGCAACGAGCCTGAGAAAAAGAGAGCCTTCAATATCGTTGCCATGTTTCTGCTATCCTCTCGATGGACCCTGGACGAAAGTGGGGGCTTCCAAGATGTCTGTCAACTGCTCTGTGTTTCGAGGTTCGTCGACCTGACCAGGCCAGAGCTTTTCATCCTGGTTCCATGCCCTAAGCTCGAAGCTAGTCGTTCAGACAGCCTTCTCTCAGGATTGTGTAGCAGGAGTAGGGTGCAATAGCACTTTCATGTTTGCTGCCGCCAGAAGATACTACTGACTGACATTCGAACATGTCTGGGCGTGGACATGATGACAGACAAAGGTCAACATTGGTCAGGAATATGCACTGATATCTTTGAACGACACTGGACGCTGGCGCAGACTGGACAGGAGTCATTAGAATCAATCAGGGTTGCACGAAGCGTAGAATGCTGCTGCTGCGCACCAACACCATGATCAACTCTTACACTATGCCCGTTTGCAGATACATTGTCACGGATACAGAGCCTCAAAAGCCCCTGCACAGTAGCACAAAATGAATCTGGCAACGTACACGTGCATCAGGATGATTGCTGTCATCAACAATGCGGCTCTGATGTCTACCTCCATATATCGTGTGAGTTGCGGCTTTCTCAACCAGAGTCAGCGAGCCAATTGCAGCCTTGCTAGACGACCTCCTGTACTACAGTGTCTGAGTCGTTTAGTGTAGGAGAACAGTTGCTCAGCTGGCTTGCTTTTTGCAGTTCCGGGTTCGAATCCACGGCTGGCCGCCCAGTGTTTTGCCTTTTCAAAACATGCCCCCTTATTGTCATCGACATGAGCAGATGCGAGCGACACTGAAGAGCTCGGAGCAATGTGATCACTTCTTCCCTTGGTCAGTTCTAAAGTTTTCATGCCGAGAACGCGACTGAACATGATCGTCCTCTATACCGGCTTGATGTACTCTGGCAAAACCCGCTGGTATATCTATATGTCAAGCAACCTAACGATGCAGCTGCACTGCCCAAACTACACCCGCAATAATGTCACTGGTAGCATTGCAACATGTGCGTATGCCAACGTTCCAGTGACAAGCTCTGCATCGTGTCAAGGATTTCGTAAAGTCAACATTGCTTACTCGAGCCTGTTGGAGGCTTTTTATGCCGTGCAGCATTGCCAATCATCAACCGAGATAGCGAGCCAATTGCAGCCTTGCTAGACGACCTCCTGTACTACAGTGTCTGAGTCGTTTAGTGTAGGAGAACAGTTGCTCAGCTGGCTCGCTTTTGCAGTTCCGGGTTCGATTCGTTCCGTCTTCCTTTGCGCTTTTGCTTTGTTTACAATTTCTAAGACGGTTTATTGCACAAGTCTGGTACTTCTGTCACATGCTACTATCTGTCATAAACATTAGTCTCTCATGATAAGTGGTGGTGTCTGTGTTTCTGTGGGTGGCCCAAATCTCCAGAGTGGTTTGTTTTGATTTGACCTCGTCAACCGCTTTCACACGATCATCGAACTTCACCAAATCTCCGTTGATTGTGGCGCACGCGCGTCATTACTCTACTCCTCTCAATTAATCACAAGACACATACACAAGAACAAAAACATCACCTCGCGCGGTCCTTGTGGGTGTTCGCGATGGGGGACGAGTATCAGCACATCATCAGAGGCTCCCCTGTGGATCGTAAACCTGACCGCGCAGCTCTCCATGCTGCACGCTTTCAAGAGATCCAAAGCAACACTGGCCAATACCAGTGGTGCGATCCTCGTGAATACACAAATGCCATTACCCAAGCGACCATAAATGGAAGACTCAACAAGCAGTTCTTCGACGAGATCGTTGCTCATATCGATTATGATCTTGTCAGTCCTACAGCTCTGTCTGTTACAGCCAACGGAAAGCTAATGTCTGGCAGAATGATCGTGCTCATCAACGCCAACGCCAGGACCAATTCCGCCACAGTTCCCTTGCTATTCGCCAGTCGGCAGAGCGCCGCTTGGAGGACCTTTCATCTCTTCGCGCACACCCCGATCGAGCACTCTCTACATATCTCTCACCGCATCTAGTTCGCATGTCACCACCTCGACTCCCACAGACCTATCGATCCTCCCGCAACCAAAGTGACTATGGATCTTCCACGCACATCCACACGGCATTTGTGATATGGATTTGAGTGGACTTGAAGGTTGGTAGATCGTAAGTGGTATCCAAGACAGGTACCCAAAGGGGCATTTGCTAGGTATCCCTGCTTTCAAAGACGCCGAGTGAGCTCTTTCGTACTGTCTCTATGCCGTCATAAATATTGTATCCTCCGGGATTATCAAGCGAGACTGTTAGACTGCAGTAATTTCTGCGTCAGTTCATCGCAATGAGAACGTGGAGTTGTGGTCGGATAACAGTTCAGGGTAGGAACGATGAAGGTAATTCTCTTGAGCTTTGATAGGCACCTACCTCTTCACAAGAACAAAGGATCAGTGCCTTTGAGAGATCTTCTGTGCCAACAACTTCTGTACTCTGCTTCCTTGGTTTCAGAAGATTCCAAGTCAACAAAGGCTTTGTCCATTCACCACAAAAGAGATATGGACAACGAATAACAGAATGCCAAACTAGGCATCGCGGATTGAGATAATCCAGAGAATGACGTTGGGAGCAGGGTCGTGCTCACACCGAGAATTCGGGATCTGAAATTCCAACGACAGCTCTCGATCGTGACTTCCTCCCTGAACAAGCTACCCAACGCAGCATCTCGTCGTCATCACCATCAATCAATGCGATAGATGGACTTTTCAACTAGACGTTCAGTAGTCACAGCGATCGAGTCCATATATGCAAGTCTGCAGCAAACAGGCCGCCTCCGTCTGCCGAGATCTTGATGCCCTAATCGTTCTGCGTACTCCGTCGTCTACCGTTGGTACAATCTCGAAATGATCAGCCTTATCCATTCCGTTCCAATGGCCGGTATTTCGTGATCCTGAGCTCCTCACAAACTTTCCCGAAGGTTTGAAGAAGAATGCCCGGATACTCAGAGCAAATCCCGGCCCGTCGTACCACAACAACCAAAGCCCGATGCAATCACGACGACAGCGAAGTTTGAAACAGTCTGTGACAGCTTATCTCGGGGTTTGATATGCGTCTTGTGCATGCATCTTGACCTAGCACATCATACGACTTGTCGAATGTGAGGCATCTGCTTGCGAGAACACTGCGACGGTGTGGCCGGCCTGAACGCATCGCCACTGCATTGAGTATGAGGAGCACCGAGCTGTACGCGGTGTCGGAGGCGTATGGGTAGGAGTTCAGAAGCGGACAGGATATATAACGCGCGTTGGCCAGGCCGACAGAAAGGAACATCACACTCACTCATCACTACATCCTCCGACATCAAGTTTATTATCCTCTGATTCATCAACAATTCTCAACATGGTCGCTACTATCAAGAAGTACAAGGCTGCTGCCGTCAACGCTGAACCTGGATGGCTCAACCTCGAGCTCTCGATCCAGAAGACCATCCATTGGATCAACGAGGCCGGCCAGAATGGCTGCAAGCTGATTGCTTTCCCTGAGCTTTGTATGCATACAATCCCCTCTTCTAACAGTATGTTCGCTAACGATAAGTAGNGGGTTCCTGGTTACCCTTACTGGATGTGGCGCGTCAACTACCAGGAATCGCTGCCTCTCCTCAAGAAGTACCGCGAGAACAGTCTTCCCAGCGACAGCCCTGAGATGCACCGCATCCGTGCAGCTGCAAAGGAAAACCAGATCTTCGTCTCTCTTGGCTACTCTGAAGTTGATCTCAACTCGCTTTACACCACCCAGGTCTTGATTTCTCCCACTGGTGATATCTTGAACCACCGCCGCAAGATTCGCGCCACCCATGTTGAGAGACTTGTCTTCGGTGATGGTATGCATTACTCTATCTCAACAGCACTAGTAAGGATATATTGCTGATTGACGAAACAGNGCACTGGCGACACCACCGAGTCAGTCGTCGATACCGAAATTGGTCGCATTGGTCAACTCAACTGCTGGGGTCAGTAAAGCAGTCTTTGTCTTTAATCACACCAACTGACTTGCCTCANNGAAAACATGAACCCCTTTCTCAAGTCATACGCTGTCAGCAAGGGCGAACAAGTCCACATTGCCGGCTGGCCGCTCTACNCCCACGCCACGACCCTCAAGTACCCCGACCCTTACACCAACATCTCCGACTCCAACGCCGATATCGTCACTCCTGCTTACGCAATTGAGACTGGGTCCTTCACACTCGCTCCGTTCCAGATGATTTCCAAGGAAGGTGTCGATTTGCAAACACCTCCTGGCAAGGAGCGTGAAGATCACAAAATCTACAACGGAAACACCAGAATTTATGGTCCTGATGGCCAGCTCCTGATCGTCAAGCCCAGTGATGACTTTGAGGGTCTGGTGTATGTTGATATCGATCTTGACGAGACACATCTGAGCAAGGCTTTGAACGACTTTGTAAGTTTTCCAGATGACCCCTCGCGCTGCTGAGAGGGAACGGCGCTAACGAACATGAGAAACAGGNGCGGACATTATATGCGTCCCGATCTCCTTCGCCTTGTCGTTGACACTGACCGCAAGAGCTTGGTCAACAAGGTTGATGGAAGCGGCAAATTCATTGTTGAGAAGACAGTCGATCGTGTAGGATTGAGCACTCCTTTCAAGGATCTGCCAATCGCTCAGAAGGCTGAAGCCAGCAGCGCTCTTGCCCAGGACAATGAGTAGATGCTCACATGGACTTTAGTTAGTGATAGCTCAGATAGGCGAATATCTCCACTCAATGGCAACTCTTCTCCATGACCTGATTCACATCTTTGAACTTGTAAGACGCGTGCTGTGAGCAGATCGATCGCAGCAATCCTGTAACCGGAGGTTGGCATCACCTGGGTCGAGGATGCATAAGCACTATCAACCGATCCTTCGTCTGTTTGGTGACGTCAGTGTTGTGAGAACCTGCTGTTTTACTCACCACTTTCTTGTCAAACATTCAGATCTCATTTACTCTTGCTTCCTATTCATCCAGGTTGACAAACTTCTTCCTTCTAACTTCAGCATGGTCCTGGTCAAGCGTATCTGTCCTCCTGAGCGACGCAAAGCATCCATATCAGTATCCACGTCTCCGTCTTCGCCAGAACTCTCCATCAGTAAACATTCCGACTTCGAACTTGACATTTCTCTCCGGATACGATCGTCAACTCAGCCTGAAGTTCCCATCACCATTAGTACAAAGGGCACTGTCTTTGCAGCGTCTGCTCCAGACAGCACACTCGACACAATAGCTCGCGGGACCGTATATCTAGTCTCCGCAACCAATCCAGAACGACGCATCAATTTAGGAAACTTCCGGACGAACAATGTTAGTGGTCACGGCAAGACAACCACTCAGGGGCCATTGTCTGAACATCTCTTGACGATTCCTGCCAAAGGCGAGGTCACTATATCGCAGCCACTGAGCTTGGAACGTATCTTCCAGCATGAGCGATCTCTGAAGCCGCAGGATGTGGTTGGTGAAGGATGGCGGCTGGGCCTGCAGCAAGGCTATGTTGGTACGACGGCATGGTGTTGGGGTGATTCGAATGGCGAGTTCAAGACTGGTCGTGATCTAGCTGAGTTGGTGTTTGAGGATCAGACCTCTGATGCTGTGTTTCGATTTGTTTCGTGAGTAATGTGCCGCTCAATCGGCATTTAGGAGAAAAGCATTTGCGTAGGGAAAGAGCAATCTACTGACCCAAGCCGACTTCAATGCTTGGATTGACGAAAATCTATGAGAATAGCAAGAGCAATGTCAGATGTGCGGCTGGGCAAGAGCAATCAGCTTAACAACCCACATCCAACAGAAAGAACAAGCAAGGGTAAAGGCCCGATTTCAACTCCCTCAGAACCATGCCGCGACTTTATCGCCGAAACAACAGCCATCGTCTGTATTCATCATGACGATAATCGTGATTCACCAACAACACAAGTTCCTTTTCCAAACCAAGCGAAGTCGATCGAAGGTACAGCCACGCAACATGCCGCTTTGACTCAGAAGCGATGACCCGATCGAGAGCAGAACGAGAGTGGATTTTGAGACTACTACGAACAACAAAGACACGACACCAAGCAGACTAAGACAGAGACATAACAAACAGCTACGGACAAAACAAGCGACCATGTCTGGACAAGCTCATTCCCCAAGGTGGATGTTGCAGACATCAGTGTTGGCTGAAGAGCGACAGTGGTACGGCAACCCTTGCGGCGAAACCCCACAAGATCAGGAGCTTGGAGGGATATTATTGGTAAGGTCTGCGGACTTCTTCTGCAGACCTCTGCGGCGTTGTCCACCACAAGCACTAGCAGATACGCAGTTGCTGTATCCACAGAAGGTGTTGGTAACGCAGACATTGCCAGAGCCGCAATCACTGTCGGAGCTACAGCTCGGGCCACAGCCCGCGTTCTGGACGCAGACGCCACCACCCGAGATGTCTTGGTCGCAATAGTAGGTGCAAGCGTCCGAGGCGCCGCGCGAACAGGTGTTTGTCCCGATGTTCGCGCCGGTATTGGCATTCAGAGGGTTGTTGCAGGTGAATACAGGAACGACGACAGTAGCGGTAGGAGTCGCAGCGGTGGTTGTTGCAGCTGAAACACCTGCACAAGAGCAAGCAGAGGCAAATCTCGCAGAGGCGATGCCGCTAGGGGTGCACGCTGCGTTCGCGTAGGATGGCAAGTAAGATGGGGCGATGGTCAGGCCGGCTGTATCAGGGACAATGGTGGTGAAAACGCTGCCCGAAGTTGTGGTAATCGTAGTGGCAGCAGGGTAGACCGTCGTCAGTTGGAAGCTCGAACAGTCCGTGTTGATGCGAGAGGAGGCACGCGCAGGGCCATCCACGGTGCCGGTCAGGGCACGAGCGCAGTTGTCCTGGTGAAAGATTGGGTAAGCTTGCTGCCTGGGACATTCGAGGCACTACCTACTGCATTGCACTTTGCAGCGCTAACGAGGGCAGGAATGGCGATGAGAAGAGAGAGGGTCTTCATGATTGTCATATGTGGAATAGTGTGGTGAAGGTATCTACAGAAAGGAACTCGAAGGAGATGCTGAAGACAAGAGAGAGAAGTGGGAAAATGACTGCCCCTTTATACCTGCCAGTATGCCTCAGGATGCTCACTCTTTGTAGAGGTAAATACTTCACCAGAGTACCTCGACTCAAGCTTCAATAGTCATCCTCAGAGCTCAAGGAAAGGCTTGAGAGTGGTTATTGGTCATCTGGTAGGTGCCTGCGTTGGACGAGCTGAATGGAACTGTAATGTCTCCTCGTGGGCGCCTCGAGTGAGATGCTCCCTATGGGGTCAATGGTCGCCAAGAACAGAGTGGTGTTCAACCCAGCTCCTGACCTGGAAACTTGTCGAGAATGTGTCCAAGGTTCATACCCCATAGGATTTCGATACGCCACTTGACGCTTGAGTCTCCGAACACGACCAGCAATGGCGTTGTCATCTTTTGGTATGAGAGCTAATGTCTAACAACACATCGAGGTCAATGCAGACCAAACACCCGGCATGGCCTTTGATGTCCGAAACTGTACTTGCGACTGGTCTCTGGCTGGTTGTCGAAAGACTCTGATATGAGCGAGATGAATGCCCAAAGACCCATACGTAAGGATGAGGTCCGTCCGCAGGCTTTGAGCTTCTGAACGCGGGTCTTCGGTCGCGTGGCACCAGTACCTCAACCTCAGAGAGGCGCATTGCGGGGTCACGTCAATTCATTTCGGGAGCTGACACTCAGCTACGCCAGGTACACTATAGTGTACGACGAGATGATTGGCCAACATCTTCCATACGAGAAGACTAATCACGCCAAAGTCGGGGTACTGGTCTCTGACATGCTTCGGCTCCGATTCGAACTGTGGTCTTGGGCTGCGCCAAGCCTGTCGGACTCGCACGTTGTGTTTAGGGACTAGGTTTCTTGCGCTCTCTCCTGCTCAGCGATCGATAACCAGTTTGTATAATGCAGAGGATGCGGAACGGGATATCAGTATTCAGTGCCCGGCAAGCCCAGATTTCCGGCGGTATACTTTGCCTTTCATGGTAGAAGCAAGAAGCTCAACGTCTTCCCAGAAGCATAAGTCTTCCATCGTCGCTCTTCATCTTCGGTGGTTCCCTGGTTGTAGAACCTACGACGCCGACATATCCGACCAAAATAGTAAGCAGTATCCAATTGACGCATTGAGGCGTACTGTTCCCCACTTTCTCGACCATTTTCTGCAGAACGGGTACCTCTCGGTTAGCGTTGCCATAACGTTGCAGGATGACAGGACTCGGCTTGTGACAGTTCCTCGCAAGAGAAGACAAACACCCGAAGTACAGTCCAGTCAATCCTGAGGTTTGAACTCTAGTGTGGCCTTTTGATCCATTCCAACTTTCGTGGAACCACCCACCCCCACTTGAGGGCGTAGATCAGCAGACATCAATTCTCTCCTGTTCCTGAACCGAAAACCCCAGAAGAAAAAGTCCAGAAATTGGTTGGATGCGGTTCTTGTTGGAGATGAGACTGATATTCGACACGCATCTCCACTGATTCGGTCGCCAAACGAGATGCAAAACCTGGATCTTGGGTACAGACCGAAGGACACTGACGGCACCCCCGAGAGCCAGCAGTTATATCTATATCAATATTTCACATCGACCGCTGCCAGCCAAGCTGCTGCACACCCCAATACGGTGGAGGAGAGTGCTGCTCAAGCTCAATGCTCCTCTCTGCCTGAGCTGCTGCTGACAAATATAGATATATACATATCTTCTGTGAAGATTCTGGACTGGATGAATCCATCAGCTAGTGCAAAGTCAGCGAGCGTGGTGCTGACGCATCCGTTGCACCCAAAAGCCAGCATACAGGCGTGGTTGGCTCCTCATGCAAGGTCATAAGTATCGAAGCACTGTGATAATGACTGGGGTTTCGGGTGGGAGATAGTATGGTCGTAAAGTCTCATTAACAGTGGACCAAACTCGTGAGTATCCCAGATATAACGTTGCAGAAGTCAGTGAGTCGAATAATAGAAGGAAGATTAATGCTGTCAATATATACTGCATGACTTCTTGCGATTGCTGAAGTCTAGGACCACAGTTGGCTGATATAACCATTGTCCGAGTTTGGTTGCTGGTGTTCATATAAAGCGAATGCTCAATCTACACGGAGTGTCCATGATAGTCGTGAGCATGTTTTGTTTTCGCTGTTCTCGAGGATGTTGGCTCCAGGTGCCCATGGTGTTTCATCGCCATTATAGGCAACGATGGCATCACGAGAGGAAGATTCCGAACACCCGGATATATAGACATGATCAAGGTCGTGATTTTGTAGTGCAATAGAAACCCTGCTGTTGGAAATTGGCGTCTTTTCGCCGAAATAGTTGGTCGATGGAGTCTTGCTGCTCGAAAACTCCAAAGACGAGATATTGGAAGGCATGGCTTTGGCCAGCCCAAACTCAATAAACCCTCTCTCCGATCTCTTCGTGTAGGGCAATGTCGCACTTCTCTGGGTTTCAGCTATGTTCGCTGATAAGTCCGACTCGTGAGCTCAAAGAAATTCGTGACCAATGCTGGCTACGCTTTTTCTTCCTCGGCGTGGCATGTTGGTGTCTGCTTCTGTATATATGAATGAGAGGTGTCCTTCTCGCCAATATATATTCCAATGTCGTGTATGAACCATTTTTCGCGTGAGGCATTGTTGAATTATCATCGTGCCGGGTAATCAGTGGCATAAGAGATGTTGAGGCAAGATGTGGTGGTCGCAGGGGTGATTTCGAGATCTCGGTCCTGAGCTCAAGATCCGGGGCCAAAAGAGGGAACCAACAGTATGGGAGCATGAGCTCGACCATGCTCCGTGGGCCTCGAATCTCAGAGAGCCGTCAATATAGATATCGAGGCCAAAGGTCTTACTCCTCGATGGGGAGTGTACATAAGCAGAACTTCTGGCTACGAGTAGCTGGCCCTGGCCACATTCAATTGCATCAAGACAAGTGGCTTTGTACTGGATGAGCGACTGAATGCGAGAGTCTGGTTGCTCGAATGCTTGGACCATGATGAGCTGGACGGCGAAAATTTTCGGAAGATGGGGAGATGGGGAGTGTCGTCTTGCTCTGCCCTGATCTTCCTCCCACACCATTTTGAGGATGAGGAAGTCGCGAAACCACAGCTGGAAAACCATCAGACGACAGTGGTAGATGTCGAACGATGTTCAGGCCATCAGAATAGGAAGTCCATCGTGGTGATGGGCTATCCCATATATCTTTCTACGACGTGCAAGCAATAGAGAAAGCAGCCTTACAGAAACTCGTCGGCACTTGCGAGCTGCGAGCTGTGAAGCAGTCTAGCGAACTCCAGTTTGCCGTATCTTGGGCTGATAATCTCGTGGTGGAGGTATATAGATGGTTGACTGTGTTGTCCGATGCTTACGGTAGTAGCAGAGAGTAGGAGTGAGGGTTTGGCCTTATATAAAGAAGTAAAAAGTACGAGAAAGATGGTTGAGGATGAGAAATGAAGACTGAAATTGGGAGAGGTTTTATACAGTCTGACAGCGCATCAAATTGCAATAACAGGAAACAAAGCAGTAAAGTTGCAAGAAACAGGCGCACTTCCCCGATTTGCTCAACAAGGAAATCACCCATGTGGCAATTGGTTCGTGTTAGTTGGCGGGCACAAATCAGTTCCCGGTTGTGCCGTCCTGTTGAAATCGGTCCGGATTTGCTACTTGCTATTTCCTGCTAGTCACGACCTGCAGGCACCTATCGCTGTCAACTTGGCAATTGCGTTGTTCATATATCCTCGCCGAAACCGGTTTCTTGATCACCTGCTAGCCATCATCAGGCCAACGGATTCTCAATGTGGTAGATTGTGTCATTTTCTACAACAGCTTTTTGTCCAGCAGGTCTTCACAGATCGGAATTATCTGCATCATGAACACACATAATCAAGGTCCATATTCGAGAGTCGTACCCCCGAGGATAGACGATCCAGTGTCATCAGCAGCATCGATCGCCCTGAGGATCACATGCTTGTGTCAGTCTGAGACCTCGGCATGATAACCCTGTGATCTTCGACCAGAGTAATACTAGCGGTGCAGTATGGCTGTGTGGGCCGGATCCTGGAGCTACCTCATCTCGTGATCGTGGTTGTTGGGGGTCTGTGGACACCACCATCACAGACCGAAGATATTCCACAAGATTCCGGAGCACGAAAGACATTGATGGCGTGGTCGCGTATCAACCAATCTATGATGTCCTGCGTACAAGAGCATGTTCCAGCGCGAAGGAGAGCCTGGCACACACAGACTTGAGGACTGCGATTACTTATGCACGCCTTGCAGATTCGTGGTGTACGATTGCGCGATTGGTGTATCTCTTGGTCGAGTCTGGTATGTTCTTTGTTGATTGGAGAACTTGTGTCATGTGGATATTGTCATTCATTCAACCGGAAGAGTCGATGGACGAAGAAGCTCTTTGAGGTCATTCATGTACTCGGTGATCTTGTCCGATTCGTCGGCTTCTTCGCTCAACGCAGTTTTGAGCTGTCTGATTGCATTGCTCATCTCTTTTTCGATGGTCTCCCTGTTCAGGGCTTCTCTGATAGTTGTCACCGCCTCTCCGTACAGTTTCCAGAATGCTTGGGTTTCTGCGAGGTATGTCGTTTCTTCTAGAGGAATAGCCCAGTCATCTTGACGGTTCTCGACCAGATCCAACCAATCCGACATCAGAGGCTCCCGATCTCCGAACAGACCAGGGAGATGCACGAGGAAATCTCCCTTNTTGCCCTCGAAAGCGTGGGGCGAGACAAAGCCACTGAAGTTCCTGAGTACGTCTGTTCTTCCATCTCTCATGTATCCGGGCAGCTCGTAGATGTTGAACAGGCTTCTGGGCAGATAGACGATGCCGCGTGCAAAACCATAGCCATCAGGGCCACCACTGGACTTTTCGACCGTACGCGCCATGGCAGCTTGATCGGCATCGTTACCAAGGCTGACTTTGGGATTACAGAGAGGGAAAGCCATGCCGTCTACAAACATGGATATTGTCCATGGATGCACACGGACAAAAAAGACACCAGTATTGAGGCCTTGAATATCGCGTGCTGCGACAACATTGATGTGCGAAAACTCTCTAGGCGGCAGAAAGATGTGGGCAGGAATGTTTGGGTTCAAAATGATGGAGTCTGCGTCGACCCACATCAACCATTCTGCTCTTTTGTGTTCTGGCTTTGCGAGCTCTTGGGCGACTTGTTGGATCATGAAGGTGGGCTTGTTCCAGTAGCCGCAGTATTCGTTTTGTCGCTTGATGTAGGTTGGATAACCCCATTTTTCTCCGTGTCGTGTGTGTGAGTCTAGAGCTCGTTCGTATAGTTTGTTGTCACCGTAGAGCATGGACACTTTGGCGATACGGTATGGTTTTGAGCCATATATGAATGTTGGTTGATGCCACGAAGCTCCGAGGAAGCCGAGTAGTAGGAGGAGTGAGGCTATCAGAGTAACGAGTCTATTGTTAAACCANCTGTGAGCTCGTCAGTCTCATGTTTGTTTCGTTGCAAAGTTGTGACGAGTTTATACCCCGATAGTCAATAGCGGCTTCCGAGGCGACTGCAAAAACAAGTCGGAGCTCGTCGTCTCGAACGATCGCTTCGACTCTTCCAAGTCAAGCTGGCTGTAACGAGAGTCACTCATGATGTGTACCTGTGCAATGAGAGTGGAGTTAGAAGCTCAGGGAGCAGGCGTACAGCCAAAGGATAAATATCATTCTGATCGCATGCTTGTACTGTTCTTGAGCTTGAGCCGTTTTTGTCTTGATCCATACAACCGTTCGCTCAACTTTGGATTTTTGACCGTTGGATGTGATTTTCGGAATGCATTGTCGACTGCCGTCAGTTGAAATAGATTATCTTTCTATACTTTAAGCTTTACTTTCCTCTGGGCGGTGGACTTGGAAACAGAGAACAGTACGGTGACACCAGCCGTATGTGGCATATCACGCCAAACAGAGACGATCGGGACGGATCACTCTGCCCATGAGATGTGTAGGCCAAATGATGGAATAGGCAACCGTCACCAACGGTCAAACACGCGAGAAACAGCCCGGGTCGCTCGGCAAAGCCTATAACAAACATTACAAGGATCTCAAACTGCTTGTCATCATAAGGTGCAGACCTTAGAATATCGGGAGCTTTGTTGCCACACGAGACAGGAGCTGTATCTATGGTGTACAAATCTCGAGTAATGTATTCAGATCATTTTAAGCCGTCACACCATCTCTTCCAATATGTAGTGCTTTCTGATTATCACTTTTATATTAAACAGTAACTGCTTGAAGTCGCTACTTTTGTAGAGGTCCTCGAGACAAGCATTTTCTGCGGCAGTGAACCGCGTCAGCATCACTTCCTCGCATTCCGACAGCCGTTCATATTGCGATATGTCGTGCGACAATCAATGTAACTTCTTCTCGTGACTGTTCAGATGTTTGCATGAGCGGGTGTGAGAGCTCAATATTAGAGCCATTCGCGAAGACCGTGTCGTAGATCAATCCCTTATCTCTTGTGGAAACTTGGTGAAGAAGGGACTGATTTGTACTAGCCGAAGTCGTGATGCGGCCACTTGTGCCTTTGTTTGTTTTCGGGTCGTGGCAGGCATCTTGCGTCCCTACAATGATAGAGAAGGAGTCGGAGGAATGTAGGCTGGCTTGTTGGTTCGGACAAAGTGATTCCATTCGAAGATGACAAAAGTTTGCAGGAGCTCAAAACCTCTGGTTAATGTTGTGAATTCCTATGCGAGATACAAAGAGAACTTGCTCAAGCTTTACCAGAAGTGTTCCATTCTGGCTGGCATGTGATGGAATATGCTATCCTTGACTGACGACAGCCTATGAAATCAAGAGGTCAGCGAGAGAACGAGACAGCATATAACCGACTCTTCACAAAATGGAACACAGATAGGGAAACCAGTTCACAAAAGAGTCGTGTGGTTGTTGGTAGAAGCAAGAACAGATCTGTTGTTTATGGTATCGTATAATTTTTCTGCAGGCCTCCAGGGCTCTTTCATAATTTACCACTTGGCCTCCTTTGTGGCCAAGAAGTCGTTCAGGTTCTTGACAATGTTCTCCAGGCTGCTCAACCAAGCACCGAGCTCTTTCTCCACACGGGCCTGGTCGTCACCGAGCTTGGCGTAGAAGTCCTTGCGATAGGGGGTTGCGCTCATGGCAGCGTTGAAGAGAGGCTTGATCAAGAAGCTGTGGTGCTTGCTAAGGGTGTTACCGTAGGCGGCGCGGAACGAGACGCTGACCTCCTCGCCGCTGTTGGTCAGGTTCTGGCGAAGAGCCTGGGCAGTGAAGTCGAGGGCACTGTCGTCTAGTCAGTATATTTGCTTGATGGTCTCTTGAGTCGTGACTTACCGGTTCAACCAGACGAGACCTTCTGTTGCGACGTGCTTCTTGGTTGCGAGCTCGTTGCGGACGAGGTCTTGGAGAGTCTCTGAGTCGACGGGAGCAGCGAGTTGACGGTCACGGATTTTCNNTAGTAATGGTCAGGCACCGAGCAAACTAGTCGAGGGTAGAAGCGATACCTTGATGTTGCCAGCCATGTCCGACTTGACGGGCTTGAAGGCAGTGGAACCGAGGACATCNTGGCCTTGTTAGAATGTGGGGGTCTCTATTGATTGGACATGGATACCGAAGAGAGTGGTCAAACTCTCGGCAGCCTCGAGGAACTGGGTAGTGGCAATCTTGCCATTGTCGATGGGGACGTCTGAGAAGCTACGCTTCAGAGTGTCGAAGAAAGTGCCGCCGGGAGGGAATGCTGCCATTGTGTCTTGGTTGGTGTTGGGATGGGTGATGGAGTAATTGGCGAGGATGTCGAGCAGAAGAGACAGACGCGAGTGCAGGAAGGGGCGATGTTGGTCAGGAGTTCTTGAGATTGGAAGTTACGGCCAGACCTGCAACAGAGTGAGGCTCCGTTTCAACAGCGGAGCCCGCCCCTGCCTCGTCACCCCTCCATCGAGCAGCGGTGTGAGCCCGCCTTGGCACATGAACGCTGTGGGGTAGCTTGCATCTTGACATGAGGGGCAGATCTTGTGTTTACTAGTAGATGCATGTGCTGTTGCCGTGTGTATAGCAATAGTCAATGCAAGCGAGCTGGAAGAGGCAGACAACATGCATCCGAGGTGCACCATGTTGTTCGTCCTTCTGAATACGCTAGGCACTTCTCATGACCAATCGTATTCCAGTGGGAATGAATTACTCCTTCGCATAACCCATAGCTTTGCGCCACCAAGCATATACACCGCGATCCTGCAGCTGTCTGCCAAAGTCGCTCACCGTATCTGTCTCATACAGACCAGGTCTTAGTTGCGATTCTTTGGTGGGTTGATTTCCATGCTGCACGGCTGCTGGACGTGCAACTAGTTGATAGTCCTTGTAGCGTAAATTCTGTTAACAGTGTCAGACATGGCACTGTTAGGAGACCCTCCTTATGCATACATGAACAGACTCAACCCACTGTCTGACACCATCCTCTGCTCCTTCGACATACATAATGCCGGGTGAGCTCCCGCTTCTCAGCAAAGCAAAGACATGCGTCGCATCGGCAGCCTGCTTGAGCTTGGTCACCTTCTTCCTAGAAGTTATATGATGTGTTCGAATCAGAGCATTAAACATGAAGAATATTGAGAAGTGGTTTGAAAAAGGTGACTGAGGTGAAACGTAGAAGTGAAACTCAGACACGCGACTATCAGACTCGGCTAGACCTTCCCACTCCGTGAGAGCGTCTCGCGCATTCTGGAAGCTCGTCACAATCACATGCCTGCCTTGACTCTTCTTTCCTTGCACAACAACCACTTCACGATCCTCTCCGCTCTTTGGTTGCAACACTGTTCTAGTACCACAACAACAACCACTATGGACCAGGCCAAACTCGGAGCAGAAGCGCTCAGCGCAGGCAACTATGCCGAAGCCATCAAACAATACACTGCCGCCCTTGCAGTCTCACCCACATCACCCGACTACCTCATCAAACGCTCCACCGCATACCAAAGAAGCAATCCTGCAGACTACGAATCTGCCCTCGCCGATGCCAACAAGGCCGTCCTCAACGCACAGAAGAGAGGAAAGCGCGAACTCATCCTTCAAGGCCAGCTCAGGCGCGCTATAGCACTGTTCGGTCTTGAACGCTACCCGGACACTCGCTTCTGCCTAGATATTGTCAAGCGTATGGATCCAAAAGAGAAGACTCTACCTATCTGGGAGAACAAAGTCGCAACCAAGATGGCCGCCATGGACGGTGCACAGCATGTGACCATCAAGGAGACACCTGNNACGAGGAGGAGACGACAGTCGCAGGTCAAAACAACAAGGCAGACTCGACACCACCAACTACCGCCGCGACGACTTCCACACAGCCCGNCTGCAGTCGCTCAAACACCCGCAGACAAGATTCGTCACGACTGGTACCAGAACAATGACAAAGTCTACTTTACCCTGCTAGCAAAGGGCGTTCCCAAGGACAAGGCCAACATCGACATACAGCCCCGTTCTCTCACAATTTCTTTTCCCCTGCAAACCTCCTCAGACTACGACTTTTCACTCGAGCCCCTCTACGCCGACATCGACCCCTCAGCATCGACCTTCTCAATAATGTCCACCAAAGTCGAAGTCGTCCTGAAGAAGGCCCAGCCAGGTCAAAAATGGCCCGCCCTCGAGTCTAGTGAACCCGTCGATCNNAAAAGCCAGCCGCTTCCACAAGTTCGGTTCCCACACCTGCCCAACCTTCGAACAGCACACGNNAAAAGCCCCATCCTACCCANNTCCTCCTCTCGCAGCGGCCCCAAAGACTGGGACAAACTCGCCTCGGAAGCCCTTGCCAAGCCCACGACCTCCGACTCAAAATCTGGAACCAAAGGCGAAGAGGAAGAAGATGATGAAGGCGGCGATCCAGTCAACGGCTTCTTCAAGAAACTCTACGCAGGAGCTGACGCAGACACTCGCCGTGCCATGATGAAGTCGTTCAGTGAGAGCAACGGTACCGCTCTGAGTACCAATTGGGATGAAGTCAAGAAGGGCAAAGTCGAGACAAGTCCTCCTGATGGTCTCGAGGCTAAGAAATGGTAATGTTGAAGCGGGTGGAGCTTTTTCTTCTACACCAAAATCCAAGTTTTCTTTTGTGGATTTCACGAGCATTCATTCTTATGCGAGGTAGCAAGGGGTTCATGCATACAGCAAGGTGCTATGGAGTTTTTAAATCAAATGGTCGCTCTTGCATCTCATAGGCTGAAGGACATTGGTAGCATTAGCTCGATTTTTAATCTGGCTAGATTCGAAGATAACACTACGATTGAACCCAGGAAGCGACATTGCTCTCGTTTGACCAAAGGCCAGACGAATCCGAATCCAAGTGTTAGACTAATATCTGTGTCTGCTTGTGATGCCAGAAACGGCGATCTTGCAAAACAAAGACAATCTGACATTGAAATTCTTGATTTGATGTTCCCTGCCTGTGAAACAAGCGTCTTCTAGGGATTGACAGGTCAAGTGTTGTTATATCTGAGCTTGGTGGGGGTATCTAAATATGCTGCGCTATGCTAAAAGGTATGGCAAAAGTGGAGAGGAGGAGAAGTGAGTGACCCAAAAAGTAAATCCCCTCTCTAGAAGAAATCGTCAAAGTCAAAGCCATCGCCGCCTCCATCACCACCGTCAGAACCTCCTCCTTGATTACCCCAAGGATCGTCTTGTGGTTGTTGTGATTGTTGAGCCCAGGGGCTTTGCTCGCCCCAGGTATCTCCTTGCGATGGGCCGATGTTGGGGTCGTTTTGGTATGGGTCTAGAGGTGCTTGGGGGCTCGCGTCGTCGGCTTGTTGGTTGCCCCAGCCGCCGCGGTTCATGGCTTCTACTCCTGCCATGGTGCCTGCAGCTCCAATGGCGCCCTCTGTGCCTGCGGCTCCTCTTGCGGCACCGCCCATGGCGCCTGCAGCTCCTTCTGCGGCTCCGACCTCACCGGCTGCTCCGCCGACTGCTCCACCCACTGCTCCTCCCTCAGCAGCGCCGCCGCCCATACCAGGGAACCACATTGGGAAGAACCCAAACCCTCCGCCACCGACACCGCTGTGCCTGGAGAAGTAGTCAAAGTCGATACTGACAGCAGTGGCAAGCATGACAGCCCTCTGATCCAAAGTCATTGCCATTTGCTCCTGGTTCTGCACCTCTTCAGCAGCAGAATCCATACGCAAAGCATAAACACCAGTATCCGTAAAGATCTCTCGCGCAAAACCGACAAAGTTGCGATTCACACTGCCAATCTTGCGGTCGTCTGCGTCTTTGAGCGAAAAGTCCCAGGAGAGGAAGGGTTCGTTGACGTAGGCGAATTGTTGCATGCCGGCTTCGATGGCTTGTTCTGAGGTGCCTTCTGTGACGGTGAGGGCTTTGGCTGAGGTGTTGGGAGTATCTCCAGAGGTGAGCTTTGGTGCGTTGTCGTTTGCGGGGGCGATGGAACGGTGGTTGAAGAGGTTGTATTTACGGCGAAGGGGTGCCCACTGTTGTTGTGCTTCGCCGATGATGCGCATGTCTGTCAGAGGGAGAGGAGATACTTGTGCTGCGGAGGTTTGATTTATGGTTGATTGGATAGAAGTTCCTTGGAGTGTATCTGACGTGGTGTAGTCGCCTGGGGTAGTAGGATCGTAGATGCGGATGCGTGATGAGATCCAGGAGAAAGGTCGATGGATGCGCAGAATCTCCCTCTCACTGTTGTCAAATATGTGGCAAGTGAAACTGCGGTGGGTCTTTGCCATCTGTCGTACCAGCATACTACCCATACCGTGGTCCTGCTCGGCCATGTATCCGATTGTTTCTCCTCTGCCGTTCATAATAACGTATCTGTTGGCCTGTTCGAACCCAAGAAAGACGTTCATCATCTCAATCTGTCGTTGTATAACCAGTGAACTGTTGTTGAGCATATGCCATGCTGGATGGCCCGGTGTGAGGACGCCATTCGGGTCATCTGGGATTGTTACTGGTGCTACGAGATCCGAGGATTGGTTCTCGGCAAGTGCTGTAGCCACAAGGGCATTTTTGGACGGCTCTTCTGGTGTCTGTTCAACTTTCTCATCTGGCTTGTTCGAATGGGGCTGTTGGTTCTGCTGGTTCGGCTGTTGCGAGGACTGGTGGCGGGTATTTGCAGACAACGGAGACGTTCTCGACGGCCGAGGTGTGATGCGAGATGGCAAGCGTGCCTTGTTAAGGATGCCCCGGGGCCCTCTTGGGCCTCTAGAAGTCGATACATATCGTCGAGCTGCTCGAGAAAGCATTATCTGCGGTCGTATTCCAGACATGATTGTTGTGTGAGATGTCGATGAAGCAGTTCGAAGAATGACGATGGTTTGTTCTTACGCCATCGCCTAACTCCGTCTCGGTCCGCTCTTCCGAACCCTTCAAGCTTGGGCCATATCAAGAATAATCTCGCTCTCGTTCTCGTTCATGCTTGCCATAGTCAATACCAAGTACGATATATACTCTGAACGACAGTCGTGACCTGGTACTTGTATTATACATACAAGCCAAGTAAGTTGCAGTCATTTTCTCCTCATATGCACCTTGTTCCATCTCAAAAAGCGCGGAGAAAAGCATTCAGTCATAGACAGAAAAGAACAAACCCCACTATCAAATCATCTGTCTGAGAACGTCAAGCGTTGTTGATGTCAGGCTGAGTTTGGCTTGTCCGCATTTCCTCTTGTTATTCTATGGTCATTGAGAGGCAGTGTAGTGTATGGCGAAAGCTAAGATGAGCTTGTGCCTGAACGCGCTGCAAAAGTACTTTATGCTTTTCACCTCTTTAGCTGTACAAAGGGAATTTGCACGGTCTGTCTGACTTTTGATCAGATTGGAGCTTCGCGTCATCATTCCGATTCTATATTTCACAATGTACCACGGATGAATCTAACAGTATCGACAGAATTCCATTTTCGATCGCCAGATCAGTCAATCTCCACGGCAGAAGAGAATATGGCTGCTCCACAAGTCGACGGAAACGTGGGCTCGAGGCTCGACGTGCCAGCAGCGGTCCCTCAAATCTCAAAAGATTCGCCAACCCAGGACCCGGCAGCATCAGACAAGCCTAAGCCAGTCAGGACAAGGCCACAAAAGCCAAACTACTTTCTGATTCATTCAAAACCACTACCGCTCGAAACGCATCCTCTTCCAGCTTTTGTGCCGCAAAATCCCCTTTCTCTGCTTCGCATCGCATATATCTACCTCTCACAACTCATATCTGCACCATCGTCACATCGAGAGGTACCCATCACTGGCATCTTCAGCTCTGAGACACGATCTGTTCACATTACAGATCATGCTTCTGTTCGCGCACTCTGGGAGATGGGATTCTTCGGCAAAGGCACAATGTCGCGAAGTGAGCCAAGTTGGTTGGACCGAGAAAAGGCCAGGCTGAAGGCGAGCAAACGCGGCGGTGGTACTGCAGAAGAAAACACGAGAAAAAGAAGAGAAGAGCGAAAATTGTTCAAGCTTGAGAGAGCCAGAGCAGAAGCCGAGCAAATCGAGGAGACGTTGAGGCAAGAACGTGCTGCGTTGGGATCTGCAAAGCAAGAAAAAGATGAGGAGAAAGCGACCGAGATTGCCATCTCTCACGTCTTTCCCTGGATGCAACAGCAAGATGGCGATGCGGAGTTCAAGGAAGAAACAAAGGCTGTGCCTGCGGAAGATACTAAACCTCAAGAACCAGTAACCAACATCGTGGAGGTCCCCATTCTTCCTATCGGCACCACGATCCACACAGCGGGAATCCAGGATGAGACAGCTGTCACGGAGCCTGAAGAGGAAGTATCAATTACAAACCAAGAACATCTTCAGCTGAATCTCGAAGAATCATTCTTCTTGTCCTACGCCTTGGGCAGCCTGCGGATCTTGGACCCTAACACGAAGCAACCTTTTTCCAGCCCATCTTTACTTACGCTCTTCCGTCAACACTCGCACTTCCCTACTGCTCCGATCTCCACCCTGCGCGCAGATGACCCTTTCTTATTGAACTACGTCGTATACCATCATTACCGTTCTCTTGGCTGGGTCGTCCGTCCTGGTGTAAAGTTCTCATGCGACTTCCTCCTCTACAATCGCGGTCCTGTCTTCTCTCACGCTGAATTTGCTCTCCTCATCATCCCGGAATATGCAGAAGGAAGCATTGAAGCGGCAGAAGGAAAGGGCAAAATGGGTTGGTGGTGGTTGCACTGTGTCAACCGTGTGCAGAGTCAGGTCAAGAAGAGTTTGGTCATTGTGTATGTCAAGGTACCAAAGGACTTGCCGAGCTCTGAGAATGGAGAAGTGGATATTGGAAAGTTGTTGAGAGGGTATGAGATGAGGGAGTTTGTGATTAGGAGATGGTTGGCCAACAGAAGCCGTGATTGAGAGAGCACAATTGATTTGACGAATCAAGTCATGTACAACACATGAATCAACATCAAAGAAAGCATCAGCAGTTTTCCAGAGTTCACGTCTCCGATTGGCATGTACATTGATTGCTGTCCTCCACGTGCTTAGAAGTCAGAACATGTCGTTGGCCTGTTACTCCATAGACGCTGCATACAAAACGCCTGCTGCTCGGTAGTCAGACCCCTCGTAAGCATCAAGGGTCCACCGGCTTCCATCACCGCCCCTCTACGCAATCAACACGCTTGCGATCAACACTCATCAGCGCAACAACACTCCCACCTTAACACCACTCAGCAGATCCCCCGTCGCATACACAGTCCCACATCATGACAACCTCCGTGGCCTCCAAACGTCTCTTTCAAGAATACAAACACCTCACCCAAGACCCACCCGATGGCATCACCGCCGGCCCCGTCGAAGAAGACGACCTCTTCGTCTGGGAAGCCCTAATCGAAGGACCCGAAGGAACACCCTACGAAGGCGGCATCTTCCCCGCCGAACTAAAGTTTCCCAAAGACTATCCCTTGATGCCGCCGACCATGAAGTTTCTCTGCGACATCTGGCATCCCAATGGTATGTTTTCCGCTTCTCCCAAAGCAGCCCCGACGTCTGAGATGTTGTCACTGATCGAAAGTGCGCAGNTGTATCCCAATGGTGTCGTTTGCATCTCTATCCTGCATCCTCCTGGCGACGACCCTAATCACTACGAACATGCCTCGGAGCGCTGGAGTCCTATCCAGAGTGTAGAGAAGATCTTGATCAGTGTCATGAGCATGTTGGCTGAGCCAAACGACGAGTCGCCTGCCAATGTGGACGCGGCACGAATGTGGAGGGAAAGAAGAGTAGAGTTTGAGAACAAGGTCAAGCAAGATGTCAGAAGATCGCTGGGACTCTGAGAAGACTGAGCGAAGGGAACAAGAGCATACTTTGCATACAGCGTGAGCGTTCTGTGGGTTTGGCGTTCTGGGGTTAAAGAAGGGCAATGAAGAGTATCAGGGTGGTAGTTGAGCTATGCGGAATAAAAGATAATCTCCACTGTGTTTGAACGCGAGCGCCACGGAGAACATGCCGCAGTACGGACCACTGACGAGAACGCGAAGACGCGAATGGGAAAACGAGTATATACACGACCATGTCGCTCTTGTCCAAGGTCCCGAGTGCACGACGCCATGCCTTGGATCTAGGAACGTCCCACAACCATCTCGATTTAGCCGATCAGGCCAATCTCACAAAGTCTGTTCAATAGTAGCGAGCTAGATACTGGCGGGATGATTTTTCACTGCGCCTCATTGCTGCTTCCTGGCCTTATCTGGCTTGGAGTAGCTGGATAATGCAGAAGTTGTGGTTGACCCATCTATTTCTTGCCTTTCTTTTTACCGCTTGCCTCGGGCTTACTCGCATCTTTAACATAGCCACCCTTGACAAAAGCATCTCTTGCCGCAGTATTGATTAATCTAAACCGATCGGGACCCAATTGCACACCACCATACCACCTTGTGACCACAACCATGACATCCCAGATATCCATCAACTGCATGAGATGCAATAATCTGCCTCCCGCAGCCGTCTCACCATCATCGTCGCAATCTTGGAATGCAGTCTCGTTGGGCCCATGGATTCGCCATGCCGTAATGTTGTGAGTAGCTTTTGCGACTTTCTTGTCTGTAGCGAGGAGATGTGCCAGAAAAGACTTTGCTTCGGCTGGCGAGGTCACAGCAGCGGCTCGAGCGATAAAGACGGATTTCTTTTCTGTGAACACAGAGGAGAGAAGCCAGGGTGGTTCGTTGTCGGGCAGCAAGTCTAGCGACTGCGGTTGATGGTCAGGCATCGAGGTCTCGTCGTCGTCGTCGTTCAGAGCAGAAGATTGCTGACCTCTCCTTTGAGCATCTTGTTGCTCTTGATGTTTTTGGCTTTCGCTGCTGAGATTGCTGTATTGCTGAAGTCTCTGGCTGACTTCCTCCACGAGATCGAATATGCATGGTGAACCGGGTTGATAGACTTCTGCCAGGACCTCGCGTGCAATGTCGACCACATGGGTGCCTTCGCCCTTAGCAGCATTTTCGCCCACGGACTGAGTGCCCAGGATTGAAGGAGGGGCATCTGGATAGTCGTTTGAGAACTCGAGTCGTAGTGATATGTTGACTTCTCCTGGAAGTTCCAGAGAGCAGATTGTGGGATCTCGAGATAATACAAGCAAAGTCGATTCAGTATATATTGCGTTTATTGCTTGACATTCGTCTTCGAGAGCAGAGTCCATTAGATGTGATGTTGGATTTTGGTTGACTGTTATTGCATAGAGCAAGAAAGATTCTTGTGTGATACTGCAGATATATCAGTAATCATCGACTTTATGGTCTCAGAGTCAACCCACTGATAGGATCAAGATGCACCAAAGGGTCCTTGGGGAAAACAACAATCGATGATAGAATATATATAGTTGCAAATGGTCGTGGTGCCCAATGGTAGGATTCGAACATATATCAGTGCCAAGACGGTGGTTTGGACGTCACGCTTCTGCGAAACCATGTCAAGACTTTCTGCTTCTGCATACCATCAACACGACCACTACGCCTCTGGTCTTTGCGGAGCCTTGCCTTGAACCTCATATTTCGCCAGGGTTCATCTCGTCACATTCTTTAGTGGACACTCCTGCCGACCTCATCTCGCAACCCTCGTCGCGCCTTGGCAGCCCACCGAGATCACGCGCAGTCACTTTTTACGCCCATCCTCCTTACCCGACAGTCTCATCAGGAGACACCATACAAAAGCAATCATGTTCGCCGCATTGCCCAAACCGCGCTACACTGGTGAAGAGGAGGAGCAGAGACAATCTGTGGGTCCTCGAATCATCGGAGCCGACCAGGCAGCATCACAACAACTGCAAGTCGCCAAGCGCAGCGGGATCCCTCCATACGGCCAGCGCAACAACTGGCGACCCCGCGGCAACGAAGACTTTGGAGATGGAGGCGCCTACCCAGAAGTCTCGGTTGCGCAATACCCGCTGGATATGGGTAGAAAGCATGCCTCCTCGTCCAATGCTTTGACTCTGAGCGTCAATGCCGAGGGCCAGGTTGACTATACCGCCATCGCCAAGCGCGGCCACGCAGAAAACAGAATCGTGCATGCTTCGTTCAAGGACCTGATCCCGCTCAGACATCAAGCGAATGCTGGCGAAATCTCTCTTGCGCGTCCCGACGAGGAAACGGTCGCCGAAACAAAGCGAAAGACAGAACTGGCACTGGCGACTCTGGTCGCTGGTGCGAGCGCCGCCCAGCGTCCCAAAAATGTCAAGGGCGTGGAAAAGAGAGAAGCCTCGTACGTGCGCTACACACCCGCCAATCAAATGGGCCAAGACAACTCTAAGAAAGGCGACCGCATTATGAAAATCATGTCTCGCCAGATCGACCCAATGGAGCCTCCCAAGTTCAAAGCAAAGAAGATTCCCGGAAGACCTCCATCGCCTCCTCCTCCAGTCATGCACTCTCCCCCTCGCAAACTCACCGCCGAAGACCAAGAAGCCTGGCGTATTCCTCCCACCGTGTCGAACTGGAAGAACCCCAAGGGTTACACGGTGCCTCTGGACAAGAGATTGGCAGCAGATGGAAGGGGTCTGCAAGACGTAACCATCAACGACAAGTTCGCCTCTTTCGCCGAAGCTCTACAGACCGCCGACCGCCACGCTCGCGAAGAAGTAAAGTCCAGAGCACTAATGCAACAGCGCCTCGCCGAAAAGGAANAAGGAGCAAAAGAAGAAAACTTGCGCTTACTCGCCCAAAAAGCCCGCGAGGAAAAAGCAAACACGGCAGCCAGGAAACCATCTGCCCGCGAAGACAGCCGCAGCAGAAGCAGAAGCAGAAGCAGAAGCAGAAGCATAGACAGTTACTCCTCTCGCTCTCGCACAAACTCAGCAGACGAAACCGAACAAGACCGCCTCGCCCGCGAAAAGGCCCGCGCCGAAAAACGCCGCGACGCCCAACGCGAACTGCGCCAGAAAAACATGGGCCACGAACGCCGCATGCAAACCCTCGCCCGCGCCCAAAACCGCGACATTTCCGAAAAAGTGGCCCTCGGGCTCGCAAAACCCACTCAAAGCAAAGAAACAATGTATGACAGCAGACTCTTTGACAGATCCTCTGGCTTCGCGAGCGGATTCAATGAAGACCAAGCATACGACAAGCCACTATTTGCAGACAGGGAAGCGTTGAATAGCATCTATCGACCGCAATTGGATGCAGATGACGGAGAAGACGCGGGAGAAACACTCGACGCCATTCAGAAAACCAGTAGGTTCGAGACGCTGGGGAGGGCGCCCAAGGAAGGAATGAAGAGTGCCAGGGCTGCCGAGCAGAGAGAGGGTCCCGTGGTCTTCGAACGCGACAACGGGGATCCGTTTGGTGTGGAGCAGATGATTGCTGATGCGCAGAGTAAAAAGGGTGGGGATGTTGCTGGCAGTGCGAGTGTTTCCGGGCAGGGGGTCAAGAGGTATGGGCTCAATGAAGGTGGAGACCAAGAGGAGCGTGGAAGCAAGAGGGCGAGGATTGAAGACGATGATGACGAGTGAAAAAGGGACCCTTGCGTTTCCATCGTCTTTGGATTTTCAAGAATCTCCTCGAATATCAAATCTCGTTCAGCTCTGACTCTAGCCTCTTGGGACCCCTAGTGCAAGAAAAGTCAAAGTCATGCGAGTACAGAAAAAGAGTTGCATATCATTACGGACACATAAATGGACTCTACCGGGTGCTGTGCTGCTTCTGTCGCCAAACCCCATCTGAACTGAATCCTTTGACCTTAATCCTCTCCAAACCAAAGAAAGAAAAAACTCCTCGCTTGCTCAATAAACATCAAACATCATAATCTGGAACATGAAACCAGAAGAAAAAGGGAATGAGAAACTGATCGATGCTGCAATGGCTTGTACCCAATGCCATCAACGCGCCAACCCTCTCAAGCAAAAGGCATGGTGAAGCGACTGCGGTCATCGGCGACCTTTCTCTTGAACATGCCAAGATCCTTCATCAACTCGTCAATATCGGCTTGCCACTCTGCATGCTGCGACGAGTATCCCTCATCGTCACTCTCTTCTTCCTCTTCCTCGTCCTCATCACTGTAGACCTCAATCTCTTGAATGTCGCAGCCTTTATCTTCCTCTGCAGGTGGCAGAACGATAGGATTCTTCAATTCGCCAATGGCAAGAGCAAGATGTCTGCGCAAAGTTTCGACTTCCACCTTCAACTTGTTGTTCAAGGGGCGAAGATCTTCCAATTCTTGGTTCAAAGCGCGGATCTTTACGTCGGCGACAGCGCGGGACTCTTCCATTGCTCGTTGCATCTTTGTAACTTGGCGTTGGTAGTCTTCTAGCTCTTGACCTGCACGATCAACTTCGTCGCGTTTGCGAGTGGTTGATGCGTTGACGGATAGTTGGAGGAGGCGAATGGTCTCTGCCATCTCTTTGATCTGAGCATCGCGTTCGGCGGCAGACACGGCGTCTTGATTGACAGTTGCACGAGTGCGGATGCGTTTGGCTTGGTCGGCGTAGCGGAGCGTGGACAGGGTTTCTTCGTAGTCGGTGGGAGAGATACAGGCGACCATGGCTGTCTTGGAGTTGCCGCCCAGGCTGTCTTTCAACAGCCACGTTAGCACCGAATCACGATAGGGTACCACGTCCGAACGACGCTTGGTCTGGTTTGAGCGGCTGGGTCGTTGACGTTTGGGGTCTGCGAGAGCGGCGATAACGCGTCCAAGAGTGGTGAGGGATTGATTGATGTTTCCGCCTTCGCGTAGTCGCTGACCGGTTGCTTCAGTTCTGTTTGCTCGTTCGGAACCAGCCAGATCGACAAGACGCATTCGAGCAGTGCGCTCAATGGTGTTATCAGTGGCAATGTCGTGTTGGATCTGTTTGAGTGTGAGAGTGAAGACGGCATGCGAGCGCGATGACGTGTCGTTCATCTTGGTAGCAGCAACTGTTCGGTTTAAATCACCCATGTGCATGAGGCGCTGAATATCGCCAAAGGTCTTGACAGGGCTGTCGGTCAAGTTCTGGACATAAACTCCGTCCGACTTGCTCTCGCGGATCTTCAGATGTGTGGGCGGGTTGGTGCGGGGAGTGAGAAGATCGCGGACGTGCTCGTTGTAGATTTCAAAGTAGGAGACGTGGACGTTGTAGGTGATGTTTCCGTTCTGCTCTTGGTCGATGCGCTGGAACAGATTTTCGCATGTCCGGGGGNNGATGAGACCGGGCTGGTCCTTGGTGCCCATCATGGTGTATGACTTTCCAGAACCAGTCTGGCCGTACGCGAAGATACAAGTGTGGTAGCCGTCGAAGTTGTGGTCCAGAAAGTCCTCGCCAAACGAGGCGTAGACATCTTGCTGGTGGGCAAAGTGGGGCATTGACTCGTCGTGAGAGTAGAAGGACTTGTCAAAGACGAAGCTCTTTTCCTCGTAGACTTTGCGAGATTTGGCATCGAGAGACTCTGCAGGAGGAGGGTGGATTGTCGTCTTTTGCGTGTTCGGGTCCATCTCGATCAGGCATGGTGCTTGTCGCTCGAGTTCTGTTTAGATCCGTCAGCCTTCCGCTTGGCAAGTGAAGTGTGTAGTGCGCATACCTCGAGGCAAGAACTTGCGCACTCTGACAACGACCTTGACGTTGCCCTGTCCCTCTTCGCCAGCCAGATAAGAAGGTCGTGCAGAAGCCATGGTCGCTACTGAGTCCCTGGCGCGTAGGGATGGAGCCGAGGCTGTTGATATATAGGAAATGTCCGATTTCGAGACTGTGTGAGGAATATCCATGTTGACGTCTCCCAGGTCTAATTGCTGCTGGAGTAATATCAAAAGCTCAACAACCGTTGACTGGAAACGCAGTCGATTGTGGGTGAACATCTGTCAATCATCAGTCCAAGCTTGTGCCTTCCTCCGCAAGAAAGTCCCCCAAAAGTCAACAACTCGGCTGTTGCCACGACAATTCGGCTCGGCGCGCTGATCCTGAATCTCTCTCACCACTTTGAGCCCATCACCCTGCGCTCAGTTGGTCGCTTGTCGTGCTTGACAAGAAGAGATACCAGGCGTTTGAAGAGATGACTCGTTAACGAAGACTGCAAAACAGTTCAGGTGTACCCATCAGCTTGACATTCCATATACCACCACGCCGAGGAATGCTTAGCCATAGTCCTTGAGATTTTACTCTATACTCGTGATTACCGAACGAACTTTCCGTTTGTGCCAGTCTGTGGGGCTCCCGGACGACATTGATTGCTTTGAGCGGTGTGCCAATGTCCTCATAGCTCCCTCGTAGGATCGGACTGCGTCTAACAGCATACTATTGCTGCTGCCTAACTACACCCCAAAGACCCACTCTTTTACTTCTGCTCAGGGGCTCGGATTTTCGGTATCGTACTCATCTTACTCTTCTCACTCAACGACAGCTATCTCAAAAGAGATTGGATCCTGTCAATCACTCCAATATCATGCCTCCCAGCACCAGGCGCTTGCAGCGTGGCACCCATCTCACCGAGAACCAACCAGATACCACAAACACAACCCTCGCTAAGCCATTCCCCTTCCTCGAACTTCCAGATACAGTCCGGCAGCGTCTTTATGAACTTCACCTCGAAGCACCGCGGGGTTTCGTGCGTTTGTTCAGCAAGTCAGGTCCCACGCGTGTCCAGAGCAAAGTCACGCCTGCGAAAGTCAAGATTAACATCATGTTCACGTGCCGGCAAATCTATCAAGAAGCTATGCCAGTGCTTTACCGCGTCAACAACTTCTGCATTGGCCCTCTTCCTCATGCAGACTTGCTCCAGGACCATGACATAGCACAGTGCGACAAGTGGATTCGCAATATGCCTGTGAAAGGACGAAACCTCATCAACAAGCTCGAATTATGGCTTCCGATCCCGCCACTTGTCCTCCTCGACTTTGATCTTAGATGGCGAGATATGCGAGAGATTTTTCCCGGCCTCAAAAGCTTGACCCTGTTCTTCGATCTCAACAATCAGCTCAAAAGTTCATGGTGGTCATTGCCAGAGCCTGAGGAGTGCGAGAGATATTATCAGCATTTCAAGAGCATGATGCCACAAGCTAGAGAGACTTTTGTTGATCTGAGGATGCTCAGGCCGAGTCTCGTCGAGTGGCAGCCATTAATCGACAGTATTAACGAGGTGTGGGACGTATCTCCAGGCGAGTCTGCCTTCATCACCCAAGATTTACACCATGCGAACAAACATGCAGAGCAGAAGAGGGCTCTAGAAAAGGCACTGTTTGAGTCATTTGGCGTAAGAGCTGCTGGCCATCGAGGTCTCAGCTATTGGCAGATCCGACAGAACAAGGCAATAAACTCAGATTCGCCTTTGACCGACGATGACACTGACGACGAATATGAATGCTTTGACAAGTTTGATGCTCCCAAGATTGTTGCAAGGTTAGAGAAGAAGCTGGAGAGCTTGGCTCATGGATCATTCGATTTCGAAGAGGAAGAAGGTTCGTGGTGGTGATTCAGGGAAGAATGCGGAAGCCATGCGTCTCAGCTTCGCTGATTGCGCGTCTGCATCGCTGAAGTGTAGATTTTGCTGGTGAATAAGATAAAGGCTCGTGTACCTTTTCTATGATCATTCGACCTAAATCTCTCCTCTTACAAAACGTCAGTCAAGATTGCATTTAGCCATGACTTGAGTCGTGTTCCAGCTATCCCAAAACAGACAATGCATCAATGTGGAACACGACACATGAAAGTGAGCCTCTTAGCAAAGGTGTGTGCACTGTAGAGAGCATTCGCAAACATCAATCAGCTGTGGTATGTCAATGTGACTGTCGACATGGGACAGTCGACGTAGATATGAATTCCTTTGTCCTCCTAGAAAACGCTGCCGCCGACGCCGAGTCGGGGACACGGACAGATGCTCGCGGACATTGCTCCGCGAAGACCATGATCTAGAGCGACTGTTTTTTGATACCGAAGTTATGCCGCATCGAATCTACAATTTTGTTTGATGGACCCAAAAGAAGGAGTAAATATATGCAGACACTTCGTGGCGCCCTGAGTCGCTCTTACACACGTTCGTCTTCTCTTGCAGGGCGTCGGTGGCGTTCTTTCCCATACCATGGTCGCTCCTTCCGTTTCAGTACACACGACGCTGGCGAATATTTTTCTTAGCAGAATTCCGGAAAATGAACGCTTCGCTGCCGTACGGGACCTTGCCTCCAACATTGACAGCAACACACTTGGACTTGTTGCTGCACTTGCTCATCAATGTCCTGACGAGGAGGCAAATGTTCATCTCAATGAATTCTTGATCAGATCGATCGAGCAGGATGATGCTTCTTCGGCTGCAGCTCTATGTGTAGAATATCCTCGGATCCGAAATGCTTTATTGCACTGGACGGATCGTGAACTCCACATCTGCTTCTCACAGCTTCTTCGTCAACCAGAGAATGCCGAGTTTGTGGTTCCAGTTGAAAAGGTGTTGATCGTGGACCCATTCGTCTCACATTATGACCCCGAGCTCGGAGTTGATCGCCAGTTGGATGAACTTGTCAAGACGACTATTTTGTACTTGAGCTTTGCCAAGCAACTTTTCAGAAGTCCGATACTCGACGAATCTTTTGTCGTCTCGAGTCCGATAGTATGTGCCATCTTTGGTCTCCTTGCTTCATCGAACTCGGATATCGCAGCAGCAGCGAAGGAGACTATTCTCGCCTTCTTGGCTTCTTTCAAAGCCGGTACATTTACCTTCTCGCATTTTGAGACGGATCCGGATGAGCTTGACAGGCATCTTTGGCAATGTATCAGAAATCTGCTCGACTTCAGCGAGAAGAGCTCGTACAAGACCACTGCCTATACTATCTGGTTGAGATGGCTAGACCTGGATAGTCATGGGTACTCGCGCCAAGTGGCTCTGCAGAAAGACCCTTACTGGAAGTATCTACTCGGAACGCTAGGCCAGTCATCTCAAGGAGACACCGAGCAAAGGAAGATCTGTCTCCACGTTCTCAAAAAGTCCATCTCAATTTCCCGCAATAACATCTGGGCCAACGATATGGAGTTGACACTGGACCAACAAGACAAGACGGGTGAGTGACGTTCCTTGTCCTGGAGGAGTTCTTAACTTGGTTCGGAATACATATGACGAATCAATGGATCTCAAGCTAGTATCGCAAGCTAGACGTATTGCTGACACTATGATANNGGGTCCATAGTCGCCGAGTCCCAGTACGCAAGATTCTGTACTGTTTACGAGACAATTGTTATTGGCAGATATCTCAACCAGGCACTGGAGTGTGTACAGGATCTCGATCACCTCGCGTCTGCCGAGACTATAGTCCAAAAGTCATGGCTCTTTGCTCTTCTCGAATCAGCACTTTCTCCGGTCACTCAAGACAGCATGCGGAAGATGCTGGGAAACTGGCTTATGAGCACCGATATCAGGCTGTTCAGTCACGCCGAAGAGTTTGCAACATTGTTGCAGAAGTCTTTCCTACCTTGGGCCACTCAAGGTCCTCTGTTCACTGGAACTGTTCAAGGAAAGACCAGAGACATGAAATGCGCTCATGGCACAAGGCTATCAAACTTCCTGGAAAGATTGCTGCAAGCCCATCTCGGCCGAGACGACGCTTACTCCAGAAAATGTATCGTCAATGCTGTGCTCATATATCTGGACAACAACAAGAACAAGATCGTCCCTGTCGCTGTGATCTATCTTCTCCAAGGTCTGGTAAAGGGCCTGCAAGGAGAGTCCATGGCTTGCATGGAAGGCGAGGCATTAGAACTGATCCTCAATCTGTCAAGAATCACTGGCTACCCCGAAGTCGCGCGCGATGCTATGCTTGTACAATGTTACAAACTCTCCCAATTGATCAGCCAGGATGCTGAGACATACGGCGAGTATGGCACGGAGAAGCTGACCGCATGCGACGCCAAGCTCGAGGTCTTGTCTCAGCAGATTGAGGCATTCAAGATCAATGCACCCTCACGATTCGAGTCAGACNAAAAAAGATCGTCAAGATGGAAGTCGCTTGATGAATTCCTGGATGAGCTTGACAGCTCTCGCCATACAAGTGTCCAAGGCACTGGGCTATTGATGGCGTGTGAGTCCTTGACTTCCATCTTTGATGGGACCGGCGCCCGCAATCTCGATGCTCAACAGCTGGATCGCGCCTTTGACGCTGTGTGGAACGAGGTGGAGAGACAAGATTATCCTAGAGATGTTCTCATGTTCCTACCACGTCTGGCACTGCATCCTGGTTGTGTCAGTCGCTGTCTCGAGGATGATACGTTGTGTGCCACAGTCCTGGAAATCTTTGCTCAACTTCAGCATTTGATGAAGGGCAGAATCTACCTCTGGACGCCTATTATGAAAGCATACAGAACAGCCATGATCACTTGTCCCGCTGCCGCTGAGAAGTTTGGCATGGATGAGTTTGTCATTCAGACTGCGAACAACCTTCCTGCTGCAAGACTTGAATTCAAGCTGGAGGCTGCAGCAATACAGCTGTTGACTGAGGACGGTGACATTCACCGCGGCTACAGCGACTACTACGGAGAGTATGAAGAGATTGGACATGCCGCGTTCTTCGATCTCGTCAACCGTCTCAGCAGTATCAACTCATTAATGGTCAGCGAAATCTATGATCGTCTGCTCAAACCATGGACGAAACAAAGACCTCCTGTGCCTATCGTCACCAAATGGAAGGCCACTACGCAACTCCAGGTCTTGCTCATGCTCTCCGAACAACGCCTGCGAGAAGTATCGGCTCAGGAAGCGGAAAATCAACTCCGAGTGTTGCTGAGAGTGGTCGCGATTGAACCGCTTCCGAGATACCGCTTCGTACTGGAATGGATTGTTGCTCGGGTCATCATCAACCATCCCTCCACAGGCCAACTCGTTCTGGATGCACTGTCGTCCAAAGACCATCATTCGAACCCTAAATATCTTGGAACTCTCGTCAAGATCGCCTTGATGATCGCCTGCCAAGAACACTGCTCTCAAGACTTTGCAGCAAGAGTAGCATATCGTTTAGTGGCGCTTGCATCCAGTGCAAAAATAATCATCCGTCATGAGGCACAATGGTCATTTCCAATCCTGTGGGATTATGCTGATAGCAGGGGCTGGACTGAAATCCAATCAAACCCTGCATGTGCTGCATTGAACGAGTACATCCGCAGTCTCGAAAGATTCTCGGAACCGCCACCAGCTAGAGAACTCGAGCGTCTCGATCCCTCAGCGGACAACACACTTACAAATTTGCTCCAAGGCAAATACCTTCGTGTCGAACCACCCGGTGAGGAAGCCGTCGTGACTGGCGATTTCCAACGCCTGTGGGACAACGACACGGTGACAAAATCGACATCGGAAGCCTTACCTTTGGGTATCCAGCCCACCATCCCAACACAAAATGGCGTCCTTCCCGCCCTAGCAACTCAAGAGCAGTCCAAAGAGTCAGCCCGCACTGAAGCATTCGCCGCCCTCCAAACGAAAGGAACGGCATATCTGTCAACCGACCTCTCCACCTCGGACTCGTCATCCACCTCACCAACACGCCCAACCTCCCTGATCGTCGTCGGCTCCCTCGTAGACAATGCATACAACCTCGGCGGCCTCTCGCGCATCAGCGAAATCTTTGGCGCAGAGGCAATGTACATCCAATCCCCACACTCGGTGCTCGGCAACAAAGACTTTGTTTCAGTGGCCGTGGCCTCGCAAAACCATCTCCCCATCCACGATTTGCACGCCGACAATCTTTCTGCTTTCCTCACCGAGAAGAAGATGCAAGGGTATACTGTTGTGGGCGTTGAGCAGACTGATCGCAGTGTGCTCTTGGGCAGCGAACAGTGCAAGTTGCCGGAAAAGACGCTGCTTGTTATGGGTAGAGAGAAGGAAGGCGTGCCGGCCAATGTGCTGGGAGAGTGTGATATGCTTGTTGAGATTCCGCAAAAGGGAGTTACGAGGAGTATGAATGTGCAAACGGCGTGCGGCGTGGTGCTATTCGAGTATGCCAGACAGCACCAAGGATAACAAGTAGACATGTGGTACTAGATTTTCCTCTCAACATGCTTGTATGTAATCGAATAACGTGTTATATTACGCCTTCCTTTGCAGTAGCTCGCCGAGCTTATTGCAGTCTAGCTATCATCCGCAATCCAGAAACCAATGTCTATAGAGTTAAAGGCAGGGGTGCTTTCTTCGCAGTGTGCGGCGATCTCGTCGGCTACCACGGCGGCTAGATCTGCTGCAGACATGCCTTCGAGAGCTGCTTCCTGATTGTCACTCAGTGTGCTCAGGGAAAATTGACTTGGTTGCTCGTGCATCAAAGCGTCTGTGCCGTTGCTCTGCGCCAGAGGTCCAGACCCGTCAATGTTCGGCACTTCCTCATAGCACCTGAAGTTTGCGAACTCGAAGTCGTGAATGTTCTCAGGTGTCCGATTGGCATCTTGAAGGTCAAGGTCAGATGATCGACGAGTCTCGACTTGAATTGTTTCGGCTTCGGACTCGTCGTGGTCTTGCTGTTCTGCAAAGCTCTCTAAAGTGGTTTCCATGGCGGCAGTGGTGGGTGACTGCTCGTGCGGCAGCTGCTCGTTCACAATCTGCTCGGCTATAGAATTTGCAATGCGGTTTTGATCAGAAAGTCCGTTCACAGATTGATCGTGGAAGAGATGCCTAGTCTCGGCCGAATGTTCTTCTGATGACAAAGCAGTGCTCGAGAGTAATGATGGCGTTTCTCGATGAGAGGGCACCAACGCAAGGCCAGCTCCGTTGGTCGTCTTTGGCTCGACTTGTTCAGTGCGCGACTCCTCGATTGTTGTTGATTGATCGACAACTGAAGAGTTCTGTTTCTGCCTTTTTCGTGAGGGTCCGGGGTCTTGCTCGTCCATCAGATGTTCGAGGAGATTGGATGCCTTTGTGGTGTGCTCCTCGCTGGGTCCGTCAAGCAAGCTACTTTCTTCAGGTACCGGAGACACCACAGACCTTCTCTTTCGACGCGCACATGATCGTGCATCGATAAACTCCTGTTCACCCTCGATTCTCCACCGCTCTTCTTCCCGTATTTGTGTCCAACGTTTTTGCAAGCCTCTGGGGTACGAAGAAGAGTGGCATCGGCTGCATCGTTCAGTAACTCACTGATTCTGACGAAGCGTCGATCGCTGAAGCCGTGGCCATAGTCTTTCACGGTATCCTTGACTGCCTGCCTCAGCAGAACCTTTTGGTGCTCCGTCCACCTTTGGCTTTTGCTTGTCTCGAGTGTGATCCAACGAAGCTTACAAGCTTCCGACGACCGTGTGAAACCTTGCTCTTGGAGCATCCTCTCGCAGACCAGAAAGCGCTGCGCCATCGATCTGGAATCTCCTACGGGGCCTTCCATTACCTCGCGAAGGAGTCTGGTCTCCTCAATAGACCAAGCTGGTTGATTCCAGATAGTTTGACATTTGTCACGTTGCGCATTGGACTGATCGGAGGAGTTCACATCCAGGTCCTCGGGCTGCTGGATACGGTACCATTGTCGGAAGCAAGCCCATGCGCTAGTTTTGAAGAGGAAAATGTCACTGTTGTTCAGTAGCTCACTGACTTTTTCGAAGCGCTCGGGACCTGAAAGATGATCCCATTCTTCTGCCGTCGCTTCTACTGTGTCTCTCAAAAGTGCGCTCTGCTGCAGGTTCCATACGCGCCTATCACCAGTGGCAAGTGTTCCGCGCCACATGCGACTACAGGCAAGCCGAGTACGCTTGAAGCCTCTATCTTTGAGTGCTTGCTCGCACATCGGATAACGTTCCTTCATCGGGATGCGCGTATCGTCAATCTCACGCATCGTGTTTTGCAAGACTCCGACCTCCTCGTCAGACCAAAAATACTTACCAATCGGCAGCAGCGTAATCGCTCGTTCACCACTCTCTGCGTCAGACTCCTGAACTGAATTTTCATTACCATCTTGGTCGGGTTGGCTGTCGTTATCTTCGTGACTCGACATTTCAAGCAGATCGGACTGTTGGTCAAATTCGGCATTCCGATCCATTTCGGCCAAGACACTGGACGGTATTGAAGAGAGAGGAGAATCTGCCGCTTGCGCTGTCTCATCTACAGCAGGGCTTGATTCTCTGGAGACTCTTCTTCTTGAACAAGGATCGTAGAGAGCTGCGGAGGGATCTAGCACTGGTTCTGACTGCTCGAAAGCCGATTCCGTTTCTGTAGTCCAGATATGTTCGTGGTTACCATTGTCAGGCTCGTCTAACATTTCGGGGACGGCGTCTTCCGCTGCTTGCTGATCGGACTCTAAATTCGCTATCACCAACGTAGGCGATGATCTCCAGCCAGCGTCGTCTTCGGAGGCTTCCTCATGAGCTTTCTTCGGCGAAAAAATGTCGTGTTGGTCGGAGGTTGGTTTGTCTTGCCTGACACCAATGCACGTAGTGGCAGATACTTAAGATCTTGGTCTTCCAAGCGCTTGCTCATCGTTTTCATATCCTTCCCCTGGCTTTCCGACTGCGCCTTCAGAGAACCAATCTCGGAGGCGAGGCTCGAGTGCTGTTCCTTGAGTTCACTTCTCGCCCATGTGAATATGGTGTCGCGAGTTCCGTGGAAGTATATCTCCATGCGAGCCTGCCAATCTTTCAAACCAGTATGTTGGACAGATTGTTCTTCCAACGTCAGGATTCGTGCTGGTAGGTCCTTAAAATACAGGAGTCGTGACTCTATGTGGGTATATTGCGATAAAAGAATGCCTGTCTGCGTCTTCAACGCCTCGATTTTTGCAGCTTGCGTCTCGAACAGTGATGCGTTTGTCGTAAATTTTGTCTGCATGGAAGCCTTGATACGAGCTTGGATTTCTTGATGATCTTCCTCCATTCTCTTCTGCTCTGCCAGGACGTCTTCGAGTTTTTTCTCAAGTCTCGTGGTCTCTATGCGCTCATTGGCTATGAAATCAATGCTTGCTTGATTTTGCCTCAGAGCCAAATCCCGAGCCTCGCACACGTCGTTGAGCTTAGTATGAAGATCATCAACTCGGGTGCTGAGTTGCTTCATGACCTTCTGCTGCTCGTCATATTGTCCTTTGAGATTGTCGTGTGATACCTTGAGCTCGTCGTATTGAACATCCCTTCTGCTCATCGTTTTCTCCACGTGAAGCATTCGAGCATTAATTCCAGCAAAGTCGCGATCGTGTCCAGCATGTCGCTCACCATTCGCAATATGCAGGTCGTCATGAGCAGATAACCGATTATCGTGTTCAGTAAGTCGCCGACCGTGTCCAGCACAATTCTCTGCAAGGCCGACAAGTCCTTCATGGGTTTCGTTGATGTCGTTCTCATTCCTGGCAAGTTTCTCGCCATGTTCCGCGATGGCATTCTGAGTCCTGATGAATTGTTTGTCGTGTCCAGCAAGTTCTTTCTGGATCTCGTCGATCTCTGTTCGGTTCCTCTGACGCTCTTCATGGAACCATCCTGACATGAGGCTAACGCAATCGTCATAATTACCCTCCATTTCATGCTGCAGCTCTTTCAAATCTGTGACTAGGTTCTCGGAGATTGTCTGCTGGTCATCAATTCGCTTCTTCAGTGGGATCGTGCTGGCTTTCCGAATGTCTTGTTTGATGTTTGTGAGCTTTAGTTCCTTTTTGAGAGTCGCGTGTGCTTCCATGAGAGTTGTAATTGCTTCCTTGAATTCATCAACGGCTTTCTCATGTTGTTCTTGCATGACCACAAGTCCTAGATTTGAGTCATCCTCACAATGGCTACAGCACTGTCTAGATTGCTGGTCCTGAGACTTCTTCTCATGCTGTTTAAACCCAGAGTCTTTGAGGTCCCGCCGTAGTTCGATGAGCTGGGCAGAGACCTTCGAGGATTGACCTGTTGGTCGATCCAAGCGCACGATTTGATTGTTTTGCTCAACCTTCGTCTCGTTAATGGTTCTTTGGCGATCTCCTTGCTGCTTTTGATGGTTTGGTGTTTTTTGCTTCTTTGACTTTGATTGCTGATTCAGAGTCTCCTGATGTTTGAGTTGAGAACTTGACGGTTTTGGCTGAGTTGATCCGGCATGTGACGTTGAGATTTGCTTTGATCCATGAATTGGTGTTCCTCGATGTTGCATTTGATGGTTCGGCGTTGGCTTCGACTTTCGCTTCCGCTTCAGCGAATTCGGTGTCCCGAGTCCTTGAGGCATTGTCGTCGAAGTGTTTTCACCCAAGTCGATGAGGTGCAGGCCAAAACTGTGAATCAGCAAGACAGAAACGATTCGCTGCCTCGCAACGTCTATACCACACTTCTTCCGCATTTGCGAGGTGCGGTTGGGAGCTGCTCATTTTTTTACGCGGCGAATCCCGTGGTCCGTAGGCTCCATCTTGTGCCCATAGCTTTCGATTTATATTAATCGTCGGCGGCATATTCTGTAGTCGGAGAGTTACACTTGGTGGTCTATGTGAAGGGAAGGAGGATAGATGTTGTAGTGAGTCGTCGTTCGTTGTGAGACAACGACACTGTGAACGGGAAGTCGCATTTCCCCTCGCCTCGGTCGGGGCAATACATCCACGAACATCGCTTTCTTGAGACGATATTAGGAATGATATATTGTACAAGGTGTTTCTACACGAATGTCCTACATGTATTTATTCCACAGCCTATTTCTACACTGTTGTGTTCTGAAGCTCACCTTCCTTATTTTCGGTAGCTCTGGAGAACACTCGTTGCAAAAATTCCTTCTTGTCCTCCGGAAGTCCAGCCCCTCTGTCCTGCATTCTCTGCAAGACTTCCCAGAACCTATTGTCTGTTCGTTCCGCCAAAGACTCAGCCAACAAGCCGGCTGTGGGCGGTCTAGGAATGAAGCCCAACTCGTACATCTCGTCAAAGTAGCGGTATGCGTGGTCGAGCTTGGCGTCATGGACACAGATGACTACCAGACGGTCGTACACAAGAGCGTTTGGCTGAACGCCTAGCTCCAGCATCTCAGAGACCAGGAACATGGCCAAGTCGTAAGCCTGTTGGCTGTTGGGTTTTGCCGCGCCGCGAAGGAGGACGTTAAAGGTTTCGATGTTGCTGTAGGAACCACTACGACGGACGGGTTTGCCGTGTCTGTCCACGGCAATGCGTTCATAGAGATGCATGTGTTTGTACGTCACAAGGGCTTGCTCAAGTTGACCTGATTCGACAAAGCCTTCCATCAGCACATTCAAAGCCGCAATAGGAACTTCTCGACCGCTTTCGTGGAGAGAGGTTATAATGTCAAAGGCGGTTGTGCATTCGGAAGGGTTGCGAACAAGGTGTGTGAAGATGGGCCGGGTAGATACAGAGGTTGGAGGGATCTTCACGTTTGCCATGATGGTGAGGACGGTAAAGGCGGCATGGAGGTCGGGTGGTGATGCAGACATGTATGTGGCCAAGAGTTGATCGTAATGAATCTGTCGAAATGTTGTGCTGCGTTTGCCCAGGACGTGGAAGACGGACGTAGCGAGAGCAGCGTCGCCNCTGCGAGCAGCTGTGGTCAGGACGTTCAGGCATGTCCCAGATGAAGGTAATAGATAGCCTGGGATGACTTGGCTGTTCCAGACATAGACTGTGCTAGGATGGTGGAAGAAGGCTGCTGAGCAGTCGAGCATGTGAGCCCAGATGTTTCGATTCACGATCCAGGCGTTGGCGGCCACACGGTCCTTGACTATGAGCAAGGCTTCATCGAACTCTCTCATCTCGAGCATGGTGTACAGAGCAATATCGTAGAGCCAGCCTTGGATTGGCACATTGTCCTTTCGCATTTCTTCGAGGTGATTGCGACCCATCTCGAGCTGACCTTCGCGGAACAGGGCAGCGCCGACCCAGTGATAACCCTCGGTAGTGAGCTGCAGCCATTGACGGCGCATGTATTGTAGGATGTCGATGCGCAGCAAGTAGTCCATGTGAACACTCAGCACACGCAGTGCATCGTGACAGATTTGGACGTTCATCTGTAGCCCTTCATCCTCCATCTCAGCCAGCAGACGAGCGACGCTCCTTGCAGAGCCTTCGACAGGATGTACATTCGCGAGTATAGAGATGGAGTATAAGCGAAGGTTGGGCGTCTCTCGTCGAACGCGTACCAAGTATTCGACTATCTGCATTGCCTCGCGACTGTTCTCTTTGGCAGCAGCAGCATGTGCTAGCTCATACAAGTCCGGTGTGCTGTACAGATAGTAGTCTNNTCTTTTGATGGTTGCTTTGGGCCGAGTTATTGTTCTCATGGTGGTATCGTAGCCCTTTAAGTGTCGATGCTCATCCAAGGGTACAAAGGCATCCATAGCCGGACGACCACTCTCTTGCGACCTGAGCGGCACATGGACATTTGCGTTGAAGCGGACAGGTGAGAGGGTGGAGTTGTAGCGTGGCACTGCCGGGGTTCGTGGACGAGTAGCGGCGCATTGTAGCGCTGGTCGGCGGCGGCGGATCAAGGCATTACGAGTAGACGATCGCGGCGCCGAGGCGTATGATGGACAGAGGCAATGCCAGAGCCCGTCGGCGACAAGTCTGGGTGTGGTCGAGGACATGTGCAATTACGAGCGCGCTTGGAAATTCCGAGTGACATTTTGAAGGCGCGCATGTGAACGCCGAGCCCGGCTTTTGGTCCATACAGCTGGACAACCGGCACGAACAAAGATTTGAACAAGACTATTACGCTTCAATCTGTACAGCAGTCCAACACACTCAGGTTCAAATCATAAACTCTTGTTAATGTCGTGATGATATTCTGGCTGCACAGCCTGTCTGCAAGTCGTGCATGGGTATTCTGTGCCTCTTGATCCTTTGCTCTAGATGGCGATTCCGCGCTGATCAACGCGATCGCCGCACATGTCCGCTTGTGTGTCTCAGAGTCTGCGTGGCTGCCGTTCTTATCGAGACAGGACCAGGCTCGAGCTGTTTGCTTCTTGTTCGTCTTTCCTGACCGTAACGCTTCAACCACCACGGCCACGACCTCCTCTGCCACGACCACCACGGCCTCCCCTACCGCCACGCTCTCCACGCCCGCTGTGGTCACCTCTTCCTCCTTGACCTCCTCCGCGACCGCCTCTGGCAGCTTGTTGGCTGGCTTGTTGGTCCTTGACAAGATCCACAATCTCGTCTTCCATTCTGAGGTATTTGATCTGTCGCATTCCGAATCAGCTTCCTGTTGAATGTGTCGTTGTAGCTTGATACGAATGTAGACGCACGTTGTTTCCGCGAACGTAGCATTCGGGTAGTCTGAAGAAGCGATCGCCTTCCGGGCTCGTTTGGATGACTTCCTTGAGTGTGAGGTTCATGTATGTATCGCAGCTGACCAGATGTCCGTTCAGGGTCTCGCCGTTCTTGAGCTCGACGAGCATAGGGTGGCCTTGGGCGGCAGTAAGAAGACCGAGAGGGAGCTAGAGTGCGACAAGTGATGGTTAGTCGCCTGACTTGTGAGCAGGAGGGCTCTGTGTAGCTTGTAGAAGCGAGCTCTCACTCACCATTGTGGATGCGACAACGCTCGATGCGTCAATGTGTTATAGATGGTTCAAAGGGTGTGTTTGCGCATGCTCTTGGTCGCGCAACCAGAGAGCAACAACGACGTCAAGCAATTCGGAAGTTGCCGACCTCTCAGTGAACGACAATGAGGAGGTCGATCGTGTCAAGCCAAATTGCTCCGATGGCCGACTCCGACTCCGAATCTCCGTCTGCTTTCCAGATCCTTCGCCGAGCCTCTCTTCCTGACCCTGGACCCATCCCATAAACTGCTGCCTACGGGCTCTTTTTCCACAGCTCGTCTTTTCTGCCACCTCACCGTCACGCCGGCGGTTTCTTCGACCAAACAAATCCGGCCTGGATAGGCCCATGTAGACATCTGATTTATTTGCAAAACTATCCTTCCGTTCGACAATGTGTTCAATCAGCCTACTTTTGTTTGCTCTTGCCTTTACATGCACTCTAGTCTCTGCCGTTCCTTACCCCGTCTTACCCTCATTCTCTTCCTTTACCAAAGCCGCCAATGAACCCATTGTTGGTATGATCTATCCTAGACACGCTTCTATGATACAACCCTTACTTATCAATCCATCTAGACNNAGATTCGAAACAATAGCCGTCAGAGTTCCGTGCCTTGACTGTCCTGTATACGAAGATGACGTGGCCCTGGTTAGTATATACTCTTGCCAAGAGCGCCATATACCTCTTTCGACTTGGAGTACGCGTATCTTGTCTTGTCTTGTATCTGACGTCTGCCTCAGGNACTTTGAGCTTCAATACCCTCGTCTCGACTCTTCGACAAATCTTTGCGATGTCGACTTTACACTAAACGGACGGCCCATCGTCGTCGACCGCTCCAACCAGGGCCAAATATCAACTCTGCACATCCCTCGCGGTCTAGCTAGCCAACATTGGGACGTTGATCTTGCCGTACAAGGCCTTTGTGATTCTATCGCCGACGATTCTGTCTCTACCCAGCGCGCCCTCTACTTCAACATCACCAAAGTCGCTCAACAACCCCTGGTCACCCCTGGCACATTCACAGTCGTCGTCGGTCACTCTGAATCACCTCAAGTTCTTATTGACTCGGAGATTGACGAGCAGGCCGATTGTACCTCAAAATTGAAGAGCGTGATCAATGAGAATTCTTCCATCCTTTCCAAGATCGAGGCCATCCCAACCGACAATGACATCAAGTCGTCGGCCGATATTCTTACCGTCGAACAAGTCCTCCGCAACCGTCTCCTCGAGCAGGCGACAAAGCTACAGAAACTGAATCAACGCTGCCACAAGGACTTTTCTGAAAGTCTAGCTGACTGTCACAAGGATATCTCTTGCATGAGTAAAGTCATGTGCCAACGCATCCATGACACAACTTACCAAAAGATCAAGGAAATTCAAGCCGCTCTCCAAGACTCCATCATGGTTAGCAAGGACCGACAGGACCAATACGTTGCTGCAGATGAGAAAGATAACTGGAACTTCAACGTCAGCTCCGTCGACAACCTCCTGTCCGATATCAAGGATGGAAGCTCGAAAAAGTATGCGCATGAATCACAGCATCCTTTAGTGCTCGCTCTGGAAATTCTCGCAGCAGCAATCGGTCTTAGCGCCCTGTGCACATTCATTCGCCGCCGCTGCGGTTCTCTCCGTCGTCGCGTCGAACGTCTATCGGACAAGGAGGAACGTCGACGAGCTCGTCATTTCCGCTGTCTTGCACGCAAGGAAGCCCTTCGCAAGAAGTGGGTCTCGTTCAAACAGGTCTTCAAGCGCTCCCCTCGCAACGGAGACTACGAGGAGAAGCGTGCGCTTGTCATCGAAGCCGCTGGTGCAGTAGTCGATGACTATGCCGAGGGATGTTCACGGCAGATCGATGATCTCGAGATGGGTCACGCATTTGGAGACCTCCGCAATGCGCGCGAGTTCGTGGCCAGTCTGGTTCACCTTGGGAGAGCGCGCAAATCATCGAATGCTGGTTCTGGAACCACTACTTTGCCCGAATATACTGAGGAGAAACTGCCAGACTATACGTCTACACCAGATGACTATGCACCTTCAATCGTCAGCGTGGGTTCCATGAACACCGGCATCACACCGGACAGCAGTATCGCCATCACGCCCAGATGCAGTCGCGAGACATTGCGCACAGGCACCGACTTCAGCGCCGAGTGATCGCGGGTCACCTTCTTGTTCTTCGTCTTCTTCCTTTTTTTGCTTTTTCTCTTCTTTGTAATTTTATGGAATGTGATGAACCGACAGAATTGGTTTTGGGGTTGGGAGGATTTCGTCTTCTGCTGGACAAGGAGTTGGACTTTTGGGTGAGGGTCTGGAAGGATATCTGCTGGGCACGTATAATGGGTGGCGAGGTGGCAAGGGGTTGGAAGAGCCGCTATAATGCTGGCCAGGATGGGTGAATTATGCATATATACAATTCGCGCTGCATCAAGCGCTTTCTTCATTAAGAAATTAGTGCTCCCCTCGAATGTGGCAATGCGTCTTTCCAGCGGTTGACAGATTGAACGCGCTTCCTCTTGTGTCATAATGTCCTTCTGCCACCAAAAACGCCCCAAGTGGTATCATAACATCCCATCTCCAAGTCATGCACAAAAACCCCGCCAGACCACTGCCTTGTTTTTTCTTTCCTATTAGGGTATCTCACGAATTCAAACTCCCAAACTCGCTCTCGGTCATCTCACTGCTGTCTTTGCCATCATAGCCCCAAATATCTCTACTCTGCATTTCCACCTCTCTCATTGCGTCGGCCACACCGTCCAACTTGCGCACCACCTCTGCAACACCTTGTTTGACGGCCGCAAAGTACTTGTCGCTCGTCTCTCGTCGTTTTGCCGCTGATGTGAGGTCTAGCGTTGTCGCTGTAGATAGTTTTCTCTCATTCTGCTCTGCGGCTTTTTCTTGGTCCTTGTGTGTATTGTTTTGCTGTTGTTGTTGTTGCTGTTGTTGTTGCTGTTGCTGTTGCTGCTGCTGTTGCGGTGACTCTTTTTGTTTTGTGGCGGGAGAAGAAGAAGACGGGCCAGTGGTTGTGGATGTGGAGATATCTTCGGCATCTGTTTGGCCCCATGCACGCGCCAGTTCTACTTGAGCTGCTCGCAACTCTTCTAGTGCTTTTGCGTGGCCGGTGCCGAAGACGTGCGCCGATGACCCGGCTGACAGCTCGATGTCTGAGAGGGTGGATTGGAGGGCTGCCCAATGCGCGTCTAGGACCGCGGTGCCGCGGCGTGGGCGCTGGCGTTTTTGTTCTTCGTTGCCAGAGATATTTTGGAGACCTACTCCTGTTGCTTGTGTTTGTGCTTGTTGAGTNGATATCTTTTGCGTCGTCGGGGGAGGAATCAATCCATCTGGTCTTTGTTGTGAGAGATTGGTGTTTTGGCGTGAGAGGTTGCCCACACCCATGGCATCTCTGGTGTTTTGTCTGCTTAGTGCATCTCTGGTGTTCGTGCGAGACAGATTTGTGGTTTGTCGTGATAGGCCTGTGTTGGATCTACTCAGATTTCCTTGGTTCAGGGATGGCGAGGTAGGGTTGGGTATTGCCGAGGAAGGTATGTTGCGCGAGGATTGCGAGGTATCCGTGTTTGCGCGGGCGAGAGAGGCAGTGCTGGCATTGTGTGAGGGAGGTCCTACGAAGAGGGAGGGTGCGGGTAGTCGTTGGGAAGACTGTTTAGACATTGGTGGGTATGCTTGGTCAGAGAGGTGGAAGTGTAGGAGGGGATGTTTGTGGTGCTCATTTCAGATGTATGGGGGACGACCCTGGTGCTTTGCATGTGAAGATGACGTAGGTTGTTGCGACGACAGTACTGTGTGAGAATGGCAGACATAGGGAAAATCGAGGTTTTCAAAGCATAGTGCAGATGTTACAGTAGATGGCACGTTAGCCTTGAAAGAATATATTTGATTGTTGTGAAAACTAGAGGCAATTTCATTTCTGCCTCCAGATCCTGATCAACAGTTATTATACCATGTCCTTCCCTTCCAAGTCTGTGCAGACATCACGCTGAGTCTTTACACACAAAGAAAAGCATAGAGTAGATAGTTAAATTGTATTTGCATCGGCGAACATTGTCGCAAGTATAGAAACAAGAAAAGCTATTTGAAACATAAATCTCACAAGCAAAGCGCTGAAGAAATGTCGTTTCATATCATGATCCTCCCTCTCAAGACCCGGTCTTGAACACGCTAGAATTCAACCTAAAATAAAGCAAACAATCAACCAAGTTTGATGATATATACACCGAAGAGAACGCCATGCCGGAGAGTAGAAGAGAATATTTATAGGTAGATGGCGAATAGTAGGGGTGAGATGAGGAGAACGGTTGTCACCAGGCTGGCCGTCGTGGAGACCTTGATGGTAGATGCTGCTCCTGATTTGCTGGAAGTGGCTGACGCCTGCGAGCCTTGATTCTGTTGAGCAGACCTTGTCGAACTCATTGCTGCACTGTTACTTGCAGCACGGGATCCAGATCTAGATCCAGGTGCACCAGACGACGACGACGAGTCATCGTCATCAGAAGTCGTTATGAAGGCAGAGACGGGCACCGTCGTAGAGCCCTGCTGCACAACCAGTCCGCTGGAGCCCATACTGACCACCTCGCCGCCGGATAAGGTCACAGCAGAACCATCTCGAGAGATTACAGTGCCGTCGATTGTCACAACACTCGAGACACCGGAAGCCTGGTAGGCTGTTACAGCATTTCCGTTGACCGTGAAAACTACTGCAGATGCGGGTGTTGCGATCGCACCAGCCGAGGTGCCATCGATGACGATATTACCCCCTGATGCGAGGCTGACACGAGAACCGTCTTCGAGTGTTTGAGCAGCTGCACCAGCGGTAAGTGTGATGGATCCGATGATGGCTTGGTTGGTTGATCCAGGAGGGCATGATACAGTGACGGTCTTAGTACCAACGACAAATACTAAGACGTCGGGAGCCGCCGCGGATGCAGGTGCCACGGTCGAGTACTTGACAATGGTAGAGCCAACCTTGACACCTTCACTATCAGCACTGACAACAGATCCGTCATCGAGCGTGGCTGCCGAGCCGCCAGGGGTGAGTCTGGTCGAGCCAATCTTGACCACGCCTGATGAGTCTTGGGAGAAAGTCTGAACCTTGGTACCAACGGTGACAATAACAGCCTTGGTGTTGACAGGCAGTGCAGTGACAGCAGATGCACGGTTCGTGATTGTAGCCGCCTCGGTATTGATGACCAGCCCGGCTGAGCCAGCACTGATTACACAATTGACAGGAAGCGTCGCGGCTGGCCCACCTACGGAGAGAGTGTCTGTGCCGCAAACATAAACCGTGTTTGTCTCGATCGCAGTTTTGGTGGCGGTGTACGTAAAGGTACCAGCAGTGAAAACGTAGACTTGAGGTTTGGCAGATGACTGCGAGTTGCCGCCTGGAGATCCGTTTTGTGCTTGAGAACCTTGAGTATTCTGTGCTCCGTTTGCCGTGTTTGCACCTTGGTTGTTCTGACCTCCTTGTGTGTTTTGTGCCCCGGCTTGTGTTGGGTTCCAGTGCTGATCTTGGCCTGCATTTTGTGATTGACCGCCTTGAGCTGTGGTCTGTGATTGACCGCCTTGGTTGCCTTGTCCTTCGTTTTGGGATTGACCACCTTGGGTGTTTTGTGCTCCTCCTTGAGAGTTCTGGCCGTCACTTCCTCCCTGGCTGTTACCTCCATCATTGTTGTGGCTTGCACTTTGGGTGTTTTGAGATGCCTGAGTGTTTTGACCGTTCTGTGTTTGAGCAGCCTGACCATCCTGGTTACGACCTGCAGTGTTAGCAGCCTGTGTTTCCTCGGCTCCCTGTGTCTGCCGAGAATCGCCATTGTTTCCTTGTCCTTGAGTAGAATCTGCTCGCTCACTTGTGTGATCCGCTAGAGCAGTAGGTGTGGCAGTGGTAGGAGCTGCACTTGAAGCCTCTGCTGCTGAAGTGCTTGTTGTCGGTGGTGGCCCGAAAGCGACTGTAGGCGTTTCAACAGCGGTTCCAGGTTTCAAGGCATACGGTGGATCGTAAAGACCTCCATACCACATCTGACAACCTTCCCATGCTGGGTCGAGTTTCCTGATACCTGGAGGCATAGCCAGCTGGGGATTGTATTGGTTTTCGTAGATAACATTACACTTGTAGTCGGCGGCCCCAGGGAATTCGCATCTCGCCTGTCCGTTCCAAGCACTGTAGGGAACGGGAGTGTTCAGATCGGCGTAATTGAAGGGATATCCAGTAATCTTGTTCGTCGTGGCGAAATACTGGAAGTGATCTTGGGAATAGCGCAAACTCAACAGTCTGTCTGATGGCAGGGCAAGAATGGCATCAGTGACGGTTGTACCGATTTGGCTGCTGCACCTGTTCTTTGCATAAACCTTCTTGATCGAAATGTATGCTTGACCATCCCGGACAAATGTGTGCTTTCCGACGACGGCAGTTTCCAGAGAAGTGCCCGTACCGTTCCAGACAGCTGACGGATCAATACCTGTATAAGGTATACCATCATTGCTACCATACGCCGTTGGCTTGGCAGTCGGAGTGATTGCACACATGTCGCGCGAGGCAGTAGTGGCTTCAGGAAAGTACAGCAGCTCTACCTCATCACCGAAGATAGTGCAAAGTCCACAGCCATAAAAGCTCTTCGAGAAGGCCTCATTTGAGCTAGATTGACTGGAGTTCACGCAAGCAGGTTGTGAAGGCGATGGTGTGATTGTTGGGAAGATGGCATCGACTGCACGAGTACCATTGGCGCCACTAGTCCATTTCGAGGATGCGGTGCTATAAGCTTGCCACAACCCGTCGCAATCAGAGGGATCGACACTGCAGGAAACGGTCGAGATGGGGAATATCCATCCCATTGACGCAGTACCGACAGACGTGCTTGGGGCCGTACCCACGGATGTAATGACGGTGCTCGAGGTAGCAATCGCAGGCGAATAGTTCACGCGTGCGTGGCCGTCGCAAAGAGTTGTCGCGTTCGCATAGTATGTGACTGAGTTCCACGACGTTCCTCCGAGGACGTTAGTATAGTTGGTGAAGAAGCTGTGCTTGTTCACCCAGGAGTTGGAAGCTGAATTGTAAGCAGAGATCACATTGGAACACGACGTCGCATATGCGGCACCAGTACCAGTCGGCGCTATTGTTGGACTGATGTAGGTAACATCGTCCCAGCATCGGCCTCCTCCATTGTAGCAGACAGTGCTACGCATTGGTGTTGACGCATCCAAAGAGCGAATCGAGGAAGCTGTAGTATTCAAGCCAGAGGTGGCCGTTGTGGTGTTAGTGTAAGTCGGTTTTTGTCCTAGAGCGGCCAGAATGTATGCACCCAGGCCTGGGGCAACAGTGGTCGATGTTATTTGAGGAGTGAGGTTGACCGCCGACAGGTTTCCGTTTNNGCTACTTAGAAGTTGAGTCAGGATAGGACAAGAGGCAACAGAGCCCAGCCACCACTTACAAGCTTCGCACCTTACGAGCAAGGCTATCGAGACGACGAGGGCTATGGCACTGGAATGCATTCTGGCTTCAGGTCCTGACAGGCCGAACGACGAATTTTCACACGAGCAAGCCTCTCATGACAACACAAAAGATAGCCAGAAACAGGAGATGCGTTTGACAAGACTCGGGAGGCGCGTTTGGGAACAATGGGGTGTGGTTAGAGTATGAAGGAAAAGAGAAGGAAGTGGCTGTCGCAGGTTGACGAATCGATGGGTCGGTCGCCTGTAGCGGCCGCGTAACTCAAAAGATGGACAACGATTCACCGTGCATTCTCCCAAGCCAACTTTAAAGCGCCATCAATCCTCGACGGCCTTCGATTTTGATCGTCTGCTGCTCACCTTGGCCTCGTCCAGTGCTGAAACGTGAAATCTCGACTCCACATCCAAGGGGCATGCGGCCGAGGCCATGGTTGAGGACCGTGGGGTTCACTTGGACTTTCCAACCACGTCATGCACTAACCGTTGGAGAAAAAGTCAAGGTTCGTGACAAACACAAATCGGACAACGCCATCGACATAACGGTGGGACGAGAGTGCGGGCAAAGAACCTGTCTCACTATTATTCCCATGGGGTCCTCGAATCCAGCGACAAGAACGAGTTCACTCCGCCTGATGTTTGGACTGGCCTGTCGTGGTGGTATGGTCAGAGTTCCAGTGTCGTGGTGATGCCAACGCTAGAGATATTGCTATTTAAAGAACGATCGACATGTCTTTCCCGAGGACCGAGTCTTGGCTATGGGAATATTATGGGCAGTTGCCATTTCTAACCGGATCTCGCTGCGACGAGGTTTTTGTCCGCTTGCACTCCTCCGGTGGGGCTTGTCTGATCGAAATATAGCAACTGTGATAACGCGAACAGGAGGTCCATGGTATCGCTACTCATGTGTTGGTTGATTGACATCACAATCGAGAGTCTTCTTATCGAAGAAGACCAGCGCACACGGTCGGTTCAACACATGACGTGTTAGGGCTACGCTACGTAGGACAAGCCTTCGAGGATACGAGGAGACCCGTAGGCAACTTGGTAGTGCTTCAGAGAAGCAAAAACCAGCATGCAGCAAGTTCAACCAACGAGTTGAGTTCGGCGAGTCGCGATCAGACGGCACAGACTCGTCGCAGGACGGAGACGTACAATTCCTTGCATGGACCAAGCGTCTTTGACACCAATGCACAGAGTCGATGCAACAGTGGTATTGCGAGGAAAACAGAAGCTGGCTGGCAGTTGCGGAGGCTGAAATAAAGGCAATAGGCCTGGCCTTGGCTTGAAGGATGTCGGATGTCGGAAAGGCGCAGCTGTGGATGTGGCTGTTAGGAAGGCGCTTACTCAGCTCGAGAACAGGTGGCGGCATGCATGCTCGACCCTGAAACTCGACATCATCCAAGCTGCTGCCATCATCTGTTGAACAGCAACAGTAACATATCACAAACATGAGATTCGGATTGATTGCTTCGCTCGCCCTGGTTGGCACCTCTGCCGCCTCGGCCGTTATCGACCTCATCCCCAAGAACTTCGACGACATTGTCCTCAAGTCTGGCAAGCCTGCTCTGGTCGAGTTCTTCGCCCCCTGGTGTGGCCACTGCAAGACTCTGGCCCCGGTCTACGAGGAGCTGGCCTCTTCGTTCGAATTTGCAAAGGAAAAGGTCACCATCGCCAAGGTTGATGCCGATGCTCACAAGGAGCTCGGCCGCAGATTTGGTGTCCAAGGCTTCCCTACCCTCAAGTGGTTCGATGGAAAGAGCGACACTCCCCAGGACTACAACAGCGGCAGAGACCTCGAGAGCCTGTCCGCCTTTATCTCCGAGAAGACCGGCCTCAAGCAGAAGAAGAAGGCTGCCACTCCCAGCAACGTCGAGATGTTGAACGACCAGACCTTCAAGACCGAGATTGGCGGTGACAAGGATGTCATTGTTGCCTTTACCGCCCCTTGGTGTGGACGTAAGCAGCGAATGCCGCTCTCCGAGCAGGGCAAATATGCTGACTTCTTTTCAGACTGCAAGACCCTCGCCCCTATCTGGGAGAAGCTCGCTAACACCTACGCCAACGAACCCAATGTTCTCATCGCCAAGGTTGACGCTGAGGCCGAGAACGCAAAGTCTACTGCTCAGAGCCAGGGCATCAAGGGCTACCCCACCATCAAGTTCTTCCCCAAGGGCTCCAAGGAGCCCATCGCCTACGAGGGTGGCCGCTCGGAGGACGCTCTTGTCAAATACCTGAACGAGAAGGCTGGTACCCATCGTACTGTCGGTGGTGGCCTCGACATCACTGCTGGCACCATCGCCGCTCTCGATAGCTTCGTCTCCCAGTACACCAGCGGTGGCGCTCTCGAGACCATCCAGAAGGAGATCATGGCCGCTTCCGAAAACATCAAGGACACCTACGCTCAGTACTACGTCAAGGTCTTTGACAAGCTCGCCCAGAACCCTGGCTACGTTGAGAAGGAGTCCAAGAGACTCAACAGCCTGCTTAAGAAGGGTGGTCTCGCACCCGCAAAGGTTGATGATTTGACCAAGCGCAGCAACATTCTCAGCAAGTTTGTCGCCAAGGTCCAAAGCGTCAAGGAGGAGCTCTAAACGATTGGGCTTCATTGAATATATGACAAGAAAAGCATACTAGCCATTACAAGCTATAGGGTATCAACATAAGTTCTTATTTTAGCCATCAACACTTTTCGTCCCATGTCCCTCTATGCTGGCGAAGACGAGTTTCTGCGATTTTGTTGATCTGCAGGGTTAGCAGCAGCGACGGGAGCAGGCGACCCTTGTCTCTTAGCCGTAATGCGTGTGTGGCCGCCTTTGCCCTCAGGATGGTCCTGTTCCCATTGTGCCAGCAAGCCCGTGAGTTTGGGACCCCAGACGTCCTCACCCTTCTCCAGATCCTCGAACTCGAGCACGTTTCTGCCCAGCTCGAATTCACCCTGTCGTGATCTCTCCAAAGCAGCCATGAGACCAAGCGAGCCAACAGCTGCACCCAGATCATGACATAGACTGCGGACGTAGAAGCCCGACGAGACTGTCATTCTGATACGGGCTGCCGGTGCTGGACATGGCTTTCTCTCTTCTGGAGCAGCATCTGCATCGACTGTGGGTGCTTGGTCTGCTGCCTCTGCCCCGTCGCTCTTCATCTTCTTGGCCTCGGGCCCATCTGAACCTTGTCTCTTTCTCTTCAAGTCGTCGGTGTCGGGTTGTGTCTCCTGGCCAGCGGTAGCTTGAGTCTCGCTGGCAACCTGCGGTAAGAGCTTGTCCACGGCCTTCTTTTCCTCTTCCTCGGCCTCCTTCTCTGGCCAGTTGTACTTGTGCGTGCCAGGTTCCAGCCACTCAATCATTTCCAGCTGCGAGACTGTGACGGGTCGTTCTTGAATCTCGACAGGAACTTCCTTGCCTTCTCTAGCGTATTCGTAGAGCCTCTTGCCCTGGACCCTGAGAGCGGAGAAGATGGGAGGACGCTGCATGATATCGCCGCGGTACTTCTGGAGAGCTTGCTCGACCATGTCCTTGGTAATGTGCTGGTAGGGAGCTCTCTTGACGACCTTGCCCTCGGTGTCGTAGGTATCGCTTGCAGCGCCAAAGACGACCACAGTCTCGTACACCTTTGTGCAGTCGAGGAAGCCCTGTAGCTTCTTGGTGCCGCTGCCGACGCCTACCACCAGCACACCGGTAGCCAGAGGGTCGAGGGTTCCACCATGACCGAGCTTGACTTGGACGGGCTGTCTCTGTTTGCGCGAACGCTTGCCGAACCGTTGGGCTGCATCAGATTCGCGCTTGTTCTTTTCTTGTTGGATCCAGGCAGCAAATGTTTTGGAGGGGTTCAGGTGTTTTTGGAGATCGCGGAGAGCTTGGGCGGACGAGACGGCGATTGGCTTGTGAACGGCTGGAGGGGAATATTGTGTCAGTGAGGATTACCAGTGCAGACTTGTGAGGTGCTAGATACCAAAAACGCCCTCGACGACAGGAGTGGGCTCGCTCATGATTTTGATGGATCTCCAGATGAAAGTCTTTGCCATCTGCAGAGTGATTGGTCTGGATGGATTATTCTCAAAAGTCGTCGGCAAGCAGCTCCTTCCCGCTCCACCAAGGTCGGGCTTGGCGGGGTGTTAACGCGGGATCGCGCGTGCTCTTCGCGATCAAGAGAGTTGCGACTTCCTTCAAGTTCGATTCATTGTTGGAGCGTGGGTGCTGTATTTGTATCTTAGCACTTGAAGATGCATTTCTTCTCATCGACTACCACATTGTTCCAATCATGAGCAAGGAGAACCTCGTACTACGCCCTCGCGACCCGTCGCAAGTGAACTCCGACCTCTGGCCCGAATTCGAACTCAAGCAAGCCTTTGTCTTTGACCCAGAGGACCCAGACCGGGAACCCGTGAGCTTGCTACATGCTGGACACTACCGTCCACTCTCCATCTCTGCGAAACTCGAACCACCCAATGCACAAAATATCCGATCCTGGCTGGACAATACAACACACCGCGCAGTCCAGATCGAGCTCACAGACATCAAAGAGTTCTCGTATGGCGAGTATGGAGACGGGTCGTTGGACATATGGGCTGCTGGCCAGGCTGGCTGGTTCGCCATCAGACCGAGCAGAGCATACAGGGACATGTACAGCGACATGACCCAGGCTCTGAAGTTGCTATACTTCATGGCCGACAGCTACAAAGCTCTGAAACGATACGCTGATCTGTCGGCCCCTTACTTCTTCAAGAAGTGCAGCGACGAAGGCCTTGAAGCATGCAAAGACGTCTCAGATGTTGCCGAAATGTTTACTAAGCATAGACAGTTCCTAATCGCATCCATGTTGACCAACAAGGAGGGCTTGCAGTGGCACCGAGTACCCCTCTACACGTGGTTCCAGTCCACGTTCNCCTGTGAGTCACTTCACCCCTCGCCTTCCGGCTATAGCTAATCCAATCTTCAGTCCGACTTTCTTCTGGTACAGTCGAGGATAAAGCCATCGCGAGCAAAATCGTCGAACCAGAAAAGCAGTTCGCAATCTCCTGCCCCGTCAACAGCAAGTTCGAGGAGGAAGAAGGCGACAGCCAAACAACAGAGCGTGACTCCCAAATCTACCATTTCCACACGCTCGGGTCGCTCGACGAGGTCAACAAGATCACAATCGAATGCAACATCAGACTCCTTGCCCATGGTTCTGGACAATACCCCAGAACACATTCCCGAGGTTCCGTCAGCAACAGATCAGACAAACAATCTTGTGGATCAGAACATGTCTTCCAGCGACGATGAGATTCCTACCACTGGAGGCAAGGGCAAAGGAAAATCAGCTCTGAGACCGAGGCCCAGCAAGTTTGCTCCACGGCTAAATAGTGTCCTCAAGGAATCTCCTTCTGCTATCCAGAGCAAGAAAGCAGTACCCCTCGTTGAGTATCTTGGACCGGAAGCCATGTCGATTGACAGTCCTCCTAATGAGACAGAGGAATCAAGCGACAAACAGACCGAGGACACGACCGAAGACTCAGACGACGACGACGACGACGACGACGACGACGACGACGACGCAACCAGGACAGAAACGCGCGAGACCTCTTTACCGTTCCGACTGCAGGATGCAGTAAACAATGGTGATGTTTGGCACTGTCCCGTCGACGGATGCATGCATAGAACATACGCGGCTTCAGAGCTGAGCTCACAACTGCTCATCAAGAGGCACTCGCAGACTCATGATTTCGACCATGACGAAAGAGTGCAGTTGGTCCGCCGTATGGAGGCGCCATATCTGCCAGTAAACAGGTTGATGGATAGAGTCAGGGGCATGGCCGCGTCGAGCAAGGGCCCACCACCCATTACCCAACGCTATTGACGAATTGGGGTTTGTAATTGCGAATTGGGAGCTGCTTACATTGGCGTTTTCGTCTTGGGAAGGGGCCGACTTTTTGATGCTTTTCTATGATACCACGGGAGATGGGGACACAGCAGACTTTGGCTGGAAACAGGATAGCATTGCAGAAGCAGATATAGACGAGACATTTGCTTGATCTTTGATAAGCAGTTTGCATTCGAGCCTGATGCTATGCGAGGCAGGGAGGGTATAATATAACTTTGTGCAAAACAACAATGACAGAACCATTCACTTTGACTCTTCGTTCTGGGGTCTCGCGGATGCTTGGATAGAAGCCTCGAGATTGTCAAGACGCCTACTCATTTCGTCCACTNNAGATTATGAGAAATTCATGAGCTTTGAACAGGCATGTTTTAGATAGAATGCCAACTCACTCTTTGTAAGCAGATCACTTGAAATATTGGTGAACTTTGTGGATAGTTGGTTCAAAAGGTCATCGACGACTGTGGCCAAGTCCTCTGCTCCCTGAAATGATAAAGTCAGTAATGTATTTATTGTTTATGAGGATNNCGCTGGAAGGTATACGTTTGTGGTATCGGTGGTGTCATGCTCTTTGTTGATATTCAGGTCTGCCATGCCGAGATTGACGTCTTTTTCTGTGTGTGTTTGAGACATTTGGGAGCGAAGGGGTTGGGCACGACGATGTTGGAATGGCGGTGCCTGCATGCAAGGCAATCTAACAGGGTGATGGGGGCTTGAGTGTCGGCGGAATTTATGCATCACAGTCTATGTTATGCAAAAGGCACAATAACCTTTCCCCACATTTTTTGTCGGGGCGGACCTTTGAGACTTTCCTCTCTCAAGAAAAAAGTTCCCCGAGCAGTGTTCGCAGACCGATCACTTTTCTCTGAACACAACAACCAACACCTATAATCCACAAAAACACACACACACACAATGGTCAAGGGAAGTAAATTGCTGGCCGCGCTGGACCGCGAAAAGGGCGTCGACCACAAGCTCGAACGCCAAAAGAAGCAGCAAAAAGCCGCCGAGAAGAGAAAGAGATCAAGGGCCGAGGATCAGGACGACGAGGCGCTTCTCGAGGATGCGATAAAGGAGGCTGAAAAGACCGTGTTGGGCGATGCTGGCGCAAAGAAGGACAAGAAGGGCGCCAAGCGCGCAAAGGTCGAGCAAGAGGAGGAGCAGGATGAGGAGTGGGAGACTGATGATGAGGACAAGACGCATGCTGTATGTTTTCTCTCTGGGCAGCTATGGTGTTCACGTTNNGCGCATGACATGTATGCTGACTTTTTGTTGCAGAAAAACATTGCAAGACTAGTCGAGGACGACTCCGAGGACGAGTCTGACTCTGAAGACGACATCAACGGAGGCGCCGAGCTAGACGATTCCGAAGACGACGAGGACGACGAGGAAGACGAAGACATTGCGCTCTCAGACCTGGAATCCGTGGCTTCAGAAGACAAGGGCGACATCATCCCACACCAACGCCTCACCATCAACAACACAGCCGCCCTGCTGCGCGCCGTAAAGTCCTTTGCCCTCTCCTCCAAGCTCCCCTTCTCCGAGAACCAAGTCATTATCAGCGACGCCCCCACCGACATCCCCGACATTGACGACGACCTCAACCGCGAACTCGCCTTTTACAAGCAATCTCTGGATGCCGTGACCAAAGCCCGCGGCCTGCTCAAGAAGGAAGGCGTACCTTTCTCCCGTCCGGCAGACTACTTTGCCGAGATGGTAAAGAGCGACGAGCACATGGGCAAGATCAAGAGCAAATTGATCGACGAGGCGGCGAGCAAANAGGCCTCTGCCGAAGCGCGAAGACAGAGAGATCTCAAAAAGTTCGGCAAGCAGGTCCAGGTCGCAAAGCTGCAGGAGAGAAGTCGCGAGAAGAAGGACACCATGGACAAGATCCAGCTTCTCAAGAGAAGTAAGTTTTTTTCTCTACACTTTCTCTTTTCCCCATCTCATATCCACCAAATGCTGACCACAATATACAGAGNNCGCAAGGGCGAAGACATTGGCAACGCAAACGAAGACGACATGTTCGACGTCGCCCTCGAAGACGCCGCCGAGACGGAAAAGAAAGACAAGGCCGCCCGCAAGGCCGGTGGTGCCGGCGGCGCCTCTGACCGCAGCAAGAACAACTTCAAGCGCGTCAAGCGCGACGAAAAGTATGGCTTTGGCGGCAAGAAGCGCTTCTCCAAGAGCAACGATGCAAAGTCGTCGTCCGACATGAGCGGCTACTCGTCAAAGAAGATGAAGGGTGGAAAGAAGGCTCAAAGACCTGGCAAGAGCAGACGTGCAAACAAGGCTTAAGCATGTCAGGAGGGAAAAAGTGGGAAAACTAGTTTCAGGTGCTTTGGTGTAGATTCCACAAAGTTTAGCATTGGGTGGTTGTTTATTGTATCGAATATCCCCTGCAAAGGGCATTTTTCTTCTGTTGATCATCTCTTTTCGGAATCAGAATGAGTTTACTTGGTATTCCTCCTCTCGTATTTCGAAATTGGCATTTCTTGTTCCAAGAGCAGTAAACCCGAGTAAATCCCAACTGTTGGCAGAGACATACGCCAGACAATAGCGAGTTTCGCATGGGAAAAAGAAGAAATGTATTGGCAGCAATCGATAGTATTCCTTCGTCAATCCAACCGCCGCGCCACCAAAAGAATAGTCGTACAAAGGAGGAGAAGAAAGGGCAATTTTTGATACATGATACAAGCATTAGGCGAAATGCATTTACAGAGCGGGCTTTGCCTGCGATTGTTGCTGCTGAGTGAGAAGCTGTGTTTTTCTGCCATTAGCATCGTCTTGCATCTTCAAGTCTTTGTGGAGAGGAATAATCACCTCGTTGGCACTCTGCTGCATTTTCATCTCTCTCTCCATCTCGGCCATCTGCTGCTCCTCTGCAAAGGCCAATGCCCACGGCACACCCAAGAGCAAGACACTGGTGCTGACGACCCACAGAGTCTTTCCGCCATAGTTGAGCGTGGTGCTGACCCATGAAGAGGTTGTGCTTAGGGTGTTGGAGAGGGTCTTGCGGTATGTGGGNGGCACAATGTCCTTGAGGGCGGCGAGTCTGTCGGCAAAGGTCTCGTCGGGCATGTATTCCTCGTCGTCCTCGTCGGCCTCGGATTCTGTTTGTTGCCGCAACACTGGTCAGTTCCTCTTCCTCTTCTTCTTGTGGTTGTTTGCGCGTGTGTTGGAGTGATTCGTACCATCGCTGGTGTCCCATTCGTCCTCGACCTGGGGACCGGACTGTTCTCTGTTGAACTCCTCGTCGAGAACTTCTTCGAGCTTGACCATTTTGGCGGATGTTGTGTGAGGGCTTGAGGGAAGGTTGGGTGGGAAGGGTGGTCGTCAGGTGCTTGGACTTGTGCTGCTATTGCTTGCTGTTCGCGCTCGTCTTTCGCGGCGTTGCAAGATTTCTGGAAAGAGCGTCATCCTCCCGGCTTTACATGTCATGTGATTCGCGTTCGAAGCCTGGCTGCCGAGACTACCTATTCGACGATTGTACCTGCTCTGCTAGATTCGGATCTTGGTTTTACTTGACGAGTACCTATTGTCGCAGAAGTACCCTATACGAAGTTCCTCTACCATACTGTTGTGGGCTAGATACCAGCAACCAGATGTGCAGAACCACAGCAGACTAGAGCCCACGTGACTCACTGCAGACTGAGGTAGTTCGCTGCCCGGATGTGTATATCCAGACCACGGACGCATGCTGATAAGGGCTGCCTGTTTTCCTCCGGTTATCGCATTTCGCAACTTCTCTGATATCAACCTCTGCTTCGACCGACGGCCATCTTCACGCAGCGATTTTAAGGTTTATAGCACCAGAGCGAGCTCTGAGCCGCTTGGCATCGCAATTCGGTCACTCTGCATCACTTTTCTTCTTTTTCCCTTTCGTCCAGTTATCTTTCGGCAACCGGTCCGATATATCCTCAGCTTGCCTTATCAAAGCACTCGACATCTTTACCAAATCGCTCAACACAGTTGCTGGAAGACGACGCTATACGAGTGGCGGGGTATCTGCGCATTCCATACAGCCGACACAAAGCGCTGATTGCCGTCTTGTACACAAACCATCATGGATTCGATGGATGCAAATGAAGTCGACAACAAACACAGTAGGACATATCAGGCATGCATACCGTGTCGCCGGAGGAAGGTACATAAACTCAATCAAACACATCGCTTTCTGCAAATTCATTGACCACGCTCAGNNGTCCGATGCGATCTCGGCCCAGTCGACAATCCCCATGAGCCTCCTTGTGTCCGCTGTCGTCGCGAAGCGAAAGAATGCTTCTTTTCTGCCACGAGAAGGAAGAAGAGGGCTGCCGACTCTGGCACCACTGGAGATGAAGTCGACCCCAACGACTACGAGATCAGAGGAGGCCGCAAGAGGCTGAAGGAAGGTGTCGCTGAATCGGTCGACTCGGATGCTCGCAGTGCACATTCGCCTGTGCCTGTGGTTGCAACGTACATACCACGACCTTTGACACCCGGGGGTTCTATGGGCCGCCAACAACCGCTCCGCCGACCACACTCGACATCGCAAACACCGTATCCTGGGGACGAAGCAGATGATCACGTCAACAGCCATACAGCTGCTCTCTTGCAGACCGCCGAACTGCACAATGGTCACGATGCCCTGAACGTTCTGATCGAAGCTGCCACAGCCAACCATCGTACCGGAAGTGCCAGCGATGCTCACAAATACGCTTCTTCATTACCGAGTCCTGCCCATATACCGCTACCCACAACGTCAAAACCGCCGCCTCCTGATGCCTCGATCGATCCTGCCATCATGCAGCAACCGTCTTCCACTGCGCGACCATCATCTTCAGCGGATCATGCTTCTGCTTATGCTGCGTGGTCACGCTTCAGATTCGTCCGCAATGGCTGGTTCACCATCAAAGAAGGCATGGACTATATCGAGTACTTTTATACATACATGTCACCCCTCACACCCATTGCTCTACCAGACTACCGCGGACCGGAAAAGCACGGAGCCTTGCTGGAGAATGAACCCATGCTTGCTGTTACCATGCTCATGATCGCATCACGTTATATGACACTATCCGGCCCTGGTGCCACGAGTCGATCACACGCCATACACTCCCGACTTTGGCCATTCGTTCAGCGTATGATTGACCGTATCGTCTGGGGTCGCGAATTGTCTGGAACTACACTTCATCCTGACGAGACACAACCCGGCTGTGATGTCAACCCATTATCAAGGAAGGGTCTTTTGACTCTAGGCACAGTTGAGAGTCTGCTGCTACTGACCGAATGGCATCCAAGAATGATGCACTTCCCCGCAGACGAAGACGATACTCAGCTCATGACTCCTGTCGATCCAATGGCTTCGATCAACGAGAGCACATCTAATCCCGACAAGGGTCAAGGAGGCCATGCGTTGACTTCATGGCTTGAACCTGTTTTCAGGAGTGATCGTATGTGCTGGATCCTTCTCAATCTGGCAATGACAGTAGCTTCTCAAATCGGAGTCTTTGATCCAGACTGTTCACGACATTTGCAAGCCGTAACTCCGGAGCAGCAAGAAATCTATCAGCGAAGACGACTTCATATCAAGAGTGTCATCCTTGGGTACATTACACAGACTAGTGGACGCATGGGTGTAACGGCCATGCTCCCTCAAGGATATGCCGAGCCTGCTCTCAGTGAATTGTACAACCCTAAGCGGTCGAGTTTCAAGGATACCAAGGATATCGTTCTTCATTTCTGGCTACGTCTGGCTACACTGGTCAAAATCAATAACGAGGAGCTGTATGCCAATCGACAGCAGACTCGTGATATCATCAAGACTGGAAAGTACAGAGAGTTGTTGCAACGTATCAAGCCATCGTTGGTGCAATGGCGGAGGGAGTTCGAAGCGTACCGAAACAGTCAGTGGCTTGTTTCCAGCCAAGAAAAGATGTGTGCTGACACGAATTGCANNGTTCCAATTTTGCTTCGCCATGTCCTAATCATCGAGTACGAACACACCAGAGTGATTCTGCATCAACTCGCCCTCCAAGCTGTGGTGGAGAGATGCGCGAACAACAATACTGGCTCTGCGGGCAAGGTCATTCCGCCGAATGTGCTTGACCAGTGGTTTGGCAGCGACAGACAGCATGTGGATGAGGTAATGCAGGCTTGCCGCAATGTGCTCCGCGTTGTCGTGGACGGGCTCGCTCCCGGTGGATATCTCAAACACGCACCCGTACGCACGTTTTTCCGCATCGTGTCTGTGACGTTGGTGCTCGTCAAGGTAAGATATACCTTCCTTCTAGGCGTTTTTCGTAACCATAAATTGACACTTTGACCAACCACAGNNACCTTTGCCTTTGGCGCCTTTGAGAACGAAATGGCATTGAGCTTGAACCTCATGGATCGCACGGTAGAAGTCATGCGCAATCACGTCGTCGACGACGTCCATCTCAGCAACCGCTTCTCCAACTTTCTGGAAGTAATCACCAACCGCCTACGTCCGATGATCGTACGCATGTCACGCACGAACGGTGCCGCATCCGCAAACGCCGCTTCTCGCGTATCTTCGCGCCCTGTATCTCCAGGCCTCGGACAAAACAGAAGCACCGAACACATGCCCGCATTCCCCGAACACTTTGACACCTCCTCGTCGCAACAGCAACAGCAACGCGTAGACACGACAGCACTCTACGGCATCCCCACCCAAACCTACGACATTGGCGCCGACAATAACACCTTTTCCATCATGCCGCCGCCCATGCCTGCCTCGCCGTCTCTAAACCCTTTACACGATTCTCATTCTGCTCACCAAGACTATCATTTTGGCAACTATGGTGCTGATGCGGGAGGCTTTGAGGCTGACGGGGCGTATGATTGGTTGGCTTTGCCGCTGGATCCGATTCTACAGGCGCATGGGCAGGATGTCACTGCTAATTGTTTCGGACCGGGGATTGGTGAGTTTGACATGTTGGAGGTGCTTTTGGGGGGTGGGCAGGGTGGTGGACATAATATGCAGTGATGGTGATGTATCAGAGTTTCTTTGAAAGGCAAACATATGTCAAGACACAGACAAAGGGCAAAAGACAAAAGACGAAAGCACGTTTTGTCAAAACAAGTCGATTATCCTAAAACAAGCCATAATATCATTGTGTGCCAATCTGTGCCCCCCATTACCCAATTCTTATAAGAGAAAAAACGCCAAAAATGTTCAGTGTTTCCAATCATTCGGGCATTGGCAAAAGGGACTAGCAAGGACCCATGAAACTGGCCAATTGCGCCATACCAGCTTCATCACCCCTCTGCTGCTCTACACCCTCGCCCTCTTCCTCGAGCAACTCGTCAATCTTCCTCACAGACTTGATCTTCCAAAAGTCTTGCACGCCCTCGACGAAGCGTTTGCTGATGGGTTCAATCTCCTTGTCGTCACACGCAGCAAAGCACAGGCGGAAAAACTTGTAGCCGTCTTTTGCGCGGATCTCGTCTGTGGGCGAGAAGATGAGGCCCGGGGATACGAGCACCAAGTAAGGTTTTGTGGTCCAGAAGAGCCAGAGGGCGCGCGAGAGACGTGCGTGCGGTACTTTTGCNGCCAGAGGGTGGGTTTCGAATTGCATCTTTAGCCAGATGAACATGCCGCCCACGGGCCAGTCAAAGGTATATGCGGTGGAGGTTTGCACGACGGCCCACTCGTCGTCAGAGTCGATGCTGAGATTTGAAAGCGAGTTTCTGCGGCCCACTTTGACGACTTCGCGACCTGTGTCGAGGACGCGGCACATGGCGTTCATGCGGCGTTCGTAGTTGCCGCGCAGGCCCTCGAGCCAGCGGACCCAGCCGGCGGTGCTCCAGCCTTTGCCGTTGGAGGGACCTTTGCCTGGATCAATGTCGTCGGCTTGGGGTCCAATGAGCAGCTCGGCGATCATGGATTGCACAAAGCCAGAAGGTTGTTGAGTGCTGGTCTCGGTCAGACGCAGGATACGCTCGATCAGGGCGGGTTGGCCTGTGATCCAGCCGAGACGGCATCCAGGGGCGACGGTCTTGGAGAATGTGTCGAGACGGAGGACACGGCCATCGGTGTCGACGCTGACGTATGAAGGGACGAGAGAGTCGAGAAAGTCGTATCCTGAAGACTTCCACTTTGATGATTGGGGAGTAAAGACCTTGTCGGAATTTGTCGACGAGGGGAACTGCAGATACCAGTACGGGTCGTCTTCTACAATGATGACATCGTGTTTTGAGCAGAGAGCGTAGAGCTCGCGACGGCGCTGTAGGGAGAGAACGCCAGAGGTGGGGTTCTGTCCCATGGTGACCGTGTACATCAGATGAGGTCTCTTTCCCTTCTTGTAGTCCCAGTTCTCGAGCACGTCACGGAGACCACCGGGGCCTTCTGGAAGCATACCCTCATCGTCAATCTTGACGGGAGCAATGTTGAGGCCTCTTGGTCTGGCGGCTTGAATGGCGTTCATGTAGCAGAATTCCTCGACGAGTAAACCTTGACGGTCGCGTACCCAGTCCTTTTCTTCACTCCACTCGTTGGAGAGAGCAGCAAGAGCCTTGGAGAAACCATCGGTGCTTCCACAGGTGAGGACAATCTCTGGGCCGCCCTGGTATGGGCAGTTGGGGTGCAGGTTCTCTTGGGTGAACTGGCGGAGGAAGCTGTACAGCGGCGGGTATCCCTGGGCCTGGCCGTATTGCAGAGCAGATGCAAGGTCGATCTTCTTGAGTGGGTTCTGTTCGTGTGAAGTGTGGGGGACCTTCAATGCTGATTGAGGTTGGTTGAGCGGGCTTCCATTCTTGAGGGACGAAGTGGCGGGTGACGGAGGATCAACGGGCTTGTTGTCGGTGGGCTTCCATCTTTCTGGCAAGGCGACCTTTGCCTCTAGCGTGTCGAAGGGGAAGTAATATTGGTTGGGCAGACCGCCCGCGAGTTGGCCAATGCCTGGGATGCTAAAGTACTTGTAGAACTGCTTGATGGAGCTGGGCTGTCTGCTCTTGGCATTGCGGGAAAGGTGGTGGGAGAAGTCCTTGGGCGGCGGGCGCGTATCCTTGGAGTTGGTGCTCGACATGTTGATTGATGATTGATGATTGAGATGGGAGAGGAAAGAAAGCCGCTCGTCGGACGGCGTACTAAACAGGTCGGGCTAGGGACAGAGATAGGCCGGCGGGTGCTGAATGCATCATCGTGATAAACGGTGTTTAACGGCTTTAATCCATGTCCATTTTGTCATCATTTCGCACCTGCCTAAATAGTGTCTTGTCAATCCGCAGCTGCGTTTGCATGCGGGACTGCCATTTGCTGCAGTACGCATAGTAGCTTAGCATCGCTTTCCTACAGAATAGATATTCTTCAAAACACAGCCAGGTGGGTGATATGATATATCCATGCTCAATGCTGCTCGGTGCGTCATGACCAAGATGGCCAAAGCGGATCCGAAGATGCCGCCTTCCGAGACGTTTGCCCATCTTGCTCTCTTGACATATCACACTGGCTATGGATCCGCCGACTTGGCGCAGTGAGTTTTGCAATCGTCCTTCCTCTTCTTCTTGTCCTGTACATCCACCTCTGCCTTGAAGATATTCCTATCAGATGCAATAGCTAAGAGGAGGACCCAAAGTGGAGTTAGGCCGTATCCATCCAACAGTCATGCGTGACAACGACGACCAGCTCGAGAGCTACCACGATGAGACGCCGCTTCGTACCTCCACCGAGGATCCATTGTTACACGCAACTTCAATCGATGACCCCGTAGATGACGACGGCACACCACCACGCCAATATCCATGGATGCAAAGAGTCAGCGACAGCATACCTTCGCCGCTCAAGACAGTATCGAATGCAGTCGTCAATTGGGCCAAGGGCCCTCAACCTCCTAGGATATACAAGATTGAGCCATTCTTGCCGACCATACAACATGCCCCCATCAACTTGTTGGATCGCTATGCTCCCAAACGTATGCAACGCTTCTGGCTCCTGTTCGTCTTCTACATTTGCTGGATCCTCTCGTTTGCCTTGATCCTCCACAAGTCCTCGTTCGCTGCAGACGTCAAGGACTATGGTTCGCCGATACGCCTAGGATGCACTGCAAGATATTGGAACGACGGCAACGGATGCGGCATCAACGGAGACCAGTGTCGACCTTTCTCCAACTCGTCTTTGCCATTCCGCTGTCCTGCAGGTTGCACCAAGACTCAGGTGCTGTTTCCTCACGCTGTTGGGGATCAAGAAGTTGTATACAAGCCCCTGGTCATTGGTGGGCCGCTGAACAAGAGTGAGCCCATCTCAAGTACAGTCTACAGGGGTGACAGTTTCATCTGTGGTTCTGCTATCCATGCAGGCTTCATCAAAAGTGAACAAGGTGGATGCGGTGTCCTAAAGCTCACCGGAGATCAACACTATTTTCCCAGCGTGAAGCAACACGGCATTGACAGTATCGGTTTCGAGTCTTACTTTCCGCAATCTTTCCAATTTGTAGAAGGCACTCAGTCGCAATGTCGGGATCTAAGATGGCCTCTACTCGCCGTATCCGTCTTCTTCACCGCCATGCTGTCCCTCTTTACCACATCACCAGCTGTATTCTTCTGGTCCATCTTTGTCGGACTCTTCTTCCAAACAGGCCTGGCTTCTGACCCACCAAATCTTACTGACTACTATTCATTGATCTCTACTGCTCTTGGAAGATTTCTACCTGCCGCCTTTGTCATGGCCATCATGTATCGTTACGCCGTTCGTTATACGCTGACAGGCTTGACAGCTCAATTTGAAAAGACAATTCTTTGGTTAGGCGCAGCATGGGTGGGCGCTTTGAACAATTACACCTTCGACCGCATTCCTATCCAACGCCTTACGCCTCATGACATCAAGGCCCAGCCTGGCGCCGTACCAGCTCTCATCTCCATCGTCTTGATCATCTTTCTCATTGCCCTGGGACAAGCGTATGCTTTCCGTGTTGAGGGTCGTATGCCTCGCTATCTGGTAGTTTACGGCCTATTTGTAGGAGGCATTCTCCTCCTCGTTGCTGTACCGGGCATGAATGTGCGCATTCACCATTACATCCTGGCCATTCTTTTACTGCCTGGCACAGCGTTCCAGAACCGTCCGAGTTTGCTGTATCAGGGTTTGCTCTGTGGACTTTTCATCAATGGAATCGCTCGATGGGGGTTCGACAGCATTCTTCAAACACCTGGAGAATTGCTTTCCGACGCACCACAAGATTCTCTGTTGCCTACCATTACGCCTCCGGTCATCGGTACCAGCAACATAACCTTCACACTGGGTCCTGTCCCTCCAGTGAGCGACAAAAAGATCATACCTTATTATGACGGAATGTCAGTCTTGGTAAACGATGTAGAAAGGTTCAGAGGGTATGCTGATTATGACGCCGAGGGACTGTGGAAGGAAGATGGGACTAGGGAATGGACGTGGGAGAGACATGATGAGAGTCTGCCAGAGTACTTCAGATTTGCATACATGGCTGGCAATGGGGTGGCTGACTATACCAAAGCTGGAACTTGGTTGGTCAATGGGACTTGGGTGCCGATGAAAAGTGGACCTTCATAGGTCTGGTAGATTATCTTCTTTTGGTTCAACGAGAGATATTCACCATGTAATGCAATATCTTGAATCAACTTCAGCTCGGGATGATGAAAGCGTGTGGCGCGAGGCAGACCAGCTCCTAGACATGAGGAGAAGATACTTTGACAATAAGAAGAGCTTGAGGTTTATCATTACAATATGCATTTCCAAGTCGTTGTATGAATCAAGCTCCGTGATGTCCACCCTCACAGCTTGCTAGCCTTCCACACCGGCTTCCTCTTCTCGACAAAGGCCTTGACACCCTCATGAATATTCTCCCCCTGCAGCAGCTTCGGATACATCTCTACAATCAACTTTTCAGTCGCCGCATCCGCTCCCAAGCCATCCCACGCCAAATTGACACCCTCGCGACTCACAATCACAGCATCAGGACTGTTTCCCGCAATCTCCTTTGCCACGGCCACACACTCTTCCAACACATCTCCATCAACCACACGGTTCACCAACCCCCACTCTCGAGCTTCTTGGGCTTTGAGCACGCGACCTGTCAGTGCCATTTCCATGGCACGCTGTTTGCCCACCACGCGCGCGATACGGGGCAGTGCTCCTGCGATGGCGACGACGCCGCGTTTTACCTCTGGCAGAGAAAAAGTCGCGGTGGAGGAGGCCAAGACCATGTCGCTGTTTATGGCCATCTCGCAGCCGCCGCCGAAGCAAATGCCGTTTACGGCTGCGATGACGGGTTTGCGGCCGCGACGGCGGGAGAGACCGCCAAAGCCTGACGAAGGCATTTTGCGCTGTTTGCCTGATGCGTTGGCTTGGTTCCATTCTTTTCGTCTTTGGTGTCAGTTTCTTCATCTTTATCTTTGTCTTTATCTTTGGCTGTCGGGTGCAATGAAAGTCAAGGTACCTTTTAGATCAGCGCCTGCGCAAAAGGCTCGACCTGTGCCTGTCAAGATGCCCACGCAGAGTTTGGGCTCGGCGTCTAGCCATTTCCACACGGCGTCCAGCTCTTCGTTTCCTTCTGCACTGATGCAGTTGAGTTGTTTTGGTCGGTTCAGCGTCACGACCAGGATCTCTGGTGTGGGAAATGATAGGATGCAGTATTTGGTTGACGGTGGAGATGTGCTGAAAGCGGGAACTCTGGGAATTGGTGCCATGGTTTGGGAGAATGTGGGATTGGGTCGACGATCGTTTCTTTCGGGGTGAGTAGGTATGGTTCTGAAGCTCAAGATCAAGTCACAATGTAAGAGAAAGGCAGGGCAGGTGGTGATATGTCAGAGTCGCCGAGGTGGCCTCTGCTGCGGGGTGAGTGACGATCACAGCCGAGGGACCGGCGCCATCAAGGTGGAAATTGTTTGAGCATCAACTTTCGCATCACATTGCTATCAACACTCTTTCCACGAATTGACACTCTGCTACTCGGTAACACTCATGCCTTTCAACAACACAAGCAAGCCATAAGCACCAGGATCCGGCACACCCCTAGTCGCGCTCTCATCCAAGTACGTGCTTCTTCCGAGCTTGGCCTCGAGATTCTTTGTGCTTTCCACTCCTCTCTCTGCTTCGGCAAGAGCTGTTTTAACGTCTCCAGTCGACTTCAAGGTCTCGACAAATGGAATCAGACAGTCCAACATAGTTCTGTCACCTAGTCTTGCTCGCGTGTAGTTCAGCAACTGCTCCATGGCAACAGAAAGCGCCGTTGCCACAGATTCAGTCGAAGCCAGAGCCGATGACAGCGAAGTCAAGAAGATGCAATACAGCGCCCCAGATGTGCCTCCCATGTTCACCTCAAGATCGTGCACAAGCTCACTAAGTGTCTGGGGCAGCTCTGAGAGATTCCTGTTTGCAATGAACTTGAGGACTTGTTTAGCGCCGTCGCGGAGTGTGTAGCCACAATCGCCATCGCCGACGATTTCATCGTATCGAGTGATGGTCGCTTCTTCTTTGATCACTGCATCGCATCCGTTTTCGATACGGCTGCGTACTGCGTGATCGGTGAACTTCATGTATCGCGAATCGACTTTGGTCAGGTTGCTACCTTCGGTGGTTTCGTCGGCAAGGGGATTTGTTGGTTCAGGTTGAGCTTCCAGGTTCTGACTGGACATTGGGCAGACTGATATCGAAAATCCTCTCGCTAGGTCTGCATGTTGTAAAACTGTTGACGTGGACAAGCGGTAGGATAAGCCTGCGTTTCCTGTTGATGGTCAGCATTTGTGAACTTGGTCAAAGTCATATCAGGCTTACTGNAGGTAAGTCGCGATCTCTAAGCCAAGGATATAGTTCTCCAATCGTGAGAGACCATTGATGTCTGAATAATGCACGGAGTGGGTGATGCCGTCCTTCTGCTTGGCGTGTGGTCGCATGGCCTGTTCTAGTGCCTCTTGAATAGCATGTCTTGCTTCTTCGTAACCACTGGATTGCCCCTCGGGGTTGGATATCGCTGGTCGACCACCTTCCTTTCCTGTCTGGAACCTCGCAGTCACGGTCGTCGAGGTGTTGAGGAAGTTCTTCAGCACTTCGTATGTTGTCTCAATCGAAGATCTANNGGGACATGTCAGCCAATATCTTCAAAGCTTGTGTCCTCTATTTCTTTACCTTGTTGCATCCGTGGTAGCTCCAAGGAGATGAATCAGATGATCTACATCCAGATCGTCCGCGAGTCCAACCTCAACCAGTTCGTCCTCAACCCTGGTCAAACTCCTCTGTTGACCCGACCTCAGGATGACTATGCCGGCTTGTTGCTGATGTCCGGCCTCGTTGATCGCCTTCACAAGGTCTTTGCTCGAACATTCGCTACCGCTTTCGCAGTCGGTGACAACAGCGGTGATGTGCTTGTCCGAGAGCAATTTGCTCGAAAAGTTGCCAGCCTTGCCAATCACGACGACTCTGACGAATTTGTCGTCCGCAAGTGTCTGATCTACAAGCACTGTCTGGCCTGATTTGGTCTTTAGTGCCTTGATGGAAGGTCGGATCAATGGGTATAGTGTGTTCCATCTCGTGGTGTTCTCGGTATCGAGCTGTTCCCTTGCAAAAGGAATGGTTTGTTCAACGACGACCGCCATGTTGACTTTGTGGGGTGGATTGTGGGGATGGTATACAGCGTTCTCGAGATGTCGAATGCTGGGACGGCAATAGGAATATCGTGATACTATGATCGAAGGGAGATGTGTATCCTGACCAAGGGTCTGGGACCGGGACCGCTTTTCTTTCTTTCACAGCTGTTCTCATTCATTATCAGGCACTTCCGAGAGCGATTCTCCGCGAGAACGGCAGGAATCCCCCACGATGAAGCAAGCCACAAAGTTGCCTATTTGGGTAATCCGAAGGCTCAACCCCGCACCGAGCATTCGGCGATCAGACCGATTGTTGTCGTTCTTCTCGGCGATGCTGCAGCTTATCCACCGAAATAATATGGCTGCTTCGGGATGGGATGTGTCGATTGGGCAAGTCCGAGGTCATGATGTGGTGGTGTCGAGCTGTCTACATGATCAGCTTGTCTCGCAGCTTTCCTCCATCATCTCCGCCTATTTCTACTGACTAGCTGTCAAGAATACAATTACTCAAGTTTTCAAAGGTTGTCTAAGTTGAAGTCACACGATGGCAGCGGCAACACAACAAGCTACTCCAGCTGTCAAAGAGACATTCCACTTTATCAACAAGCCAGAAGGTACAGGCTCAATCCTCTGCTTCACGCGCAGCTATCTGACGCAACACANNGATGCCATCAATGAAGCATTGGCAGGCCTAACCCACATCCATCCAAATCTCTCCTACAATCCGCCTTACAAAATCTTATATCGCTCCGACCTAGGCACCTTCCGCAACAACCATGTAACAACCATCGGCTTCAGCGGAGGTGGCCACGAACCGATGTTTGGTGGCTTCGTTGGTCCAAATTACCTTTCCGCATACGTGAGCGGCAACATCTTCGCCTCGCCGACCGCTGCTCAGATCTACGAGGCCATTAGGATGTGTCAGCCGACCGAAGGTTCCGAGAGTAAAGGCACATTAGTCGTGTGTGGCAACTATACTGGCGACATTCTCAATGCTGGGTTGGCAATCACAAGAGCACAGGCAAGTGGATACAAGGTCAGGTTTGTCCCTGTGGGCGACGATGTTGCAGTGGGTAGAAAGAAGGGCGGTAAAGTCGGTCGAAGAGGATTGAGCGGTCATCTCATGGCTTTGAAGAGTGCTTGTGCGCTTGCCGCCAGAGGAGAGAGTCTGGAACGCGTGACACAAGTCATGGAGTATGTCGCTGCGAACGTCGGCACCGTCGGAGTCGCCTTTGATCGGTAAGTTCAGGACTTGTTCAGTACCGACAATGGCACTGACAGAGACCAGCNNGTTGCATTGCCGAATGCTACATTGACCGACTTGCAAACTCTACCACCTGCAACTATCGAACTTGGTATGGGCGCACACGGCGAGCCTGGCCTACGACAACTCAACCCTGTCCCTTCACCAGAGTCTCTCACAACTCAGATGCTCGACCTGCTCCTCGACATCTCCGACTCAGATCGAGCATTCATCCCCTTCTCCTCGTCCTCATTTACCGAAGCCTCATCCACAGGTTCCAAGAAAGACAACGAAGTGGTGATCCTACTCAACTCTCTGGGCAGCACGAGTGACGAAGTGCTTGCTCGTTTTGCCGAGATAGCAATTTCAGACTTGACGAAACGTGGATTCGTGGTTAGAAGGATTACGCTGGGTCCTTTGGTAACAAGTCTGAAGATGAGTGGGTTTGGTATCACGGTCTGGCGATTGCCACCCGCCAGTGGAGAAACGATGACTAGGGATGAAGCCTTGGCGCTTTGGGATACGAAGGTTGATGTTGCTGCCTGGAGACAATAGGCTGTCGGTGTTGCTGACGACTCGCATGAGGTTTCGCGCGGCTTCGATCATTGAATACTGACCGTGATTGGCGCAATGCGATACCCATAAGCAACGAATACGGTGCACGTCTCAGTACCATTTGATGCATCTAGGCTATCCATTGCTATACTGCATATGATGTGTACCGGTCAAGACAGGGTAGCCAAGCATTTAGAATCCTACTCATCTATATAGCCGGAGCGACTTCTCTCCGCTACTGTCGGATGTTGAAATCCATCCACCGATATATGCCTCATTAAATCTGCTTGGTCATAGTCCTAGTCTAACTCGTTCGCTCTCGGAGTTGTGATCGCATCTGCTTGGTCATATTCTCAATCCCTCGGCCTTGACGTCTCGGAAACAAGGCGTGCGAGTGTGTGATATAAGACCATCGATGTAGCTCGAGATACTTGGACTGAATTCATCACCACAACACTCAAACGCAATCATCCAGCGCCTTCAAAGTGAACTTCCAATACCCAAACCATACAACGCAAAATATGCCTTACACTGTCTTCATCTCCGGCGCCAACAAAGGCCTTGGTCTCGGCTTGCTGAAGAGCTACCTCGGCCGCGCCGACACCACAGTCGTAGCCACCGTCCGCAACCCCTCGAGCACCGAAGCCAAAGCCCTGCATTCAATTCCCAAAGGCTCGGGCAGCAATCTCATCATCGTCAAGGTCGAAGCACGCTCCGACACCGACTGCACTGATGCCATCTCCAGCATCAAAGACCAAGGAGTATCGCATCTCGACCTCGTAATCGCAAACTCTGGCTTCTATGATCCTCCCGCCGAGCCTCAGGTCGCCCACATCACTGGCAAAGCATTGTCAGATATAATGGATGTGAACGCCATGGGTTGGGTGCGACTATTCCAGGCGACTTTGCCTTTGCTGCAGAAAGCCGAGAAGGGCATTTTCGCTTACATGTCTTCTGCTGCGGGATCCATCACCGCTACTGGGGATCTGCCTTTCTCGATGGGTATCTATGGTGCTTCCAAGGCTGCTGCCAATTTCTTGGTTAGAAGGGCGCATCAGGAACATCCCGACTTGGTTATTTTCGCACTGCATCCTGNNGGTATGTGTTTTTGGTGTTACTTTTTTCTTTCTCTTTTGAGAGCTACCGGCTAATGAGAGCGAAATAGAGCTGTCAAAACCCCTGGCGCTACGCAGGTCATCGAGAGTATGGGTATGACCGATGCTCCTCCTGGTTTCTTCATTGACTTGGAGACAAGCATTGATGGCATGGTAAAGACTGTGAGTAATCATCTGCTTCAAACTCTTGTCGATGATCTTTCCACTGATTATCATCTTTAGCTTGACAATGCAACCAGAGAGGAGACTTCGGGCAAGTTCTTGGCCTTTGACGGCTCAGAAGTGCCATGGTAAACATCCAATGTTGTCTGAGAGAGATACCGAGTTGGAGATATGCCTGATACACTCGCTTTTTGTTTCCTTTACTGGTTTGGGCCGCGGGAATGATTTGTTCCAAGTCACTCGTTCAATCTAATGATCCAATCTCATATCGCGAAAAAGATGTCAAAGAGGAGTTTTCCAATCGAATCGTCTACAGCGAGCATCGATGCAACATCTTACAAGTCTGAATCTTCTTGACGCTCTTATTGTGCTGTCACAAGCATCAGCTCTCAATGCTTCGATACCAAAGAGAGTCAGAAGTGATCAAACTTAGACATGCCTTCAACGTAGATATTCACCAGCTGACGACCTTCTCCTCTACGCAGGCACACTGCCAGAGTAGCATCTATTTATATGTGAGCACTCAAGGAACCATTTCAGGGTTCGACGTGTCAGAAACGGCTTTCAGCTGGTAGTACAACGACTCGTGGATCATGTACCGCGTCTGTATCGAGTGCCGAGATGCTGAATGATTGAGACATGTTGTAGTCAACAGAGCAACCCTGGCTCAATTGGCAGTACCATTCCCCTTCGCACAAGTAGAGAAGAGCGATACTCTCTTCCTAGCTCTGGAGCCATGTATCGGAGATGCATGGCCACGTAAGCTACGACAGGTTTCGCTTACAAGATTGGTGACCATAAACATGAAAAGGTGAATGACGCGGGCGTGCGTTGCAATTTCTGCTTGAATTTGGCAGGTAATACGGTCGAGATTGTCATGAGCACGACAACAATCAACATCCCAGTAAATGCATATTTCGATGAGGTTTGTTCTTGGAATATGCTCATATCACAAGCCAGACTCTAGATAGAAGGTAAACTAAAGAAGGGCTGAATGTAAGATCCTTGCGAAAACCATCTAGATATGCACAGGACTCCCGTCGCAGAATTGAGGGATGGATAACCAGAGACTACAGCATCTAATCCAAAACTTCTAGAATGCAACACCACTCTTGCCTGCGCCCGGATATCTGTGGAGAAGGCCAGTAAGAAGGTCTGTCCCATCCATACTCATATCCTTGAACGCAGGGCAATCGAGACTCAGCAATGGGTTCAAAACAGCATCATTGACAAGCTTCAACGGCGCCGCAAGAGTCTTGAACAGCGAAGACAGCGAGTTTGGCGAAAACGTCTTGACAATCTCAAGCACAAAGCAAACCAAATTGTTGTCTTCCAGCAGTGATACGGCGTTCAAAACACCTCCAGTGATGTCTTCGAGGTCCAGACCAGCGAAACTGTCTACTTTCCCAAGGTTTCCGCCGATGCTGGCGAGAATGGGGTATTTGAGGAACCAGGCTACGAGATCGAGGTTGAGTTCGATGAGACCATAGTCCATGGGCCTTCTGTACCAGTTTGCGGGGATTTGCTCATGGCCTTTACGGTAGACGAGTTCGCCGTTCTCTTCGTAGACGGCGTAGAAACTGGCAAAAACATCTTTTGCTGCGAGTTTGTTAGTGGAATTATCACGATACATTACATCTCACCGCAGCAGTGACTTACTCAAATGACCTCCCATAGGGTTTTCCTTGGTGTGGTTACTCAAGATGCGCCCAGTAAAGGCATAACCAGAGTTGCGGGCGACCATGCCAGTGTAAGGGCCGTAGTAAAAGTTTGGGTTGATCGAAATACTTTCTTGGAATCGCTTTGCAGCACGAGCGCCAATATCGTCCATGGAAAGAACAAAGTCGTCCGAGGAGTTGTAGGCTTCCAGAAAGAGGGTCATGTTCATGGTGGAAGCATCGCCCGTGACATACAGGTCATCGCGCGTGTTCGACGAGTCAGATTCAATCCAGTTGTGAGCGCCGTCTAGACCTCTTGGTGTACCGAGCAGTCCGAAGAGGTTACCGAGGAGATTGCTTGCCTTTCTGTTCTTGCCGCCGATGGAAAAGCCAGGATTCAGAGATAGGGGNTTGCCAACGCCCACGGTACCCATGACCGCAAGGACGGTGATCAGGTCGATACCCATACCGTATACTATCACAGATCAGCGAATGCTCAAGAATTTTTTCCGATGTGTGCTCCTACCTTGATTGACGGCAGTTATGACTTCGAAAAACNNTGGTTTGTGGATTGTCAATGATCAGTTCTCGAGTGAGCGCGCATCGAGATGACATACGCCAACGATACCATCACGAGATATGTAGCCATGGTTGGCAAGCGCATTCAGTCCAGGACAAGGACCTCTTTGATCACCTTTGTCGAAGTTTGGTGCTTGAAAAGCGTGTCTGCCAGTGACNTGCTGGTAATCAGCGATAGCGTGATGATTGTTGATGCCCATGGAATATTTACCGTCAATTGGTGTGGTCATTGGGTCAAAGAGAAGACGCTTCTCTTTCAGGCGCAAGAGACTCTCATGCAAATCATTCGATGAGGAAGCAGAATCATGAATCGCATTGTGATGGACAAGCTTCGCAAAGTTCTCAGCAGTTGGAAAAGAGTGTACGAAATTGGGGGAGAGCAAAGTCAGGGCACAAGACCCGAGTGAAAGAATGGACACCTTCATGAAGAAGGCACGCAAGATGAATCTGCAGATGTAGGTTGAAAAACGACGGTCAGAGAACAGTGTCAGGGACTCGAAAAGAGTCTCTGAGGACACTGGCAAAATTCAGAGAACCATATGAGCCTCGCATCTCTGGAACACGGCACGGGACGTCCGACAACTGTTCTCCCTGGAAGATGAACCGCAGATTGATGCCGTTCTGAGAGATTGATCAAGGGCGAGCCCCGAGCACGCCAGCAGTTGCCATGATTGAGATCTTCAAAACTTAACGGTCATAGCATTCCAGAAGAGAGTTCAGACAAGGATCCCAGATACCGGTATGACCATGATGAAGCTTCTACATAGGGAAAGACACTCCTAAGTCCTTGATAGAATGCCACGTGAAAACTGTAGGCAATTGGATGGAGACAGATATGGAAAAGCTTGGACACGTAAGCAACATGGTCGCATAGATACCTTACCACCCAACCATATCTATAAGTGGTGGCCCTGATTGACATGGGCGGTTGTCTTGATTGAGCTTGAGCACTTTGGTGTTGGGTCGAAGATGTGAGAGGTGCACGGTGCACATTGCGCTGGGCGCCGCTTACTCATGCAACTTCCCCACTCAAATCTTGCCCGTCGTTCGTTCAACGGCACGCGGTCAATCTTTTGCGACAAACCATAGTTGATGGCTTTCAACAGTTTCCGCCCACTGACTCGTACGAGGTCCATTGCATCCGAGTTATCGACATTAGATTCCTGTCAGAACCTCTGACATCTGTCATGCACCACGAACTTGGACAGGTCCGAATACCCGACCCGACACCAAGTTTAGCATGATTGATCTACTCCCGAATGCGTTACTGTTTGTTGATCTGTTGTTGATCACGACGACCGACGACCTACCATCTCAGGGCAAATCTGACAGTCAGCTCGATGAGCACATTGAAGACTCACATCTCACAATGAATCTAGTCAGAAAGAAGCCAGAAACCTCTGTCATACACCAGACGAGGGCTATTTCCTAGGAGCTCACCATGAACTGTGAAGGATTCTTGCAGATCCAAGACTGGGGTAGGTTTAGCGCACAGGATGGTCCTGTCAACATCAGACACAATGTCTTGTACATGCCGGGATAGATCCTTGGCTCTGACGGGCCTGCTGAACTGCTTTCCCGGGTGCTCAACAGAACCCAACAAGTGCTCTCCTGATGACGACCCAGACCATTTACATCCTTTAATATGCAATTACGAACTAGAGCAACCACCCACGTCTCTCATCGGCCCTGACTTCCAAAGCGGGGATTGATCCACACCGCAGACCTTGAGTTGGATTTTGAGCATTTAGACTTCCTGCACACTCATGTGTTTACTTGCATGAAGTTGAGATAGGGTTTTCTCCTTCTTCTAGACCAGTCTCACCCGACTTTTCGTCCTGTCACCAGTTCACTCGTTCTCTTGTGGCCCTGTACCACGGCTTCCACCCGGAGACAGGACAAAAGGTCAGCCAACATGAAGATCTCCTTCGGAATACTGGCTGTTCTGGCTGCTTTGATGGCGACGACGTACGCTGCTTCCGATGCCCAGTCCGCTCTGGAGATGGCGCAGGATTACCCAAAGTGTACAGTGAGTAAGATACCGAATTCCTGATGAGGTCTGATATCTGACTGCAAACCATCTTCAGCTCGCCTGTCTCAAAAGCTCATTCCCGAGTCCGCATGTACAATGACTGATGTCAATTGTCTATGTACCAATGTCCCACTGAATACCAAATTGACAATGTGCGTCTTGGAGACGTGCACTACGTTCGAAGGATTGANNGTGAGTGGCCACATTTATGCACCATGTATCTTGGATCAACTTGTTGACTTTTCCATCTCAGCAACGAAGAATGTCTCTTCCAAAATGTGCGGTGCGCCAGTAAGAGATCAGTCTCTGAAGCCACTTCTCATCGGAGTCATTGGCGGTGCTATCGCTCTCGTGATATTCGTTTTGAGACTCTGCTCTGTACTGCCAGCTGCTGGGCGTCATATGGGGATGGATGATTATGCCATCTGTGTCGCTGTCGCTCTCGGTACACCTCCGACGGTGTTTTCTGTTCTCCGTGAGTTGAATTAACTTGCATGTCAAAAGAAATTATGCTAATAAGGCTTTTGTANNGTATCCAAGAACGGTCTTGGAAAAGACATGTGGACACTTCCACTGGCCAATATTGAGAATGTTCTTTTCGTAAGACATCCTAATCATCAAACCTGCAATACATTCACTGACACGTCAAAAGNNTATTACTATCTTGGAGAGATTTTCTATTTTGCCTCAATCACCGCAACTAAGATCTCGATCCTTGCATTCTTCCTCCGTGTCTTCCCCAGAAAGAGCATGCGCCAGATCGTCTACGTCGTTATGGGAATCTGCGTCGCATATGGTCTCTCTTTCGTTCTGGCTACCACGTTCCAATGCAGTCCGGTTTCATACTCGTGGAAGCAACTCGATGACAATTACGCAGGCTCATGCAATAATATCCACATTCAGGGGTGGATGAGTGCAATTTTCAACATTGTCATCGACATCATCATTCTCGTGCTTCCTCTGAAGGAGCTCTACGCATTGAACACCAGCTTGAAGAAGAAGCTTATGGTCATGATCATGTTCTCACTTGGTATCTTGTGAGTCATTTTGAGAGCTCCTCACCAATACATGGCTGACGATTCATCTCCACAGTNNGTGACCTTTGTTAGCGTTGTTCGACTGCATTCTTTGATCGTGTTTGCAAACACTCAAAACGTCACGTGTAAGTGGCTTGGGTCATTCGTTGCCAGATCTATCTGACACCTTCCTTCAGGGGACTACAACGACGCGGCTTGGTGGAGTACCGTCGAAATCCATGTTGGCATCGTCTGCGCATGTCTACCTTCAGTCCGTGCTCTTTTCGTATCCCTCGGCGCGTCTTCCCTCGGTACCACCAGACACAACTCCAGACCAACTGGCCGTCAGGCCTCGAACAATTCGGGATTTACCAGTAGCTCACTGGGAGGGAGCAAAATCGGTGCGTTGGTCAAGGAGAAGCCAGCCTCCGTGCCGAAACATGGAGACGAGGAGGATTTTATTCCTCTGGTAGACATGGCCAGCAACAAAGGCTGATACAAAACTCTCCCTGGAACGCAAGCCCGACATTGAGGAGAGCGACACATGTACTGCATCCCCATCACTATTGCAAGAGTCAAACAGTACACTCACGGATGGAACTCATTACTGGAACGATCAAAGACTCAATAATCAGTCAAACAGTCTTGCGAGACTATCTTTCCTTTGTCAATCGGGGTACAATTACCCTTGTGGCTGTACCTCTGGATTGCCGTCATTGGAGAGTTGATTGGTCGGAAACCTATGACTACAAGGTTACTCGTCGCGGGAAGTCAGCAAGTACAACACAGAATAGAGACGCATCGGCTCCGCGCTGAACTAACCAGCAATGATAATCTTTCATCTAATGGTTGTCCGGTACGTCAGCCATTTGGGGTCTCCATTGAACACGAATGGAGTGAAAATCAGCCACTCAACTTTTCCTACTTTCGACGCTGGTCCACTCTAGTGTTTAGTCAGATGACGAGATCCTACACCTTCGTGCTGTAACAGGGCATCCCTTGATTTGAGTTTCGAAGAACGGATCATCTCAATGGTCGTGAGCGTAGCCAGGTCTGAGATTACCGCTTGCAATATGCTTAGGAGTAATCAAAGACAACTCTTCTGGTCAACATCATAACTACGCTTAGAGCATGATGCTATGGTGCTGTATGAATACACGTGCCACACAAGATGTTCATCCGGGCACGGGCTCTGAGATCGGGCACGGCCCGAGTCATGGAGTGATGCTCTGAGCGCGAGCCTCACCGCTTTGACCTGGTAAACACAGGCATGGCAAGCATGGTTCCTCCGTCCAGTGTTGATCAAACCATCCCAGATTGAAAGCACCAGAGCTACATATTAATTCAGCCCGACCAGATGTCGAATCTGGTAGATGATCGGCACCAAATATGGACGGCTTGCTGCCGGCAACTAGCAGGGAACCCCCACTCAATCCATCACCACCATCATCAATTTTCTTCCCTCGATACCAGATGAATACTTTTTGTCCCTGGTCCCAATCAATTCGCGTTTGTGAGTGTATACACTTTCTCCTATAATCAATTATGATCATCCAAATTCTGGCCACTCCAGATACAGATGGACCGACTAGGCGTGCCGTGTCGCCCGGTCATCTTCTGACCTCAATTTGGACCGCCACTTGATTCAAGCATTGAATGCTTGAGTAAGTCTATAACATGTCTGAGGCTCCTTTTTCACACTCTTCTTCCTGTTTCTCAGCCACGAGGGTCATCTGCAGTCATTCAATCTTTTCCTACCCACTGAGTTCCTCGCGCCCACTCTTTCGTCACTTTATCGTACTGTACAAGACTCTTCTTGTCAGTCGAGTTTTGTCTTCTTTCTTATTCAGTTCATCTCTCATAACTTGATTCCCAACCATGAAGGTTTTCAGCATCATCGCTTTGTGTGCGGCAGGCGCAAACGCGTAAGTACAACCCAAACAATGACGCAATCGTGAACTGACAAACAGCAGTTTTGAGTGGACATGGCCATTGCTCTCGAACGACCCCCAATATCCTCCCAATGGATACAACCTCCCTACCAAAGGACCAGATGCCAACTCTACTTACGAGTATATCGTTGTTGGATCCGGTCCTGGTGGTTCTCCTCTTGCCGCTCGTCTCGCACTTGCCGGCTACAGTGTCTTGCTTATTGACGCAGGCGAAGACCACGGTACCGACAGACAAGTTCAGGTCCCAGCCCTCCACCCTTACGCCAGCACATATCACCCAATCCAATGGGACTTCTTTGTCGACCACTACGCCGATGAGGAGCAGGCTAAGCGAGACTCCAAGATGACATATCTTACTCCTTCGGGCGAATACTACTCTGGCTTGAATCCTCCTGAAGGTTCCGTAAGAAAGGGTATCCTTTACCCCAGAACCGGTGCTCTTGGTGGTTGCGCTCAGCACAACGCCTTGGTCACTATTACTGCCACCGACAACGACTGGAACAGCATCGCTAGCATGACCGGCGATAAGTCGTGGATGGCCAGCAACATGCGCAAGTACTACCAGAAGCTCGAGCGCAACCGCTATCTGCCCAGCAGCATTGTCGGCCACGGCTTCAGTGGTTGGTTGGAGACTCGTGTGACTCCCGTCCTTCTGATCGCCGAGGACTTGAAGGTCCTTTCGCTTGTTACAGCTGCTGCTACTGCCATGGGCAGAGGTCTGCTCGGTGGTCTTTTGCACACCGTTACTGGTCTTGCTGAGGTATTTGTGACCAAAACTTCGACCCTATCAAAGTTATACTGACTGTTGCATGCAGNNATCCTCACTCTCGACATCAACAACCCTAGCCCGTCTCGCGACAACGATGAGCTCATCTACCAGATCCCCCTGTCCATGGACGGAAACTACGTTCGCAGCTCTCCTCGTGACTTTGTTCTCCAGGTCGCTGGAGCCACCAACAAGGACGGCTCTAAGAAGTACAAGCTCGACATTGCTCTCAACACTCTTGTCACCAAGGTCAACTTCGATTCCTCTAACACCAAGCCCAAGGCAACCGGTGTTGACTACCTCTTTGGTCAGAGTCTGTACCGTGCTGATCCTCGTGCTGGTACTGAGGATGGCGGTATCTCTGGAACCGTTCACGCTAGCCGCGAAGTTATTGTCTCTGGTGGTGCTTTCAACACCCCTCAAATCTTGAAGCTCAGTGGTGTTGGACCTGCTCAGGAGCTTCACACTCACGGCATTGAAGTCGTCAAGGATCTTCCCGGTGTTGGTGGCAACATGCAAGACAGATACGAGGTCGGTGTCGTCGGTAAAGCTCCTTCGGAATTCGATCTCCTCAAGAAGTGCACATTCCTCGAGGGCGATGACCCCTGCTACGACAACTGGAAGAACAACGTTGGAGCCCTCAAGGGTGGCTACACTACCAACGGTATCGCCTTTGGTTTCCTCCACCACTCTTCCGTCTCGGAAAGCGATCCCGATCTTTTCCTTGGTGGTGTCCCTGCTTACTTCAACGGTTACTTCCCTGGTTATTCCGCTCATGCCACTCAAGATCTTAGTATCTGGACGTGGCTCACTCTCAAGGCCCACTCTCGCAACAACGCCGGTACCGTCAACTTGACTTCCGCAAACCCTCGCGATACCCCCAAGATTGTCTTCCACTCTCTCGGTGAGGGTGTTGGTGGTGACCAGGATCTCCAGGCTGTCTACGAGGGTGTCCAACACGGTATCAAGGCTTTCAAGGACCTTATCCCTCTCGATGGCAAGTTCGACCGCGTCTGGCCTCCGGCTGATCTCACTTCTGAGGAGGACCTGAAACAATTCATCAAGGACGAGGCTTGGGGTCATCACGCCTCTTGCACTGCTCCTATCGGTGCTGATGATGATCCGATGGCCGTTCTCGACAGCGAGTTCCGTGTTCGCGGTGTTGATGGTCTGCGTGTTGTTGATGCCTCCGTCTTCCCCAAGATTCCTGGCATGTACATTGCTCTCCCCATCTACATGGTCAGTGAGAAGGCTGCTGATGTCATTATCTCATCTGCTACTGCCCCCGCTGCTTCTCAGTAGAGTGACAGAGAGGATTGGAAAGTGGTTTGATCGCTCAACAGTCATGTAGTCGGACTGTTGCTTTCTACCAGTAATTAAGAATACACAACTCTTGTTCGTTTTTGCACATAGTCTATCATATATCTCTTTTGCCCCAATTCGCTTCGAAACTGTTCGTCCAAACAGACTTGATTATACATGTTCACTTGATGCCAGCTTCGCCAATCGTTATGACTGACCCAAGCCTGACCTCTGGGATATTGTTTGCATTCTTGCGATCCCAAACCCAAGAAACTAACTACGGGCCATGGCTTAGAGATGGTCCTCTGGTATTAAAGTCGAACAATGTATCGGCACGGGCAACTGTATCAAGTCTTCGTCAATCCTCTCCGTATCCAGATCTTCAACAATATACAAGTTGTCACCGTGTTCCTAAGAGACACTGTGTTTCACACTCACACAGATCTTCCTCACCTGTATATAGCAACGACCCGGACTTAAGAAGCGAGCTCTGTCAATGTCCAATTATGTAACTGATGGCAAAACTCCGGCATTGGTGTGCTTTGAGAACATCAACATGCTGGCTGAGTACGGCCGAGTTTATAGTACCCTATATAACAAACTCCATTTACCCCAGCTCCACTGGCCAGCAATGCCACCACTGCAGATCCACTCAACCACGTTTACTGTCATATGAACCCTTGACGTCGATGGCAGACAATAACATTTGGTTCGGTGGACTCCGATACATCCGAGTCAACCCCATTTCATCGCTTTGACTTTCCAAGTGTTGCAATATAAAGATTTGGAAGAACAAGGGGTGACCGCTCCCATGAGCGGGATGTTGGGTTACACGAGTCAACCCCGCAAGGGAAAGATGAATGTAGATGAAGAAGCAAGACAGGTTCCACATGTGGCAGGAAATTGGACCGACAGGACGGAACAAAAGATGAAGCTTGGTTTCTTAGAAGACATTGCTGAGTGTATGAAGTGAATGTCGAAATACTGAGTAGGTTTCTTCCTGTCTCTGGTGTCGGTACTTTGTTTACAGAAAACTCGACGAAAATCATCATCATGATACACAACAAAAACAATGTGACTGAGATCCCCAGTGTGGACCTTTTGACTTTTCTATTTGGTAACTTTACTCGGTGTTCTCGTGTAATCGCAAGACTGATCTCACGCCCACAGNAATCCAATCATTGCGCAGCGAAAGAAGACACGCCCTTGTACGCAGAAGCCAGCGATCCCACAAAGTTCATCACAAAGTGGAGAGCGCGAGTTCTCACTCGTCAGATTGCTTACTTTCTGCGCCATGAGTATGGCATTGGTCAACATGGTGTTGGGGAAGATGTAGTGGCTACGGTGTCCACAGGCCAACACGCACTCGCATGTCTATTCTTCGGTGTCATTGCCGCCGAGGGTGTATACTCGGCTGCAAGTCCAGGCGCCACAGTCGAAGAACTCGTGCGACAGATCAAAGACGGCGCCGCCAAGATACTCGTCTGCAGTGCCGATGTCAAAGCCCTGGCAGAAGACGCTGCAGAAACCGTGGGAATGTCGAAACGAAACGTGCTTGTCCTCTCATCAACCCCAGAAATCAGACTGGAAAGCATTGATGCAAGTGTTTGTTGCGAGTTCGAGCAGGAGCTTGCTTGGAGACCAATCACCGATCCCAAAGAATTGGAACAGAGCAAGATTTGCATGCTCTACTCATCCGGAACCACGGGTTTGCCAAAAGGTGTTCTGATATCGCATACAAACATGGTAGCGGAAGCTTTTCTACCCGCCTACATCAACCGACCCATCTGGCAAGAGTGGACAACAGCAGGAAAGCCTTTCGAATTGCGCACTCTGGCACATCTTCCAACAGCCCACATTTCCGGCGTGCAAGGATACTTTGTCAACGCCTTTTATGATGGAGGAATTGTGTACTGGATGCCTTCATTTGACTTTGGCGCGTTCTTGAAGTATAACGTGCAGTATCGCATTACTACATTCTTCAGTCTGCCAAAGATTTACTTGGGACTGGCTAGACATCCGGCAGTCACTGATCAGTTGAAAGCCCTGGAGATTGCTTACTCGGGAGCTACACCTTTGAACAAAGACGTCTATCGTTGTGCAAAGTTTGGAGGCGAGGAAGAGGATAGGACGCTGCTTAGCCAGACTTGGGGAGCCAGTGAGACCACTGGCGCCGTCACTCATGTCTCTCCTGCGATGAGAGAGACTTCTGGTAGTGTAGGAGCACTACTTCCAAACATGTTGATGAGGTATATTTCGAGATCATCTTGAATGATCTTCCGCTAACAGAACATCGCANGACTGGTCGACGAGAATGACCAAGATGTTCCTGTCGGCGAGCCCGGTGAAGCATTGCTCAAAGGTCCAGTCATCACACAAGGTTACCACAATAATCCGGAGGCAGACGCGGCTGGCTTCACCCAAGACGGTTGGTATCGCACCGGCGATGTGATGCAATTTGGAGAAAACAGTGACCTTCTATACGTCGTGGGACGCACAAAGGTGAGTTCATCATTGATATTGTATTACTCGAAACTCACTAAATGACCTTCGCCAGNNGAAATCATCAATCACAACGGGCTCAAAGTTGCGCCTGCCGAACTGGAAGCAATACTCTGTGAACATCCATCCGTCGCCGACGCAGCTGTGGCTGGAGTCATGGCCCAAGATACAGAAGTTCCACGCGCCTTTATTGTGCTTCGTCCTATAGCCGATGACTCTCAGGAAATTGCGGATGATATCCAAGACTACGTCAAGCAGCGCGTGTCAGATCACAAACAGCTGCGTGGTGGTGTCGTCTTCGTGGAAGCCGTGCCTCGACTACTGTCAGGCAAAGTGTGGCGGGCCAAGCTGAAGGAAATGGTAGCAATCCATTGAGCCTCCGACACGCATGGGTGGTCTCATCTACATAGTCGTTCAACTTCAAGGCCAGCAAGAATGAAAGCACTAGTCGCAATCAAACTGTTATTCACGACCGGCCTCGAGAAGTAGTACTGCAAGAAAGATTGGTCAGTAAATCGCATCCTGTCTGGATAGAGGATTGCACAAACCTGAGCATCTACGTCCTGCGCGCTCAAACTAGCGATAGGACTCGTGCCTCCCAACTCCAATGTTCCGTTCATGTTTCTTGTGACTTGTGTATCAGAGATGGTTTTCCAAAGCCCGAGGCCCGCTTTGATGGCTCTGTTACGGAGGCTTGGTGATGTGACAAGTTCTATACGAACTGATTTCAGCAGCGAATAGGCAGTCATCAGACTTGCGCTTGTCTCGACAAAATTCTTGGTATTGTTGATGGTGGCGCCAGGAAGGTCGATGACTTGCCAAACACCGTAGTTGCCATCGATTGCTGTGGCGCGCTCGAGAGCAACGATCTGGGCTTGGATCAGAGAGTTGAGAAGCAATCTCATGTTATTGTATGCGATCTTGTTCTCCAGTGCGTTCGAGTGATGAGGCATAGACTGTAGGGAGTCCAGAGCTTCGACTACGCCAAGGGTATACCATGCCAGTGAGCGACCCCAGACCGAGGGGCTAGCACCAGTTTCTGAATTCGCCCAGTGATGAGCTTTCAAGGCATCGTACCCGTGCACAAGAAGACCCGTGCCATCATTGCAGATGAAGTCGAGGATCTCGAGTTGCTTCAGGGCCGCCGCAGCACCAAAGATATCGGACTGTCGAGTGCCATTTCCTGCGCTGAGGATTGCAAAAGTCGGATACGAGTACATGCCATCGGTGTACGACAGATTCTGATACGCAGTCAGATTGTTGGGATTGGCATAGTACCAANNAAGTCCTCCATTGGCATTTTGTGGCTGTTGAGTAAGGGAGTCCTGCAACGTGTTGATGGCAGACAGAAGCGCAGCATCCCCAGACTCTTGCCATTGTCTAATCATTTCAGTGCCTATAGAGAAGCGATCCAGAGGTAGTTGAGTAGCAGAAGTGACGTTGGTGAATAACGGAATGGCACTCGCCGTGCTGTTGTGCAAATATGTCGTCCATTCTTTCTTGTTGGCTGTGTCGTTGGTCGCTGCAATACCCTGTCGTAGGGCCTGATAGAAAATTCCGAGCTCAATCAGACCAGTGCCTGAAGAACTTGCTGCTGCGCCTTGGCTTCTTGCAATGTTGCTTGCGATCATTTGTGATGCTTGTCCTTGGAAGTTGTTTGGACATTGCACTTGGGCCGTCGTAAAGCTTGCTGCGACCAGCGGAGAAATCGGCAATGCCAGAAGGTGATTAATTCGCATATCGTCCTGATTACGTCGTGGAAGACTGGGATATCGACAGAGATGCAGAAAATCCTTCTTGAATTGTTGATGTTCAATGATTGCAGATCGCAATGACGTGATGGTCCACTATCTGAAACTCAAAATCGACTGCGTATGCCAGATCAGGCCACGTGAATATATATAATAGTCGAAGCGGCTGTACTGGTGATAGTTGATCATGACTCTTCAATGCATCCGACAGCACTGCTATTGATTGCGACAGTTGTTCACTCTCCCTTCATGAGCCAGCGTCGACAAACACCCTCCCACAAAGTGTCAGCCCCATCAGGTCCCTCATTTTTCGCCAGATCAAATAGCTTTCCAAGCCTTCCTTCCAAAACAGTAGCAAGTTCTGTCTCCTCAGCCGTACCATGAGTAGGGACCACAAACATTGCCTCCTTGCTCCCCTCTTTGAACTGTGACCAAGGAGCTTCGCCATCAACGATGTATTTGATATACCTTGCCCTCCACTCTCTGATCTTCTTCACATAGTCTTCTGAGAGCCTATCCTCATAGGCGCCTAGCAAAGCCACGATATCCCAAGTATGCGATGCAAACTTGTTCTGCTCAAGAGGGCCAGGGAATGGGTTTCCAAGATCGAAGAGTTGAAAGTAGGTAGTTGTCTTGTCTGCTGTACCTCTTGCGACAGCCAATGCAGCAGAAAAGAAGCCGATATCAGATTCGAATTGGCAAATCTTTTCCAGTGCTTCCTCGTCAGGCGTTACTTCTTGAATATTATAGATTTGCAAGAGTTTCTCAGGATCGTTGAGGATTTCTTTAGCAATCTTGATAAAGCTTTTNGCATAGTCTTTGCGCGAGTCGTCGCCTCGCATCATGATATTCGAGATACTACCGTCGTAAGTGCAAGAACTGACGATCTGTGACTCCAGCCAGGGAATCTGGGAGACTTTCCCGGCAGAGATATCACGCTGGTTCGCATGGTCTCTGTGCGGTATGATGTCGGTGTCAACGCAAGGAGAGCCCACATATCCAAGGTCCCTGATCTTGGAAACGTCGCATTTGATCATCTGCTCGGCAATCTGCATGCTGCTGAGGTTGTCGGTATCGATGTCTAGCTTCTTTGCTTGCTCGAGGAAGTTTTCTTGATGTTCCAGATGCGTCTTGTCGGGCATGGTCAAGGGCGTGCCAGAGAACATGATGGACCGCCTGTATAGGATGTTTCGCCTTCCACTCATGTTGTGTAAATTCAAGCTCTCACCGCCGGCTGATTGTCCAATGGCAGTGATGTTGTCCATGTCACCTCCGAAACCGTCAATGTTGCGACGTATCCAGCCAAGCGCGGTGATCTGATCATGTAAGCCATTGTTGGACGGCATGAGACCTTCTGCATTGGGAGAGTGGAAGAATCCGAGGGCTCCAAGCCGATAGTTGACGGAAACAAAGATAAGAGGCTTTCCCATCTCCAATGCTTGGGCACAGAATGTCAGAGGATTGTAGTACTTTCTTTCACCAGAACCAAGGAAGAAAGCGCCGCCATGGATGAAAACCACAACCGGCAATTTCGAATCTGCTGTCGTATCTTTTGGTATCGTAACAGTCAGTCGCAGGCAATCCTCAGCTTGCTCCTGTTCTTCAACGTCATCGGGCAATTGATTTGATTTAGCGTCCATGTGAGCAGATTGCAGCGGTTGTATACTTTGAGGTCCTCGCTTCGTGACATCGTATGTCTCTTTTGGTACGGGTTTCGTAGTGAGTTGCTTCCTCCTTGGCACGTCCGGCAGTAATACAGACCTGGCGAAGCGCTTGGCCGATCCGTAGGGGATAGAGCGAAATTGAGTGAACTTTTCGGTCACAGCAATGCCCTGCAGAGGGCCCAATTGAGGGTGGTTGAGAAATGTGTTTACCATCTTGAATGCTTCCATCTGACTACAGATTGTTGTGAAGAACAAGTCGTGTCTCACGAATCCAGAAGTCGCATGTTGAAACGTGAAGATCGTCAAATATCGAAGCGTCACCAGTGTCAAAAGTAGGTGTCATACTCCAACGTCGAAGCGGCTCTTCTCTTACCTTCAACTGTTCCGAATACACTATGCAAATGCTTGATGAGATGGACTCAAGTGTTGACTCTTGAAGTACCATGTCTTGCGATGTGATGTCCATGCTTGACGTAATAGCCTCGGGTAAATCGATAAAGTGGGGATATCAGATAGACCTCCGGACTCAACAACCACAACAGTCGACAATCAAGCACTGCGACCATGTCATATACATCACGATATACCCGCCTGTAACAATTCACGATTCTGGCCTTGCTCAGCGTCGTGGGCTGGATGAATTATAGCACATCCGTGACCATTCGTGGCTCTGCATGCGACACCGTCTACGAAACTCGATTGTGAGAGCCACAATGACAGACCCAACTCGACCACGACGCAAATCCTTTCAAGAAATCGCCAGCGCAAAAATTGAAGGGACCGACTACAAGATACTCGTCAAAGACCGTGGCTCTGCCATTGTAATAATCGCACCACATGGAGGAGATATTGAGCCAGGAACATCTCAAATAGCGGCCGCCGTTGCAGGCGACGATCTCTCACTCTACGACTTCCAAGGCTTGCGCAATACTCATGGTCATCGCGAGCTTCACCTTTCCTCACATCTTTTTGACGAACCTCGAGCGTTGCAACTTGTCGAGAAAGCAGATACAGCGGTCGCGATACACGGGAGAAAGGATGGGGATGATCCTCATCGAGTCTGGATTGGTGGCTTGGATGTTCAACTTTGCAGGAAGACCATGGCTGAGTTGGCGAAAGGTGGGTTTGGAGCTGTGGTTCGTGAGCCGGGGGAGACACTGGCAGGGATGGCGGCTTCCAACATCTGCAATCGAAGCAAGCGAAAAGAAGGGATTCAGCTTGAGATCCCCAAAAGTCTCAGAGATCGCTTGAAGACCGAGTTCATGCTGAGAAGCGAATTTGCCAAAGCTGTCAACAAGGGGATTCGAGAAGAGGCCTTGGTCTCCAAGTACTGAGATCAAGTTTCAAAACTGCCCTAGCTACGTGAGAGCGCTCGCTGGAACTGACATTGCTGAAGCCAAAAACATAGTCCTTCAGCTCAACTGCGACTGCATCAGGTAGCTCCGGGTTTGCCGAAGAATAACCGAATCAATGTAGCTGGGAACACCCTGCTTGCAAATTATTGCTTCCGACTATCGGGACGACCAGTCGATGAACACAAGCCAATCCATTGTGTACACCGATTGCATATGTCACGGTCGTGTAGCGAAAGTGCGTTCAGAGTGGCAGCTATATTCTTGTAGACCTGACGCGAGTCAAGCGAATTCTTGAATCTCCATCTCGAAAACGGGCTCGACTCAAACTCCACGCCGTGAGAAGTAAGACAACTGGAGGTTTCAATCCATTTTTCACAAGATAATGTGAATGGCATACATCTTGAGACCAAGGAGGTAACGAAAAGAAGTTGTCAAAGTATCATTTCCAGAGAGACGCCGCCACTGCCTGTAGGTATTCCATGTATTCTGTGCGTTCCAACAAGTCCGTTCTCTTTCAACATCTTCCTAACGCGTTTCGCGGTCCGATACCACTTCGATGTTGCAAGGAACCTCGATCTAGGAGACCAAATACCGCAAAGTGTGATTGAGCCATGGCTGCTCTTTCTCCGAAATCTTGTACGAAAGGCGCGCGTGTCGGTGGATAAAGGCATGTCCCGGTGCTGAGAGACGAAGGCCCGAATGTTCGAGTTTGGATCTGGAGATGTCTCTGTAATCAAGTTGAGCACGGTACCGCTCGCGTTGTGAAACATCCATCAATGTCATTATTTGGCGGCGGGAGCCGTGTAGTACGAGTGATTTAGGAAGTTCAATGGGAAGCTCCGGCGATAAATCAATCATGATGATGATGGAGGACGATGACGACTCTGTTGATTGTCAAAAGGTCCGACTTTGAACTCACCAGTGACATGGGCGTGCAAGCTTTACTGATAGTCTCTGTCGACAAGCATTGTGAGGTAGCATGTTGACTGGTCATCAAAGCCTCGTGGAATATGGTTTCCGTGCAGCATAGACGGCTATGTGGAGTGTCAGTCGTGAAACACTTTGATTCTCAATGCAAAGCAGACAAGGCAGTCAAAAGAGAAACAGGAAGACCGTGACAATACAGGCAGGACATGACCATGAAGACGATAGCTTCCACGTTCCTCCACTTTCCGAACGACAGTTTCGCTGGTCTTCCATTAGGGTCATTTCTCTGTCCCGAAGTGTAAACACACGTGGTTGCGGTCAGCAAGCGATAGACGGCAGATGCCGCGGGACATGAGAGCTTCTCCCCATCGCGCCAAAAGATCCGTCAATCGCGAGCTTTATCGGGCTTTGTATCATAGCACGACGGAGGAAGCCGTGAAATCAGGTTGTCCACCTCTGGTTGTTTGCGCAACCGAGGGCATGGCCAGACAAATCCATCAACGGTGGTTGGCCGAGGCCGGCGTGTCGGCGTGGGATGCGGGTGTGGATCTGCCGTCTCCACAGCGTTCTTTGGACATCTACTACTTATGACTTCCGAGTCGGGTAACTCTTTGCGGCAAAGGAAGTGAGCTTGTCGAAGAGCAGTCAAGCTGGAGAGATTCTTCGAACCAACAGCAGGCAGGACGCGATATGTTTGTAGCAAGGATTGCATCTTCGAGCAGCAGATGCACGCCATGGTCAGCAATGATGGAAAGATCCGTCGGCGGTTGGTTGCCGCTGGTAAACATTGCCAAAGTCTAAACCGAGGGCGGGGAGTTCCATCCAGCATGATCCCATTCGGGCAGGAGAGCGGGGTCAGCTGTAGCTCTCCCCGAGTCGGCGCCGGGCTATGATTTAGCAAGCATATACAAGGGTCGCTCCTGCTCTTTCTGCTCTCCTCTGTCTTTCTTCCTTACTCCTAGGTATTCATTCCCATACCTTCAAATTCTCCTCACACATTCGACATCATGTCTCCTCCTCCCAGCGGATGTCCTATGAAGGCCAGCCACAAGACCGTCAACACTGGCGGCGGTGGCACTAGAAACAAGGATTGGTGGCCCAATGACTTGAAGCTCAACATCCTTCGCCAACACACTGGCGTCTCAAACCCTTACAACAGCCAGTTCAACTATGCCGAGGCTTTCAAGAGTCTCGACTACGACGGCCTGAAGAAGGACCTCACAGCCTTGATGACCGATTCTCAGGACTGGTGGCCTGCAGATTTCGGTCACTACGGTGGTCTCTTCGTCCGCATGGCATGGCACTCGGCTGGTACTTACCGCGTCTTCGACGGCCGCGGTGGTGGTGGTGACGGTCAACAAAGATTCGCCCCTCTCAACTCATGGCCCGACAACGCTTCCCTCGACAAGGCTCGCCGCCTGTTGTGGCCTATCAAGCAAAAGTACGGCGACAAGATCTCATGGGCTGACCTGTTCCTCCTCACTGGTAACGTTGCCATCGAGTCGATGGGTCTCCCCACCGCTGGCTTTGGCGGTGGCCGTGCCGACACGTTCGAGGCCGACGAGTCGGTCTACTGGGGTGGCGAGTCGACATGGCTCGGTAACGATGTCCGTTACGCCAGCGGTCAGCCCGGTCCCGACAAGCCCGGTGTCATCGACGGCGATGAGTCCAAGAAGGAGCACACTGACATTCACTCTCGCGAGCTCGAGGAGCCCCTCGCCGCAGCACACATGGGTCTGATCTACGTCAACCCCGAGGGTCCTGACGGCATCCCCGACCCCGTCGCCTCTGCCCGCGATATTCGCACCACCTTCGGCCGCATGGCCATGAACGACGAAGAGACTGTCGCTCTCATCGCCGGTGGCCACGCCTTCGGAAAGACACACGGTGCTGGTCCTACCGAGAACGTCAGCGACGAGCCCATGGGCGCATCCATTGAAGAGCAGGGCTTCGGTTGGAACAACAAGTACAAGTCTGGCAAGGGTCCCGACACCATCACATCCGGTCTCGAGGTCATCTGGACCAAGACTCCCGTCAAGTGGAGCAACCACTACCTCGAGTACATGTTCAAGTACGAGTGGGAGAAGGAGCAGTCTCCTGCTGGCGCTCACCAGTGGGTAGCCAAGGACTCCGAGGCCATCATCCCCGACGCCTACGACCCCAACGTCAAGCACAAGCCTCGCATGCTGACTTCGGATCTTGCCCTCCGCTTCGACCCTGCCTACGAGAAGATCTCTCGCCGCTTTGCAGAGAACCCTGACCAGCTCGCCGACGCCTTCACCAAGGCTTGGTTCAAGCTGTTGCACCGTGACATGGGTCCTCGTTCCCGCTGGGTTGGCCCCGAGATCCCCAAGGAGGTCTACATTTGGGAGGATCCTCTCCCCGACCTCGACCACCCCGTCATCGACGACTCGGACATTTCCGCCCTCAAGAAGGAGCTGCTCTCGGCTGTTGACCCCACTCAGCTCATCACCACCGCCTGGGCTTCTGCATCCACCTTCCGTGGTGGTGACAAGCGTGGTGGTGCCAACGGTGCCCGCATCCGTCTTGCCCCTCAAAAGGACTGGAAGGCCAACAACCCTGCTCAGCTCCAGTCCACTCTCGCCGCCCTCGAGAAGGTCCAGCAAAACTTCAACAACTCTGCCAAGGGTGGCAAGAAGGTTTCGCTCGCCGATCTCATCGTCCTTGGTGGAAGTGCCGCTGTCGAGAAGGCTGCCGGTATTTCTGTTCCCTTCACTCCTGGCCGCACCGACGCCACCGAGGAGCAGACCGACGTCAAGTCATTCGCGCACCTTGAGCCTGTCGTCGATGGTTTCCGCAACTACGGCAAGGGTACTCAGCGCGTCCGCACTGAGCAGTTCCTTGTTGACAAGGCTCACTTGTTAACTCTGTCCGCTCCTCAGATGACTGTCCTTGTCGGTGGTCTTCGCGCACTCAACGCAAACCACGACGGTTCATCATACGGTATCCTGACCAAGCGTCCTGGCCAGCTCACCAACGACTTCTTTGTCAACCTCCTCGACACTCAGACCGAGTGGCAGCAGGGCAAGGACGAGATCTACTTTGGTCAGGATCGCAAGACTGGCGAGAAGAAGTGGCAGGCCACCCGTCACGACCTCGTCTTCGGTTCGCACCCCGAGCTCCGCGCCATTGCCGAGGTGTACGCCTCGTCGAGCGGCCAGGACAGATTTGTCAAGGACTTTGTCGCTGCTTGGGTCAAGGTTATGGAGCTGGACCGATTCGACATTGCCAAGGAGCAGAAGCTCCAGGCTCGTCTTTAGATTATGATACACCACCGACACAAGTAAAATGCTAACTCACGAATTGAATGCAACGTTTTTAATACTCTGTTTGCCGTACACCTTTTGATAAAAGCATGCCGTTGTGAACTATCGAGAGCAACTGTTCTTTGCTCCGGAATCATGTTGATTAAAAGGAGACAAGCTATCCGTTCTTCGCTCATACTCTCAAAAAGACGTGTTTCATAACCCTCATCTAAATCTCTTTACACCACTTTGCCATCACCAACCCCATCTCCAACCCCTGCGTCTCTCCAATCTCCTCCAATCTCACATCAACCCTATAACTCTTAGCCCCTTTACCCTCCGGCAAGACCAGTTTTTTCCTCTCCAGCCCTTCCCAAGCCGCGCGCGCGACATTTCCACTCCACACCCTGCCCACCCCGACGGCGAGCTGCCCAGACGCCGAAGCGGCGATTTTNGCGCGCGAAGCGAGCGAAGTGTATTCCGCATGAGCGAGAGCAAAGGACACGGTTTCTGTGGCGTGGATGATTGTGAGACGGGCAGAGGCGATGAGGAGGCAGAGTTGGAGGGTGGAGAGGGAATACAAAGCTGCGAGTTTGGAGTCTGGGGGTGTGAGTGCGCTTAGAAGAGAGGTGTTGCTGAGGTGGGCGAGGAGGGATTCTGCGGTCATGGGTTCGGTGGTGGTTGTTGTGGTTGATGTGGGGAGAGTGCTGATGGAAAGTAACATGCTGGTGTGAAAAGCACGTATGCTCTTTGTCGTGTAGTACAAACTGCGGAGATGAGTATTAAAGCTCTCGATGCTGAATAAATCAACAATGAGTTTTTTCCAAGTGGTGTTGGCTTCGTCTGTGAGTGCCTCTGCTGAGAAGGGCGTCAACGCATTTTGACACATTTCTCTGTAGACGGACAGATTTGCGGCAGAGGATAGATGCACATGGCGGTGAGAAAAGCGGCTTTTGACTCTCTTTTCCAATTGCTCGACGACATCGAAGCGAGTGGTTGTGCCGATGACGGCGATGGGGGCTTTTCGGCTCTGGGCAATGTCGAAGAGATTGTAGAGAAGGGTTTGGCGTGGATGTGTGGTGAACAAATCGAATTCTTCCAAGATGAAAATGACGCTTTTGGTGACTTGATCGGTGGGTCGTCCCAACTCTTCTGGATGGGAGAGTAGAGCGAGTAGAGTGGTTAATGTGTCTGCTGCATTCTTTGCCATGTTGTCGTCTTCCAGCGCCATTTCCTTGCCGAGTTGGCGCCAGATATCCCGTAGGGCAATCTTGTCGTCTGTGTGTATGAAGCCATTGAGTCTTACTACATGAAACAGGTCTGGATTTTGTTGGGCTTGGTCGTCAAGGATTGTGTTTACGATTGCGGATTTGCCGGTTCCTCTGGCGCCGATGACGAGGATACTGTTGCTTTCTCCGGCGACAATGGTCTGGTTGATGACTTGGGCGAGCTTGTCGTATTCAGACGAGAGGTTTGTGAAGGGTGTGTGAGTTCGTTCTTGCAGTTGGTCGAGGACGGCGGTTTGGATGGCTTGGAGATCGCTGGCGGAGATGGAGAGGTTGGCTGATGCGTTTGTCTGTGCGGGTGCAATGTCCAAGTCTATCATTGCCTGCGAGCGAGGTTGTTTCAGAGGGCTAGAGAGAGCTCCTTTGCGTGGTGTGAAGAGAGGTTGCCGTGTACCGTTTTCGTGCAGCAGCATAGGACTCATGTCCCTCATCTGAGGCTTCCTGGCCGAGGCGAGCTTGGAAGGACTCAGCGAGCCATCATTCTCGTCTGGCGGATCCACTTCCACGATGGGATGTTTTCTCGGTCTGCCGGGTTTCCTCTTCTCTTGCGTAGGTGGAGGTTGCACTTTGATCACCTCACTCTGCTGCATGCCACCACGCTCGACCTCCCTCTTACTCGCGTCCTGAAGTTCCCTCATCTGATCCTCCAGCGTGCGTTTCGGTTTCCGCTTGGCCGCCCTCTCCAACTGCTCCTGCTCAAACGTCTCTCTCAACTTTTGCGACAGCGTCTTGACTTTGGCACCCTTCTCCACCTCTTGCAATTCTACTCTCACCATCACCGGAGCCCCATTTCCTGAAATCTTCACAGGAGACTTTTGCGGCGACTGGCTCTCTGCAATCTTTGCATTCAGCCGTGCCATCAAGCCGCCAATCTTGCTGTTGCTCTTGGTCGCAGAAGTGGGCGCTGGCCGTGGCGTGGGCTTCGAGGGTGTGAGGTTCAGCGACGAGGGTGTAGCGACACTGGCGACGCGGATGGTGTCGCGGGCGTCATTGTGCGTGTCTCGTCGGGGTGTCTTGTTTGCTGCGGGCGGCGGTGCTGTCGTGCTGTTGGTGCGCTGCGGGCTTTCCGCTATCGTCTCGAGCTTTCTGCGCTTTGCTGAACGTGGTGACTCCATTTCTGCACTGCAATCAAGTCAAGGGCATTGGGTCGAGTCGAGGCTGGTGTTGATTGTTGATGTTTTGGCTGAGAGGTCCGAAAGTCGTCATGGCTGGCCGAGGCCGTGGGGAAACTTTGTTGTTGGAGCTCGCCGCAACACAATTTCGGCTTCCGATCAAGTACTTGTCACCGGCAAGAAGACACTGAATATGATCATGCTCCCTGTCGAGCAACTCGGAGAAAATGCAGCTACCAGCTTTCTAAGCTCAAAATCCTTCTCCATGCGATGCAAGACCCGCAGCAACGCCATGAACACGCCCCAGAAATGCTAATACCTTGATGAATCCCTGCGCTTCGCATCGCTCAGTCTCGCGAATCTCTCCGTCAGCCCTCCTTCCTCGTTGACCGTCCTCTTCAAAGGACTTCCTTGTGGCCTGCCATCAGGTCTCAGCAACTGCCGGCTCGCACTCTTGCGCAGCGGACTTGCTGCATGGCTATACACCCCCAAGCTTCCTCCATCTCCCGCTCTCTTCATCGGGCTTGTCGCTCGCTCGCGTGCCAATGGCCGTGCCTTGCCCGGCGTGTTGAACATGTCTGTCAGCTCGTGCGTCGCTCCAAACGATGACATGGTGTTTGTGTTGAACGATGAAACCGTACTATAGCTTCCAAAGGTAGGTTGAAGCGAAGGAGTCGTCGCGCTTCTCGACAGATTCTTAGTCGGCGAGGTGGCGTACAAGGCCCGGGGGTCGTCTGTCAGGTGGTTGACGTAGGCTGGGTTGGGATTGACCTTGAATCCCTTGTTGATGACAGTGTGCGGCGTGTAGACGTCAACCTCTCTTGTCCTGATTCTTGCTCCGCCAGGACTTGTAGCCGTGTCTCTTGTCTGAGTGCCCACGTCGCGCACCGGGCGGTTCATGTTGGGATGCACAAACTTGGTGTCGTACTCGTTCATGACCTCCTTGTGGATTAACGTCGAGTCTCTTGCCTGTTGGACGAAGAACTTTTTGAAGAAGAGCAATTGTACGCTCAGAAGAGCAGCGAGGAGGATAGTAGTGACGAATGTGACCGAGGGACGAGGATCGGCAGCGCTCGTAGGTAGAAAGAGCCAGTAGACGAGGACATGGCCAGGCGAGAAGAGAGCGAATAGTTCGAGATTGAAGGGCTTGGGATCCCAAACGCTGACTTCCCACACATCGTTGTGCTGATCGGGGTGTCGTCGGGAGAAGACATTGCTGGAAGAGATGATGGACGAAAAGTATGCGAGTGGCGAGGCTGAAGGGGAAGAGTCGACACGCACTCGGCGGGCAGAAGGCGTTGAAGGGGCTTGTTCGATGGAGCTCTCGAAGAGGCGGTACTTCCGTGATCGGGTGAAAGTATAGAAGGCGTTGAACAGCGATGCAAAGGCGAGGAAATGTGCGATGAACGAGACCNNTGGAAAGAGGGCGACCAGTCAGAGCATGGCCGAGACAGAGAGGGAGGAACCACTCACAAACCAGTAGAACCAACCGCTCTTTGATTCAAAGTCGCCAAAGATGTCGTCGTGGGGNTTCTTCTTCAAGCCCAACCTGGCGCATGCAAAGACGATGTTTGCAGTGACGCCAATGGGCATTCCCCAGTCACGTAGAGCTTCATCCAAAGCGCTGTCGTGCAGCTCTTCGGCGATCCAGAGAAGAAGGTCGTAGGGGTTGAGGTAGGCCTTGATACGCTCGGACAAGGGAGCTCGACGGATGATGGGCGGCATCTTGCAGTCGTAGTGTCTACTCGACTCTCACATGCTCAACGGACGCGCAGGAAAGTGTTTGTTTCTTCGCGACTTGAACTTCGCAAACAGTGACGTCGATACGCCCGGAGTTCAGCCGCCAACTTGTCCCGCATACAGCAGGAGCGACAGCAACATTCCTCGCCGGCGAAGAAACAACACATCATGGCTCTTCCACAATCCGCATACAAGGATCGTCAGTTCCTTGCTGTTATCGGTGATGAGGTAGTCATGGCCCCGTTCCTTCTCTTGGCCTCTGCTGACTCTCGACCTCCAGNNGACTCGGTGACGGGTGTCTTGCTCGCCGGAGTCGGAGTATGAAGACCTCAATGTCCATATCCAGGACAGAACTCTAACCTCGCTGGACAGCACGTTACCGATCCCCCGGACTCGCAGAAGAACTACCTCGTCGTCGACCACAAGACCGAGACGCACACTATCGAGGAGGCCTTTGACAGCTTCACCCAAGAGCGCAAGGACATTGCCATTCTCCTCATCAACCAGCATGTACNNGATGCTACCTCTCCGTCTATGCACTTCGATGCCTGCGCAGGATGCTCATACCCTTGACAGATCGCCGACAAGATCCGCAGCCGCGTCGATTCATACACCCAAGCCTTCCCTTCCTTGCTCGAGATTCCCTCCAAGGACCACCCTTACGACCCCGAGAAGGACAGCGTCATGAAGCGCGTCAAGAAGCTGTTTGGAGAGTAGATGGTGCATTTCACAAGTTCAACGATACCCCGATCCCATACATTATTACTATACTGCAATGCTCAAATGCTTATGCGCTTGACTGTCTCGCTCCATGATACATGATGCAACTTCGTTTCCTCGTCTTCAACATGACCCCACCTAAGCGACAACCTCAAAGGCACCACCTCTTCTGAAAATGACGGTAGCGGTCAAGCAGGTGATCTTCTCGTTGTCCTTGGTGTAGACGTCGGCGAGGACAGTGTACTTGCCCTGCAAAAGCGTGTTAGCAAGTGTTTGTCCATACTCTGACAACAGACTTACGGGAGGAATCTCCTTGGGAAGGTCGACGTCCTTGGTCAACTCCATAGGGCCCTTCTTAAGAGGACATTCGAGATCAACATTCTTGAGGTTCTCGCACAAGTCGGCCTCCTGGTTGATGATGCGGATCAAGCCGTACTTGACTTGTAGGTGCACCTTTGCGCCCTCCTCGACATCCTGCGACAAGACTCCAGATGCCTTGATGGACAGAGTGACGCCNACTGCGCAAACACGATAAGCTTCAGGTATTACGATTGGAGACAGAAGGACAAAATCTTACGCAGAGGGAGGATTGGGCGACAAGTCGACCTTCTCAATGGTGAGAATGTTGTCGGTGGGGGCGGCGCAGAAGAGCAGAGGGTTGTCGCCAGGAACGGGGAACTCTTCTTCGAGGGCGTGCTGCGAGTCGCTGCCCATGAAGCTGAGGCTACGCGCCGATGCGCCGGCAGACAGGAGAGCGACGCTGAAGATGCTGAGGAACTTCATCTTGATGTTGTGAATTGTGTATGTGTTTGTGGTAGAAAAAGGATGATCTGATCCTCTGGTTCGTAGGCAGCTAGACGTCGACAAGCCGGTTGTGTCACTGGACGCTGGCCGTTGGTGATGATGCTGGGCCTGACGCACGCGCCGCAAAGTGGCGCTTCGTGGTTGCCTTGGCACCGCCTCTCCGCATCTGTCCCCCGACTTCTTTTCTCCGTCGGGTCTATCAGCTGTCAGGGCAGAACCATCATCGAGGGGTACTCTTGTCAATGCTTTATCTTTATCGCAGCAATGTCACAAGTTCGACATACTAGGCAGTCTTACCTTAATCAGGAATCATAGATCGATTGGACTCTGTTGTGGCAAAGAGAGCTTGCTTTGGTCAAGTTCAACTTCCATTCGAGTGCATGCTCCTGCTGCACTCCGAATCCGCTATCATGATACTAATATACAGGCATAACAATCGTCATTGGAGTGTCTTCTTACTTGTCAGCAGGGTCAAGCGGTTTCTGACCCATCTTTTCCACATTCTTCCTCTTCTCGCTGGCAGGAGCATTGGGGTCCTGCTTGAACGCCTCCTGCATGCTACTGTCACCTCCTCTTCCTTGGGTAGCTGATCCCTTTGGATCACTGACGGGTGTTTGCACACTGGCTGTATCGGGCGATCCGGTACGGGCATCAGTTGCTCGCGACTGGTTGACGCTATTGGACTCGGGGCTGGAGCTGATGGGGTTGCCAACGTTGGATGCTGTGCCTGGGCTGGCCTGTCCTGCCGTCGAGTCCATGTTCTTCTTGTTGGCATAGCTGCGCATGACTCGAGAGATGTCAGTGGTTGATTCTTGCGCGTTCACAGCTCACTACAAAACTTACAGGTTNACGGGACGCAGAGGTCGCGAAATGCTGATGCGGCTGCCGCGCATGATGGAGCTTCTCATGATTGACATTTTGACGATGTGTAGACTGATTTGAAGAGTTGGGCGAGGGATTGATTGTAGTTTATCAAAGGTGAGGCCTTCAGGTACGTTTTGGAGCTCTTTAGTAGTAACCCGATGGTCATGACGTGTACATGATGTCGAGCACCCTGATCATCAACTTTGTCCATTTGAACCTCCAACCTCAGTCAACCAACATGCGCAGGTATCGCATTATCGTAGAGGCGCCTTCTGGTGACCGATGTCATGCGCTGATATTTTCTTCGGATGTATTGTTGATACTCAGAGAGTTAATCAGTCAGAATCTCCTTTCGGCAAGTCCGGTGTTACCGAGTTTCAGATATGGCGCATTGGTATGCATATGCATATGCAGACACTCAAAAGACGCGACAGGTCGCAGCTGCTGCCTCGGTCGGTAGGTATTTTCTTTGCTCTTCTTCTTCATTCCTTTTCTCTGGCGCGCTTTCCAATCATTTCCTCTCCTTTTCCAGAGCGAGTCCATACACAACCTGCGTGTATCGAGCAACACGACTCGAGGACAACCGCTCTGGGTTTGAACGTCACCAGTCTTTTTGTGACTCTTGCTCGTGAACAAGCAACTCCCATCGACTTCTCCTCTCGCGCCCAACATGCCTGGCATCATCGACCCTCCTGCTCCGTTGGGCCCCATCACACGAGAAATGTTGATTCAACTCATGACTCTGGCTCGCGACACGTCCTTTCCGGATGCCCAAATTCGAGCCATCTGTGACACCGTGACGCAGGAGAATGTCAGCGACTCTATCGAGCTACTGCGCCGCCTTCATGCAAGCCAGGAGACTTCGCTCGTTCTGACCTCTGCTGCCTCGCCTGTCCAGTCCATCTCCAGCTTTGAGAGCAGGCCTCAAGCCCGTCCAGTCAAGAGAACATCCTCCGAGCCCGGTGCTGTACTTTGTGCCGATACATTCTACAGACTGTGCAAGGACGATCGAATCAAGCTACAGCGTCTGAGTGCGTTCTGTCCATTCACTCTGGTCTTCCGCAAGTGTCCCCACGGTGGTGGATGTCAGCTGGAGCATATTTGCTGGGTGTGTTCGACCGCCTGCTCTTGCCACAGGCATCGACTGACTTTCATACAGGATGCCCAGTGTAAGCGCCCAGCCTCTTGCAGGTTCTCGCACAAGGTTGCTCCTACATGCGACTCGGTCTTCGACGGAACCCGCTGCTCAAGAACCAGAAGGCTTGTGAACGACAACAAGAAGAGAGCATGCCCACGCAATCACGACTACAAAGTCCGCCTGTTCATGGGCGCCATGCGTGTATCCCACGAGCTCGGCTTCTATGGCGTAGACAGGGATAAAATCGATCCCAACGTCGCCTTTGTGAAGAAGATCGGTGATGTTGTCGAAAGCGATTGGATGGCGTCTGATGTCGAGGAAATCCACAGTGAGCACGAAGGAAATGTGCCTGCAGCTGGAGTCGAGGAGAGCGAGACGCATGACTGCGGCGACAAGGAGAATACAGAAAATGTTGCGGGAGGTGATGCGGTCCCTAACACCGATCTCATGTGGTTCTCTTGATGCTGCACCTCAACGAGGGGATACAGATCAAAGCCTTCTTGTTTGTCGAGGACTCTTCGTCACACTTCGACCCTTTAAAGGAACCCGGCGGCTTATCAGTGTCGGCAGACACATAATCACTCAGACCAGAGCTGTGGCCTTGGAGAGCTTACTAGCCTCTTCCATGTCTCCTGGTACTGCTCTTTTGCTGAGGACCATCGTGCCTTGTTCCTAATCCTGAACCGAACAACAAATACAAATCGAAAAACAATACTCTACTTCTGTCCCTACACGTTTCTGCATTCACTTCCTCGCGACTCGCATACCTCCTTCACTCCTTCCCCTTCACATCGCCGAGTCGACCGCCAGTCCGGTTGCTTTGCTACCTACTTCTCTTCTGTTCAATCCAATGAACGCATCTACACACGACCACACAGAGCCACAGGTCATGGCGCCCGTGCAAGCACCACCCACCCAAGACCCTCTTGACAATCTTGACCGCAAGCGTCTGCCCGAACTCCAATACCTCAGCACCTACTGTCCCTTCAGTCTCAACTCTCAGCCCTGTCCTCACGGCTCGAAGTGTACACTCAAGCGTGTCTGCTACGTATGCAATTATACTTCCATCACTCTCCGCTCTTCACTCAACTCACAGTCTTCTAGGNTTCTCTGCGCTTTCCGCACCAATCAAGGATATTGTGATGGTCACCACGATGTTGCTGCCATCTGCGAGCAGTTTCTGACCGACAAGGGTTGCAAGTACAGAAAAGAGGGTGATCATCCTTGGTTCGACAAGAGTCATGATGTTGAGTTGAGAACTTGCATGGATGTCATGGTCAAGCCTCATCGTTTGGGTCTTTATGGTGTGCAGCACTTTTGAGTAAACAATCTGGGGTTATGGCATTGCTGCTTATCATTGCTCAGAGGAATGGCAAGAGGCTGGCTGCATGCTTCACTCATTGAAGTAACTTGGCGACTATCTCCTCCGCACTCTCGTCTTTGACTCCCAACAGCTCGGCATCCGAGTCTTCTCTTGAGGAGGCTACCATTCCTCTTCCTTGTCCAACATCGTATAATGTTGCCACTGCCAATTTCAATCTCCAAATCCCATTTCCGGCTGCAAAGTCCTGTTGTCCATTACTGACCAAGTCTTTGCTTGATTGTCTCGAGACCTCCCACTTCTTTCCTGTGACCATCTCGAACGCTTCCAGTAATTCATTTTGGCAAGTGTTGATGCTTTGAACGGTGAGGAACCGGTTTGCTGTGACAGAAGGGGTTTGGAGTGTTCCGACTACTGCTTGTCCGATGCCTTCTAGCGTAGTACCGGTGAATCTTTGTTTTCCTTGGTCATAGATGATTGCTTTCCGTGCGGCGACATCAAACCCCATCATGGGAAATTTCTTCATTGCNCTGTCAATTGTTTTCTCGCATGTCAGTATTGATACATCTTCGTCTGTTGCTGGGAAAAAAATTACTGTACGCACCCAATCGACAGGATTCCCAGTACTCAATCCCGTCCACGTGAACAAAGAATTCTCTGCAGCTTTCTCGGCAGCATGATCCCATCCTTGCCTTCTCTGCTTGTGAATCTCTTCAAACTCCACAAACCCTTTTGCAGTCAGACCCCATCCAAAGTCATCGATGATGAATCTGTATACTTTTGCCGCTACAGCTGCATCGATGAAGGTTTTTTGCAAGGGTATGCCGCCGGGACCTACGACGCAGATTACAGCGTCTTGGTTTGTGAAGGCTTGAGTTAGAAATTCGAGGTTGTAGGGGATGCGGATGGTGGGGATTCCTGGTGGGTGGGGGGTTGTAGAGGTGGAGCGGGTTATGATTGTGAGGTTGAAGTTTGCGGCGAGGAGGGCGGCTGTTATGGGGGTGCCGAAGTTGCCTGAGGCCTGTTTTTTTTGGTCAGGGGGTTAGCGTTCTGGGGCAGTACAGATGGGAATAAGGAGTTAGTCTTACGCCTAGGATAGCGACGTTTTCGATGGTTGACATGATGAACAGAGATATGGGAGTTGTTTCACTTTGGACTGGGATATCTGAGGATGAATATGTTCAAAGCAGAAGGCAGCAGCCGTGATCACCACCGAGCTACAAGTGGGGCTGTAATCCTTCGCCCCCTTTTGTTGAGGTCACAATTTTCAGCAATGAGCGTCATTCAAACAACGATACTGCACAAAACAGTCTATTAAGAAGAGTAGATAGAGCCTGCTCCGATAAACAGTCATCCACTTCCATCCGTCGAGTGGTATACACTCGATTAAAGGGTCCAGGCGACAAAGTTTGGTGTTTTGCTGGACGCGGGGTCGATGCGTTTCCCGGGCAACGCATTTGCTATTCTCAACCTCGTGCGGTGTCTAGAAGCATACTTCGGTGTATCTCAAGATGTCTCTAGTCGATTGGAGGTGGAAGAAAAGTACACATGGTATCCTGCAACTGTATGATTTTGGTGTAGTAAGTCGATCCAGTGAACCCGCAAAGAGACGTCGAAACCCAAAATGGATTCCCATGCAAGAGATACTTTCAACTCTGCCACGATAAAGTGCGGCAAAGAAGCAGCAGAGCATTTCGCTTTTGAAGAAGGATACATCAATCTCAATCATGGTTTGTTGCTCTTTTCTGATTGACAGTGTCTCAGTCAATTGACCAGAACAGGCTCGTACGGCACACATCCCATCGAGGTCAGGTCGGCACATCGCAGATACCAAGAGCGAGCAGAAGCAAGACCAGACACGTTTGTTCGATACGAGTTCCGCACTCACTTACTCAATGAAGCAAGACAAGCCATTGCGGATTACATTCATGCTCCACTGGACACCTGTGTTCTAGTACCGAATGCGAGCATTGGCATAGATACTGTGCTACGGAACCTTGTCTTCGACTCTCAAGACGCAGTAATCTGCTTTTCGACAATCTATCCAGCCTTCATGAATACGCTGAACTATCTGGCCGAACGGGATGAATTCAGCATCTACAAAATCGAGCATACGCTACCACTCTCAGATGATGAAATATGCAATGATTTCGAAACAATGCTCAAAAGAATCTCGGCAGATGGCAAGAAGGCCAGACTAGCACTCTTTGACACCATCACCTCACTACCTGCTGTCCGCATGCCTTTCGAACGCCTGAACCAACTCTGTCGCGACCATGGCATTCTCTCATGCATCGATGGCGCCCATTGCGTCGGCCAACTACCTCTCAATCTCTCCCACCTCGACCCAGACTTTTTCGTCAGCAACTGTCACAAATGGCTCTACACACCCCGTGCATGCGCAGTCCTCTACACACCACTCAGAAATCAGCACTTGATACGCTCAACTCTGCCCACTGGCTTTGACTTCTTGACCAGAGAACGAGCATCCCAGACAAACAACTTTGTGGCCAATTTCGCGGCTGTGGCTACGTATGACGATACGCCATATCTCTGTATTCCTGCGGCTTTGGCATGGCGCAAGCGTATCGTATATGGCGACAAGACTGGCGAAGACGCAATCATCAGCTACAACAAAGATCTCGCGAGACAAGGTGGCCGACTGGTGGCAGAGCTACTGGGAACAGGGGTCATGGACAACCCAGCCCTCACGCTAGGAGATTGTGCAATGACAAATGTGCGTTTGCCCATCAGTGGCGAGAAGTGCTCTGATACACTCGCCGACTTGTTGAACAGGGTCATGAATCTGCATCATGATATCGCTGTCAATGTATATTGCTACAAACAGGCTTTGTGGGTGCGATTGAGCGCGCAGATTTATCTGCGCATGGAGGATTTTGAAGCTGCTGCAAAAGCGTTGAGGAATGTGATCTCAGAACATACTCATGTTTGATATATCCAGTATCATGCATTTGATTCAATCCTCCTTAACCAAAGCTAGGAGTTGATATGTACTCGGCTCGGCATGGAACAGCATCATCTCTGGAAGTGGCCTGAAATTCACCAATCTAATGACCGTCTGGAATCTCGATTCAATGATCACTGACCGAATCAGTGTTATCATATCGAGGCAATCTCTTCCTATGTTCATTTTCGATAGCAGCGAGGTCTGTTTCTGGTTGATCGAATGCTGCATGACCGTCATGCCGTTTTGCAGACAAGACCATGATCAACGATAGCATCAGCGCGAGGCCGCATAAGCCAAGACACAAATAGTAGCCGGCACGATAGCCATCGAGTTGCGCTCCAGCGTGATCCTTTCCGCTTTCCGAAATGACAGAGTCCATGGCCACAGTAGATAAGGCGATTCCGAGAACGGCACCACAGATGTTCAAACATATCTATATGATACATGGTCAGCAACCCGGAATTTGAGAGGCTTCAATATAGGGCATACGCACATTGTAGACCCCCGAGACGGGACCCTGATGCTCAATAGCCAAGGAAGCTACTATGAGGATATTGCCCACATAGTACGCCGTTCCAACGCCAGCAATGTAGAGAACCATGCCAGGAAGACAAAATCGCCAGTAGTCATTCTTTGAACCCATCAAGACTAGCAAGACCACGCCGACGATGGCAAATAACCAGCTGATGACAAACAGATAGCTTGTTCCGACTGGTTTCAGAAGATAAGGAATGATGGAGTTGACTACCAGAGCAGTGATGCCAAGAGGCAAAAAACGGACTGCTGTCTGGATGGGTGAGAACCCAAATTCTAGTTCCAGAGTTAGCAATATGACGATTTGTAGAGTGGCGGGAATACCTTGAAGCTCAAGAGTGAGAAGATAGTTTGAGCCTTGCCAGACAGCATAAGTGAGTGCTGCGATAGCACAACCGATCACCTTGTTTCCGTCGGACCAAAGATATCTTGGAATCAAAGGATGTCTCGAAACTCGCAGCTCGACATAGACAAACGCCGCAAGCAGACAGATGGAGATAACGAGAGGCGCGATTACACCTCCTGTGTTCCAGCCAGCTTGGTTCCCAGAGGTGAGAGAATAGACGAGAAAGACAAGGCCAGGAGTCGATAGGCAAATGCCAACAGGGTCAAAATTCAGGAGCAATTCGTGCAAGGATTTGTCCCGATGCTTGCGATTGCTTTTAATGGCTTCCAAGTTGCGAAGTAAGATGACGGACGCGATCTGGAGGAGACCTTCAGCGATGAGAGAGAACCAGAAAATCTACATCGTCAGCTCGATGGAACCATAGTCGGCAGTCTGTTGCTGTTCTTACCCATCTCCAGGAAGTAGACGAAGTGAAGAGACCACCGAGTATCGGGCCCAGCCTAGATCCGATAATCAACAGCAAGCCCAGGTCAAGTGAAGAGGAGAGCAACGCACACGAATCCAGTTGAGCCAGCCGCACCCCAGATCGCATATGCCACGACACGAGCTTGAGGATCCTCGAAAAGNAGAGAGACACAGGCTTGTGCAGAGGGTACCGTAAGACTCGCGCCGACGCCTNNGTTTTGACGATCAGCTTCGGACTGATATTGATAGGGTCCATCGAACTTGCCTTGGAATGCTCTTCCAACCACAAGACCAACACGGCTGGACACAAGGGCACAGGCGACGGTGGAAGCATTGAAGATGACCATACCCACATGCAGAACGTTATACTGAGCGAATAAGTCGCCGGAACGCCCACCGACCATGAGAAAACCACCGTACNNTGATTGGCGTTAGCTGAGTGCCACCTGGAAGGGTGCAGCCGACGATACAGTAAGCGAATAAGCTGTCAAGATCCATTGTAAAGAGCCCTCGTCGAAGCCAAGGTCTTCCTTGATAGACGGCAGGGCAATGTTGGCCATGCCAAGATTGGCAATGTCAAGGAAGAAGATGCCGCAACTACATCTTGATTAGATGGGGTCAAAAAAGGGTAATGGTTCTAGCCACACACATGACAGCAAGCCTTATCCATCGAACAACATTTTGGGTGGTGTAAAACATCTCGATTGTCCGGCAGGTACGTAGTTCAATTATTGTTTGCGATACGTCCGATCGCGCTATATAGCACGCACACAAAAAGTCGTCGTGTTCCAACTTCGGCCTGGACCCGAGTGGCCGGTTCACTTCATCGACCAAGTGCGGTGACCGTTTCCAGCAATGGTCTCCACAGCGCTAAATCCGTACCCGAGATGTAGCCAAGAGTTGTTCGCTTCCTTGCATCGAAGCATTGTATTCGGGTATATTATTCAAGGCGATCGCAATCTTGGTTGCATACTCATGATCGCCACCTCGGAAGTCCTGAATAAGCTTATGTAGTCGCTGTAAGAGAACTCGTACTGTTGGGCATGAATCCGAAGACCCATCAGTCAAGACATCGAGCTTGTGAAAGCTGGAGTCGAGTGTCATCTGCGATGAAGAATTCATTGCTTTGACAACACTCATAGCAATATCGTACACTTTCTCGATCAAGCCGACTCCATGGACTTCCATCGAAGCCAGATTCAGAACGTCGCAGGTCGAGAGTAGCTCATTCGCGATGTGATATGCAAAGTCGAACCGCAATTCGGCGTGATCAGAAGAGTCGAGGAGTAAGCCATGGGACATACAGAGCTCCCACAGTCGATTCGTCAGCCAGAATTGAGTCACAGATATATCCGCTTGTTGACTCTCGAGGAGCTGTTGCAACGGCAACAGCGAGGTTGATGGCTCGAAGGATAGACAGCCAATGAGGCAGCCTTCACGAGCTCGCCGTTGAGCTCGAAACATTCGGATTGCTTGTCGCCGATCAAAAGTCTCGCAACGACCGTCACTATATTTGCAGTAACCAGCCCAGCATTCTACAACACTTTCGTCGATGGCGTCGAAGGTCTCCATCAGGTAGAGCAGACCTGTCATACCGATCGTATCTGTTTGATCTTGGTTCATGGAGGACGCAGACGATCCGAAGGCACGCATGAAATAAGCATTCACAGCGGGGCTCCCCCGGAAGCCAATAGAATGACGCTTTTGTAATGCATATGCTCTGNNTAGGCGGATTTAGTACCTGTGGTTCATAGTATGGTTTGGTACGTTAGCTTACCTCTCTGTCACTGATAGAACCAGATAAGTCCGTAGCCATTGCTCTCGCGTCTCAAGATCCAGGCTGTCATACGCTTGGGGCAAGTGCATGGACAAAGAATTAGCAAGGTCAACAGCCTCTCGGAGTCGATGATGCGCTGCCTTGTGCTGTCCGTTTCCAAACAGGCAGGCAAAGATGAAGAAACTGGTCAGAATCATGTAGACTGACGGGTTCTCACCAAAGTCGACCGTCATCCTCATCTTGATGGATTCTTCCAACAACATTCGAGCTTGAACAGATCGCGAAGGCGTGGAGGCAACTTCATGGATCTGCACGGGCTGAGTCATGGCAAATGCACAGAGCGCAAGAAGCATGGCGCCAAATTGAGGATTGTGATGATGAGTCCTGAGAAGCATCTCTTGGTAGATCATCGTCCGGCTCAGAACAGGTACGGTCGGATGTAAGCGTTTGAAGTAGATATCAATCCAAGGTAGAAGGGCCTCTTGACTGATGGTCTTGGGCCAGATTTCGACGGCTTCTATGACGGGTGATAGATCTTGCTCCTGTATAGCGGAAAANAGATTGAACGACTCGCCAGTGGGTGACTCAACGGGCAAACTCGGTAGCAAGAACTCGGGAGCATCCAGAGTTTGCTGTAATACAGGTATCGACGTTGACAATGCGGAAGTCCCTTGTATGTCGTCGTTAGAAATCCAGTCATGGTTGGTGCCCGTGCTCGTAGTCGGCAGTTGATATGGCGTTACTGTAGGAGCCCAGTATTCGACCGGAGAAGTGTTGGAGTCGATCATTGCCAGATCATTGGACGACGCTGTACTCGCCCGATGATTCACGACTTCATCATGGATACTCGAAGGACTCAGACCAGCGTTCCTGCTTATCAGCGAAACACCCTGCGTCATGGTTGCAAATTCCAGTACGCTCTCTCCAGGACTTGTTTTCGATGATTGTCGCCTTTGCAGCTTTGCAAAACGGCCGGATGCGGGACCTCTCTTCTTTCGCGCCTCGTTGAACGTACATTCCAAGTTTCGACCCGTGCATGTCTTGCACGGGTTGGCCATGTCACAGCGGACCTTTTTCTGTTTGCAGAGATCACAGGCCTGCAGGCAGGATTGTTAGCGAGTGAGCAGCAAACATCATGTCTGACATGGGACTTGCTCTGTCGCCGACCGTCTTCTGCCGGTTCTGAGGCACTCCAGCCGCAACATCGAGGGTCGCGAATATGTTGCCGTCACGAGTTAATGAGGCTTAGTTGCGAGCTTGAGCACATGTGTGAGGTCGAGGTGATGGATATTAGTGCCTGTTCAGATGCCACCGAACGACTGAACACAACTAGACAAACAGGCTGGTATGGTGGACACAACAGGATGGTAATAATGGGAAATGAGAGACATGCCGCATGATGATGAGTCCAAGAACGGAGGTGAAGGGAGAAAGTTTGTTGCCCGCACGCGACCCCCGCGTATGGAGAGCCCCACCAAAACGATTTTCGTCCGCTGCGGCCTGCCCGCAGATGCACAACTCGGTCCGATATACTCTGTCGGAACGACATACAGTATCGTTATCGATGAGAACGATGTACTCGTTGTCTTTTTGAACATCTCAAAAGAAGGATAGAATCGTTTCATATTTCATGTTCCATTATAACCCAATCTATCTTGCAGTTATCTAGCATCCATCCACAAGCACAACTGCACCAAATGGCATCAAAGTCACGTAGCTAGCTTTGATCACCGCCCCATGTGGCATCAGAGTCACGTTATGAGCTTTGATGTTTGTGTCTTGGTTGGATACCAGGACTTCAAACTCGCGCTGAGCAAAGGACTTGACTTGCACCTTCTGCTCGCGATCTGAGAAGTTCAGCAACACGAGTGCAGTCTTGCCAGTCTCGTGGCATTGGCGTTCATACCCAAGCACCTTCTCGCCAGTATCACCCTCGCTCAGCGGCGTGTAAGAGCCGTATGTGAGCAGGTCTGAATGTTCCTTTCTCAAGGCCAGCATCTTTCGCCAATATGCCAACACACTGTCAGGCTCATCAACCTGACTCGCGACGTTCCAGTCGACATAGTCGCGGTTGATGGTCATCCAGGGCTTTGTACCCTCTGCAGAAAAGCCTGCGTTGGCGCTGTCATCCCATTGCATAGGTAGTCTTCCGTGATCGCGAGCCTTGAGTTGTAGTTCGCGCATGACATCACCCATCTTCGAGTGATCTCCTCCTCTTGTCTTGAGCACGGCTTCATAGTAGTTACGCCCTTCGACATCGATGTACGCCTCGACACCATAGTCTTTGCCGAGATTGGCCATGCCAACTTCTTGTCCAGCAAGCATGAAAGGTGTTCCGCTCAAGGTGAGGAGATATGTAGCAAGCATCTTGGCTGCTGCTGAACGGTGTTCTGGTGCGTCCGAAGCATAGCGACTGAGAGAACGACCGCTGTCGTGGTTGTCGAGATAGACACTGTTCCAGCCATTGACCTTGGGCATGACTCTTTGCCACATGTCGGTGATTTGTCTGATCTTGCGTGGATGGAAAGCACCCCGGCCGTATTTGCTATGGTTGCTATCTGAGCCAAAGTCCATGTCCACAATGTCGCCAGTAAAGACCATGTTCAGTTCGTGTCTGTCTTTTCCAACGTATGCACCGACGGACTCTTCATCGTTTGTGAACCCAAGCTCGCCTACAGTCATGGTGTCGTACTCATCAAAGACGGCTCGCATTTCACGAATGTAGTCGTGCATCCTTGGACCGGACGCAAAGAATTCGGCGCCAGATTGATAAGGTTCATCATCGACTATCTTGCCGTCAGGTAGATCAGGGTGTTTGCTCATCAAGTTCATGCTGTCAATTCGAAAACCATCAACACCACGATCGAGCCAGAACCGCATATCGTCGTATGAGGCTTGACGCATGTCCTCGTTCTCCCAGTTGAGATCGGGTTGAGAGGGAAGGAATAGTGCAAGATAGTATTGGCCGGTCTGCTCGTCGAAGTGCCATGCGCTACCACCAAATATGGACTTCCAGTTGTTGGGCTCTTTCCTGTTGCCGTTGGCATCGAACTTGGGATCACGCCAGAAGTACCAATCGCGCTTGGGGTCATCTCTCGAGCTGCGAGACTCCTTGAACCAAGCATGCTCGTCGCTTGTGTGATTGACGACGAGATCCATCAAGAGTCGCATGTTGTTGTTGTGGAGTTGATCGATGAGTGTCTGTACATCCTCAACTGTGCCGTATGGTGCATGAATGGCGCGGTAATCTGAGATGTCGTACCCCATATCATTCTGGGGTGATGCAAAAATGGGTGAGAGCCAGATGGTATCGACTCCCAATGATTTGATGTAAGGAACTTTGCTGATGATGCCGGGAATGTCGCCTAGACCATCGCCGTTGCTGTCTTTGAAGCTGGCAGGGTAGATCTGGTATACCACGGCCTCTTTCCACCAAGCCTTGCTCGACGCACTGGACATGACGGCGTGTGGTGACATTAATGTTCAAGATGGTGTGAAGATTTGCGATACAAAGAGGAAAACACAGCTCAGGGAAGTGGCGGGTGAAGGCAAGATAAAGTCGGCTCGGCAGATCTCTCGCTCTTCCAGACGGAGAAGAAGACGTTGGTTTCCTCCACAGGGTTACAATCGCACAGCCGGAGATTGATATCAGGCGCGAGAGATGTTGGTACTTCCGGCGATACTCTCGCCTCCTGTGTCTGCGACCCCACAGTTGGTTCCCCAGTTGGACGATCGGCAAACTATGGAGAAGGATTTCGCGGCGATTGCCTTAAACGATAAGTTTCGCCGAGTCTTGTCGGTCCGAGAACTTCTTCTCGGTCCGCTAACAAGCCGCGCATGTAGTAGCTGAGCGAAACACAGGTTCACGTCGACTGTCTCCATTACTTGTCTTGTAGAGCGAGCCTGATGTATTCAGGTATAGGCTGTCGATTTTGATTCCCATGCTTGCTTTGAACAGTCTTCTTCGAAATAATCACTACTGTACTGCTGTTTGCGCAAACCGGCTGCACAGCCACACAGTCCGGGTGCTCCTAACAACAATATTTCTTATTGACAAACATGATCTAACAAGATAGACATTGTGGTAAAATCTTTTCCTGATGACAGAGATAAAGAGTTGGAGCAAGGATATTGAGACTTCGGTGAATGATGTAAAAATAATCATGTATCAACAACGACAAGCAAACAGTGGTCAAGAAAGAAGAGACGGATGAACCGAACCGAACATCTGACGATTTAGATCTGCTTAGCGCATTTAAGCACACATCAGGATTCTCCAAAGTCAGGGGTTTTCAATAAAGGAGGTATCTGATAGATACACTTGAATTGATTGACGCTATACATAATTCATAGACAAGAAGAACAAAGACTATATACACATGTACACACCGCTCCCAACGCCCCTATTTTAATTATGCCTTGCGGGAGAAGCGGCTGAGGAAACCATCCTTGTGTGCTTTCTCAACAACCTGACCGTCGACAACGGCGAAGTTCTTGAACTGGCGAGCAGGAATACCAGCAGCGTACGACATCTCGATATCAGCGTTGCTTCTGTTTTTTGTCTCAGGCTGGAAGAACCAGAGAGCAGTGATGATGAACAGTTCTGCGCCAACGAACAAGAACATGACTTTGCCACCCCAGTTGAGCTGATCAGGGTTGATAAAATAAGGGAAGACCGAAGAGAGCATGAGTGCAGTGAGCTGCTGGCAGACCAAGGTGAAAGAGATGGTCTTGGGTCTTGTTGCCTGCGAAGCAGTTTCTTGGGCCACAGCCCAGCCGTAGCAGCCAACGGTTCCGGTGTAGAGCATAGACCAGGTGATCATGAAGACCAAGAGAGCAGTGTTTGCAGCGACGTTGGTGGTTCCTGCGACCGAAGTACCACCAATGATGACAGACCAGAACATGAGTACCGTACCACCACCGATAAGGCCCTTACGGCGAGGCACAATATCAGAAACAAGTACGGCGACGAAGTTTGCGATGAGCTGAAGGGTGGAGGAGATTGCCGTTAGACCAAAGGGATCGCTTTGGCCTATTAATTCGAAGTAGTACGTCTGATACTAAATGGGTTGTCAGCACCTTTTATATACCATTTTCGACCATTTCTGGCGACAATAGACCTACGGTTCGCTTTGGCCTATAGGCTGATAGGTATGTGGTACGCTCAGCCATTCTTTGCACTGTCTTGTAGCAAGAGATGAGTCAATCATTGAGGCACTGGTCAGGTAGTTCATAATTGAATTAGAATTTGTCATTGTGAAAGGAAACATTAACTACGGTAGTGGAAACCATGACTGCAAGCTCCATCTGTCCTCAAACAACCAAGACCAAAAACACCTTGCGGCCAAAAATGCCTTGGTCATTCTCGAGACGTGGCAGTATGTCTCCCAATCAATACCCTGTGAACCGATTGCTACGGTTGCAGTCTCAAGTGCTCGTACTGGCATCAACCTTCTCAAGGTCAACTTCAATGATCGGCTCCAGACCCATGGACTCAATGTCCTCGTTGGTCAAGTCGTCGAAAATAGCTTGGCTGTTTCTTCTAGGGAAGGCGGCCGAGTTGGGGTCGACAGTCTTGTCATAAAGCTCGCGACGGGCGAGATTGAAGCGCTCAATGTCGCGACGGAGGATCTGGCAGTCCTTCTCCGGCATGTTGCTCTTGGCGCAGTTCGAAGACCAAGTCTCGAACAAGATATTGTTGATCTTGTTGTCTCTGTCGGACAAACGGCGTGGCTCGCGGGGCCATCCTGTGGCCATGGATTGACCGTGCTTCTTGTGAGCGACCGAGAGACAGAGAGGATGGCGGAGATAGATGGAGAGGGGCAGATCGAAAAATTCGTGGTACTCCTCTTCGTCTGTGCACATTTGGTATATGCATTCAGCAAAGAGACCTTGCGAACTGTCGATGGCTGTACAAAGAAGTTAGCACTCGTCATACTACCCAATCATCAGCCAGAAGGTACTTACTAATGCCATGGCGGTTGCAGATGAACTTCATTCTTCTGAGTCGCTGCTCCATAGCGGTATTCCAGTCTTGCCAGCTCCTGAAGAATTTGGGCGAGCCGTCATCGTTCTTCTCGAGCTTCTTGTCAAAACGTTCTTGGATTTCGTCACTCAGATCACTGAGGCGGCGAATGGTGTTCTGGTTCCATCGCATGGAGATCGGAACGTCAGCAGGCTTGTTGGGCCTGGAGAGGAGGTTCCAGCGGTAGAGAGCCGAAGTCCAGGGGCCGGTCTCGTCCGTAGGTCGACCAGCACGCCACTCAGCCTGGTCGGCGGGAAGGTCCTCAGGGTTTCGGCCTTGGAGACGAGCCTTCTTTGTCCAAGGAGTCTTCATCTGCACAATGTACAGATCAGTGCAGACTTCCATGAAAGCTGCCTTCTGCTCCGGCGTGTGGGGAGTACCAAGCCTCTCGTAGTCAGCCAGCTCTGAGAGGAACCCAACGAGCTGTCTGTACTTGATGAAGTTGTACCCTGAGGTACACATCGCGATGTTGTCGGCCGTATGCACGCGCATATTGCCGTCATGGCTGAGGCCATAGGGCTCAATAGCGTCAACTGACGGAATGAGCGGGTCGCGGGAAGATCGCACACCCTGAGTGGAGGCAAGTCCGCGCTCCTCGTTGATGTAGTCATCGAACCAGACGTTGTTGGGGCGGTAGTGCTTTCGGAAGACGGCGACCATATCGTTGTATCGCTGCTTTTCGGGCGCTGAATGCAAATCCTTGCCAAGGGTGCGGCATTCAAAGTTAGCACCAGAGATGTTGCCGGCTGCCGCATAACCCAGAGAGTATCTGACAGACTGTGCCGATGGTTCCACACGGGCGTAGAACAATGGATTGCCGCCATAGACGTTGCCAGCTGGGAGAAGACGAGGTCAGCAGGGTTCATGAAAGTGTGGAAGGGAGGAAGGGTGTAGGAGGACTCACATCGGTCCTTGGCTCCGAGCTCGTCGAGCAACTCATCGTACTGCTGCTGAATGCCTTCCTTGGTCACAACTTGACCTTGAACGCGGTAAGCGAAGTAGCGCAGAAACTTCTCTGCCTTCTGACCATTCAAGCCCTGGCCTGACGGAACTTGAGATGGGATGACCATGTTACCATGCTCATCGAGCACTGGTGCAACCACGTCGATGGTAGATCCCCTACCATTGTCAAACATGCAGTTCTGTCCAATACTGGGAATGGCGTCAATATCGACGTTCGCCATTACCCCAGGAGAGAGCTGGGCATTGTATCTCGCTCTCTGGCGTGTGACAGGGTCGATGTGCTCAATAGAAACTGACAAGGCGTAACCATGGCGCCAAGTTGGGAGGTTGACAAGCTTGGCCATGCCGACCTCAGAGTGTGCTACCTCCTTGACAATAGCCCGTAGCGTATCTGAGGTGGGTATGCCATAAGGCCAACGGCGCAGGACGGCACAAACATTAGTGCAGATAGCCTTGACACGGGTGTTGAATTGAGCGTCTTCCCGAGGTAGCTGAGCATACGGGATGGAGGTTCGGACCGTGGTGTTGCCTGTCGTAAACTTCATGCCGTGAGCACCACCGATCAACTTTTGCTGGGAGGGGTTGAGATCCGAGGTAGTCCAGACCGGCGCATTGGGAGGAAGAGGAATGTTCAGAAAGTCGCTCAGCAGTTGGGCTGCTTCAGCCTGTTTGTAGGGTGCGACGTACCTCAGAAGAGAGGCATCGGCCAGCCACTCTCTGAGCTTGTCGGCGTAAACAAGCTGTGTGTCGTCATCAATCGCAAAGCTGTCCACGACGGCAGCGAAGTTGCTTTGCATCTCGTCGAGGTCACGCACATCAGCCACGGATGTGGAGATACTCTCCTGCTTCTTCGACGAGCGTGGCTTCTTCTTGGGCTTGCCAACTTGAATGCCGACCTCGTCAGCATCAGGCACGAAGTCGTCCTCAGGTTCGTCAAGGTCGGCATCGCCTGTAGGAGCGACGTCTGTGTACGTGCCAGAGAACCTGCTGGAGCGACGAGCTCTGGGATCGGCAGGGTCTTCGGTAGCGGGCCTCTTGCTACGAGCCTTGGGAAAGGATGTGAGGTAAGCGCCGGGCGGAGCAGCGCTGGGAAATTCGAAAGTTTGCTCGGGTTCATCGTCTGCGGAGGACAAGGTCAGTAAACAAAGTGGTTGGTGTGGGGTGTTTTCGAGGGTGCTCACCTAGCTCGCGCGCATGAGCTGTCTGAGAGAAAGTCATCGATCTGGCTGAGCGTGCGACTTCGTCGCGAACTGCCTGCGAGGTCGAAGCTCTTGTGGGTGCGCTTGTGTTCTTGGTGCGGGAGGAAGGGGGAACGATGGGTCGGGCATAGGCTGCCTGGAGTCGCTGCTGAGCAGCAGCAGCAGCAGTCCTGCGAGGTGGGCGGCCTGGAGCATCGGCCTCAGGCTCAGGAGGGACTTGAGAAAAGACTTGGTTAGCTGTCTTCTGGACAGTAGGGAACGAGGGAGGGGTAGGGCGGGCCAACCTGGTTTGGCTCTCTTAGGAGGCATGGCGAACTTGGAGAGATTAGTCGTTTGCAGACGAGATGGAGGCGTAAAGGATGGTGGTATTGAGAGGAGGAGAGAATGATGGGAACGAAGACGGTAAAGGGGTTGCGAGAAGCAGAGAGAAGGATACAGAGGGCAGGAAGAAGCACACAGAACGACCAACCGGTAGTGGGTAGAATAGCGAGACGGGCGTGTTTGCGCATGTCAAACGCCTAGTCCCAAAAAGGAAATCAAGCTTGGAGACGTGATTTTCCGTCGCCAACACGCCGAGGTGCTTTTCTGAGCGCGTCTGTCTCTTCTCTTCGCACCTACCGAGACGCCTCTCTCCCCTGCACAACCTCGTTCAATTACCTCACCAATCTGTCAGCTCTTCATCATGTCTAACTCTCAACCCGCTCAGGATTCCGACATGCTTGAGCAGCCCGGTCATTCCAACGAGGGCCTCCACGAACCAGGCCAGTCCGACAACGAGCCCGCTTTCCCTGGCATCAACTTGAACGAGAACATGCAGCTCGCTTTCAAGAACATCTTCAACGACATGATCGACCACTTCGAGAAGGCCCAGTCCGAGGCCGCCGAGGCACTGGCCCACGAGCTGATCTCTTGGGCACGCCTACCCATCCTCTACCGCGTCTATTCGCACGTCGTAAGTATCCTGCCTTCTCTTCCTCAACTGCCTTGCCCTCAACCCCTTGCACACTTCCTCTCTGGGTCTTCCACTTCCGCTTGTTCCTTCTCTTGTTCTTCAGCTCTTTTCGTTGTTGTAAACACCAAGAGTCGAGCTGATTGTCGCTAGATTCTGGCTCACGGACCTGTCGACTGTCTCTACCACGCCTGCAAGGCCGTCGAACAAGCCCAGAGAGGCATCCAGAGACATGGCGACGAACACGGCGTTGGCACCCGACTGCTCGACATTGCTCACCGTACCCTGGACGAAGTCAAGAAGGAGGCCGCTGACGCCATGAACGAAGGCAACGAGCAAGGTGAAGAGCAGGTGGGCGACCAGGAGATGACCAGCACTGAGCAGCACACCGAGACCCCTGCTGTCGAGAAGGATAAGACCGGCGACAAGACCAAGAGCCAGGAGATCGGCGAGGGAGAACGCACCATGTCCTATGCCGAAGAGGCCGAGCTGTTCCTGAGGAAGACCACTCCCCGTACCATCATGAGCCGTCCGTCAACCTCAGCACCCCAGAACGAGAACGAAGAGATGCTTCTCGACGCCCCTTACTCAGGCGTTGTGTCGAACCCCTCGCTCAGAAGGACACTGTTGCCACATCCCAGCCTGGCGAGGGTGCCAAGGTCAGCTTCATTTCGCAGCAGCAGACAAAGACTTCCTCTGGACAAACCGACTTGACCAGAACAATCTCAAGCACCACCAACGTCACCAGAACCTCCTCGTCCACTACCGCTCCCAGCAGAACCACCTCCGGCACCACCAATGCCCCCAGCAGAGCCGCCTCTAACACGACCGCCATCACCGACTTCTCATCCCAGGGCGACAGAGCCTACGATGCTGGCACTGATCAGGAAGGCGAACCCGTTGGTACCGAGCAGGAGGGCGGCGATGCCAGTGCTGCTGACAGAAAGAAGCGTGATCGTTCGGACAGCTCTGAGGAAGCCGGCCAGCCCGCCAAGAAGAAGACCGACAAGTGATGAGTTACAATCACCAGCTCGCAACGTTACTCAATCATCCAAGTATGACATCGGCACCGTTCCGTGTGGCACCAGATTGCAGGGAGATATGGAGCGGCCAGGGATGGAAGCAACAAGCGCGTTGATTATCTAGTTGATTACTGCAAGACCGTATCACAAACTCTTCTCACTCTGATGGCAGCATGCGCTGTGTGTCCAAATCATGTTCATGAGCAGAGTCGCGCTGTGGGCGATGTCTGTCGCTTGTCTGGTATGTTGTCGAGATTCCCAAGAACTCGAAGGTGTCGAGACTTCCGCTCCCTGTCGGAAGATGCTCGGCAATTTCGATGACCCCACTTTTACCAGCGCTTAATCCTCAGTTGCCGCCTTTCCTCTCCCTCCCGTCTGCAGCTGTACAGCACATCATCATATATAGGTGGAAAACTTGGTTGGTTATTGAGCTATAGTGATAATTGACAGAGGTGCCAATCATGAAGACCTTGGTGTCTCTTTGATGGAGGTCAGGACATCTCCTTCGACCTCACTGTTGGCGATGAAGATTCTGCATGTGTCATTCCACACACATCTTCGTCTGGTCATCCTCTTGAGCTTCGATGAGTAAAGTGAGGAATTCTCGAACAAGGAGGTGCCTTTAATAAAAAGCGCTTTGCCTTGGAAGACGATGTCTCAAGCCGCCACTTTGCGTACCTTGCTGATAGGGCCAAGGAGCCCAATGTGCCCAGCGGGAAAAAAGATGTCCGTTCAATCTGGCAAGCAGTCGGGGGCACCTAGGCTGGAGTCGCTTCTCAATTCCTTCTCCATCAAGAACGCCGCTCAGAGCCTGTTGGCACTGCTCGTGAGACTCTTCGCCACCAACTTGCCTGTCTACTTCCTCCGCTAACTTGCCTGTCTACTTCCTTCACCAACAGAGTCCTGCCTTGGAGTTGGCCACTCGCGCGCCTATGCTCCAAGCTGCTCTAAACGACTCCGAACTCACCAACACCAACGCAAACGGGATCCGTCGCTACCCCTCAAAGGCAACCAAGCTGATGTTCCCTCTCTTTCCTCCCTTGAGTTGTTGCCTTCTCAAAAGGTTTGTGCCACGTTCCAAGAAGCACAAAGCTTTGTGGTACCATCCAACGCTGAAATATGTAGCGCCCCAAGCGTTGTGCGACCGAAGATCTTCATGGATACAGACCAGTAATGCGCAGTAGCTACAACAGTCACAATTGATCGGTCACAAGATGTTGAGCCAGAACTCATGGGCAACAGCGACAACTTCGCTGACTCGCGAATGTCGCTGACATTGATGCCCAGGTTATTCGAGTGTTTTTCTGTCTAACCATCGCATGGTCAAGTCGGCACGAATGCGGGGAAGAGTGTGCATCATTGTGTTTCGAGATACCTCACCTTGTTTAAGCTTGCCCAGTCAGAAGCAAATACTGAGCTCTTGCCCGAGCTCTTCCAAGTCATGCAAGTCTGGTTACTTACCTGCTGTCTCTCGGAAGCGGACGTTCGAATGTTGACAATTCCTCACGCCATGGTCTCGGCCGCCCCTACCCAGTATCCTGGCGCTGGTAGATTGCGCCACACTTGACGTGAGTTCTAAATTTAGCCGAAATAGCCACCCGAGAAATTCTGTACTTGCAGTCCGAGGACAGAAACAAAGGTCCTGGTGCGGTTCTCCTTAGAAAAGATGGCTTTCCAGCTGGTTTGGTCTTTGCCGTTGCCCTCAGCCTCAGCCTGTTGGAGTTCGGTCCTGATGATATCGATACGCTCGTCGACATTGGTGTCAGGACCAAACAGTCTGATGATAGCCTTGCGAGCATCGGCCTCACGACCCTTCTTCATGTACCAGACAGGGCTCTCGGGGAAGAAGGGGAGAACGATGAGGAAGAGGGTAGGGATGAGGAAGGTCATGATGAAGGCAAGCTTGTATGACCATGGTCCATTGATCTTGGAAGCACCAAATCCAGTCATGGAAGAGGCAAAAATCCGAACACAATGATAACGTTGGTCAGGGAGGAAGCAGTGCTGCGGAGGTTTGCGGGAGCGTTCTCCGTAACATAGAGCGGAGGAGTGGCAGTGGACAGACCAACAGCAAGCCCGAGAAGAAGCTTAGAGACGAAAAGGACTGGGAGGTTTGGTGCGAACACCAAGGCGAATGAAGCAGCCAAAGACAGGAAGACGGCAGTGTAGAGCAAAGGCTTGCGGCCGGTGATATCAGCGAACTGGCCAGCGGCGTAGCCACCGAAGACCTGACCGATGGTAGAGGCTGCATTCCAAAGTGATTGCCACAATGCAGGTATCACAAATTGATCTCCTTGAGCATAGTAATGCCCATAGTGTTTTCTGAATTCGGGGAAGGCGATGGCGACACCTGAGAGACCTGCATCGTAGCCCCAGCCAAAGACCAAGAGCATGACATACAGAGTCCACCAGACGAAGCGCTTGTCTTTCTTGATGGCAGCACCGAGTTTTGCGTATTGTGCCTTAGCAGACAGATCAGTAGCCTGGCGAGCCTCTTCTCTGGTTGTGGAGTCGACAGAGGTGACTTCGAGATGGGCGATGTCGTGCTTGTCGATAGAAGACATCTCATATTTGATGTCGCTGGAAGACATTGTGATCCGGGAGTGACTGTCCTGTGACTGTCCTTTGGTGTTTGATGATTGATGATGATTGAGGAAGTGCTGGATGCTGATGATCAGCGAGTTACTGTCCCTTGGTGGTGGATGTGGAAGTGCTGGCTGCTGAGGATGTTGCTGCTCTGCTAATAATGATCGACATGGTGGTGGGCCATTGAAGATATATACCCCATGTCTAATGACCCCGGAGTAAAGTCGAGGAAGATGGAGAAAGTTGGATGTTTGCGTGCAACGGAATATGGAGCGTGGAGGAGGATGCGGGAGGCGTTGACTTTCGGGGAAACAGTCCCAACGGGGTCAATATCGCCGTGCAGGCCCGTGAGGAAATGAACTTTAACTCGACCCCGCCTCCTATCGAGCTGCCCAGTTTCCCCGGATCCTCACAGATCTACCGCACCTATACCGTTATGCTCGAGTTTCCCCGGATGGAGTGTGGGTCGGCCGGAGGCCCTCGACTATGTGGGAAGAAGACCGAAAATGCGGCCGGCAGATCATAGCACATGACAATCAACAAAAGAAGAGGCAGCGCCTCCAGCATAACTCACCCACCTTGATCCCCACGGCTTTCTTGTGAGATCTTGAACAGATCCACAGCTGCAAGTATCTCATTAGAAAACCTCTAAATAAACACCGCAGCTATGAGCGAAACCAGCAGGAGGGAGTTGTTGCGCAGTCCCAGCGCTTCTTCTCAATCGACAGATATCACTGAGCCCTCGTCTCAGGGAGAACTCGACATCAAGCTCGCAGGACCTAAAACAACATTTCAGCGATGGAGGCCATCCTACCACCTCCAAGCAACATCAGGTTGGATGAATGTAGGCTAAGACTAGGTCCGTAAATCATAACTATGTGCTAATAACATCCAGGATCCTTGCGCGCCTCATTATGACCCCGCCACCGGTCTATACCACATCTCGTACCAGTCCAGCCTAGACCTCAACAATGCAGACTGGGGTGAAATTGCATGGCGGTCTGCTTCCTCGCCCGATCTGGCCACATGGACGCCTAATCACTCCCTACCATTGAGCCCTGACACAGTATACGATGGCAAGGGTGTTTTCACAGGCTGCAACGTGCCTACTCGAGACGATTCATTGACCTATGTCTACACTTCCGTCAGCGAGCTTCCAATTCACCACACTCTACCGCACGTTGTAGGAAGCGAGTCTCTGAGCATGGCAAAATCCTTCGACGGAGGTCGCACATGGCAAAAGTTTGCAGGCAACCCCATCCTGCCTAGCGAGCCAAGTGGTCTAGAGGTGACTGGCTGGCGGGATCCTTTTGTCAGCGCATGGCCTTCCATGGCAAGAGCTCTTGGTGTGGACTCGGACAACACTCTTTTCGGAATCATCTCAGGAGGCATTCGAGACGTCACACCCACAACATTCCTGTACAGCATTGATCCAAACAACCTCACGAGTTGGCACTACATCGGCCCTCTGGTGAACTTTGGTCTCAATCTTCGCCCGTCAAAATGGTCAGGCGATCTAGGGAAGAATTGGGAGGTCACAAACTTCCTCACTCTTCGAGATAATACGAATCCGTCCGTGGTTCGTGACATTCTCGTCATGGGCACTGAAGGATGTTTGCCGAGTGCAATGCACGCTGTAGGATCTTCTGACGACAAGACAGGCCCGACTCGTCCACACCGTGGTCAGCTCTGGATGTCAGGCTCAATTAAGAGCACGCGTGACTCCTCTGCAGCGGTTTCAAGTGCTGTCCAGATGGATTATGGATTTGGTGGGCACCTCGATCACGGTTGTCTGTACGCCGCAAATTCATTCTTCGACACCAAGACTTCCAAGCACATTGTCTGGGGCTGGATCACAGAGGAAGACTTGTGTGATGAACTCCGTCGTGAACAAGGTTGGAGCGGTCTACTCTCCTTGCCCCGAGAACTCAGTCTCCAGACGATTGAGAATGTTTTGTGCGCGAGAAACTCGAATCTGGAGACAATCACATCAATTGAGACTGAGCCCAAGCCGAATGGTACTCATACTGTACGGACTTTGGTAACAGAGCCAGTGACCTCAGTTGTCGAGCAGCTGCGAACCAAGGCATCCGTGCGAAGAGCGAGACTCAGTCAGCCACTACCACGCAGAAAGTCCTATGATCTCGCCTTCACGTCGGATGATGTGCAAACATTGGCATGGGAGCTTGACTGTTCCTTCGCGGTATCCGCATCCTGTGAACAGATTGGAATACAGATTGTGCATACTAGAGGTAAGTCAAGACAAGCAAATACATCAGGACACTCCAGACACTGACAACAATCCCAGNACTTTGCTCAAACGACTACGCTATCTTTCTCACCAAGGACTGAAAAATTTACCATCGAACGTCCTTCTTTCTCCTCCGCTGCATGCGAGGGTCTGATCAACACAGCGCCCGAAGTCGCTCCCCATACACTATTCACCACCAACGACACGTCAAAAGACAGCCAGCCGGTCGAAGAGCTTCTACATATCCGGGTCTGGAGGGATAATTCAGCATTGGAAGTCTTCGTCAGTGGCCGTACGGCGATCTCGACGAGACTTTATGCTGCCGAGAACACAGTGGGTATACGGTTCTTTGCTGATGACAACATCGTGTTGGGCAACAGGAGCCATTCACCTTCAGTTGGCCGACCCGGCAACTCACAATTGATGTTTGCGACGCTCTGGGATGGGATCGGAGTTTGAGATTAGACTGTGTTAGGTCTGATTTGTTTCGAGATGGGTTAGAAGTTGTCTACAGTTAGCGATACTTGGGCTATAGTTCCTCCGGGCGACGGAGAGTCTTATCTTGGGCCACAGAATGCAACAATTTTTCTAAATTAAGTGACACCCTGAATCGGAAATCTTTCTGATGTGTTCTATGGCCACACTCACGTTTGCTGGACTGTAATAGCGTCTTAAAATGTTTGCATTCACGTCTCGATAAACAGATTACTCGAAAGCTTTGGCCATAAAGCATGAACTACAGCTTAGCTTTCGGTACCACATCAGTCGTGGGAATGCCAAGTTTTGAGATGTCTTCGCTAGTCTTGCCATCTGGGGCGAGTTCCGCTGCTTCAATGATAGGCGCAAACTTGGAGCCATGGGCAACTCTAGATCCATAACAAAGGATTCTTACTTATAGCTTACAAGTTAATTAGTACCAAGCACGCTGTTAAACCAGTTTTGAATGTTTGCGGTCGAAGTTCCTATGCTTAATAATAACCATAGGCTATAATGTAAGTCCCGTACTACCGCCGAGTACACCCTTACGGCAAGGTATCATATTAGAGACGAGAATGGCGGCGAAGTATATGATAAGCTAAATGGTAGAGAAGATTGCCGTTTGGGCAAAGGGATCGCTTTAGTCTACTAACTTAAAGTAGTAGATCTACTACTAAATGGTTTATTAGCATCTTTATAGAGGGCACTTAATAGCCGGACTCACCTAACATACGAGACTAATGATTTTATGGTTTTGGTTGTCCAACTTCGGGATCATGCTCACACCGCCACGTTGTAGCAGATTGAGATCAACAGTATCTCTTTCTTCATTATAAGCTGTTCGGGACTGTGCATTCCCGTATGCATGCGCGTATAGTTCAGCACATCGGAAGAGCCATCTCTCTCCGCTCCCGGTCGGAAAAAGCTTCCGACCCCGCAATAGTGGATACAGAAGTGGGTCCCAAGACTGCCGTTAGACCTCCTGCCTGTCGTTCTCCGCAGGCCGCAGCTCGACTTTCAACAACTTTCTGATTCTGTTATTCACATCCCGTAGACCTTCACACGGCCGCCCTGGAACGCCCGGGCCATGTCACAAGTCACCTCCTCAGATGTCCTTGCCCGATCAGATCCAATGAAAGTACAGAAAGCGCCTCCGAGATTCCCATGCAGTCACTGTGACAAGGTCTTCAAGCGCAGCGAGCATCGCACCCGCCATGAACGAGGCCGTACGTGCCCGGCGCAACTGGGATTGGCATGAGACTTGTCGCTGATACTGAGCTAGATACAAAGGAAAAACCATTCCATTGCAGATATTGTGGTCGGAGATACGCTCGCAAGTACGACTGCATCACAACACCTCTTCCAAAAGCTCGACATACTGACGAGCCCGGTCTGCAGAGACTTGGTCAACCGCCATGAGAAGTCGTTCCATCCCAACGCAGACGGCCTGGAAAAGGCGAATGCCAGCTCCGAAGTCAACGATGCTATCATGTCTGAAGTGCGCAATCTGCCAACCCCGCCCTCACACAACTCTGAACGAATTCTCGGTAATACTCGCTCGCAGTCACGCTCGCCCTGGAGCGAAGACTACAATGCCATGGTGCCACTAGAAACAAGGAGCCCACCACTCTCAGACTCGATGCCTGTCGAGATAAGGCCACACGACTCCTGTACTGATACCATCCATCTGGGGGACTCCATGACCCAGATCCTGACACCAACAAACATGACTTGTTCCATTCCCAACTTTGACGATTGGTTAAGAGCCTCAGGTGTTGAAGCAGAGCGCACCACCGAAGATTTCTACGCCAACCAAAGCATGGGCTCTGACGAGTTCGATCTTATCACCATTGACAGCATGGCGCTTAACCATGCAGCTTTGGACGCCGATCTCTCCACCTACCTGAGTCACTCAGTGCCAGCTCCTTGGGAGGAATTCGGGCACCATCGTACACAAGATAGTCAATCGATTGGTTCACTCGTTGCACTCCCCGAGTCGTCCTCGCTCCCGATCGAAGCTAGCGCATTGAACGTTGGCATCGCAAGTCCACAAAGTGACGGAATTCTCTCAAGGATGCCCAGCTTGCTGAAAGAGACCACTCGCAATATACTGGCCGCTCCGATGATCGACGCTGATATCTACTACACAATCATGGCTGGCGTGAGTACTCACACGTCGTTGAATGCGGATATAGAGCCATTGTTATCACTGCAGGAGATGCAGCAGTTCTTGAAGTGTTATCTAGTTTGCTTCCATCGACATTGTCCCATCATTCATCTGCCTTCTCTGGATCTACGGCAAACTCCATGCCACCTGGTATTGGTCATGTGCGCCATTGGAGCTCTTTATCGATTACGGCGAAAAACAGCTCATGATCTCTGGAAATGCGCAAGTCAGATATGCGACAAGGTAGGCTCGGCTCGGAAGTTCGCATATCAATTGCATTGCTGACAGCTGTTGTGAAGGAGATAGAGGCGAATCAGAACAGCCATTCTCTTCTCGAAAAAGTGCTACAGCGACCATGCAGTGCAAACTGCTAGTCGCATGGTTCTCTATCTTCAGTGGAGATATGACGCAACAATCGATCTCGGCTTCAGGCTTTTGATCCACGGTATGAATGCGCAAACATCAACAGATGCGTCTTGCTGATTTTCTTTATAGGAGTATCGATCCCGTCGAGTTCTGCTTGCATCAATCCCTTATGACTCTGCCAATACTACATGGGAACAATGGATCTTACGCGAAACGTCCAAGCGGTTTGTTTCTTCTTGCAGCTTCCTAAGTATGACCGAGCTGACATGCATTTGTAGACTTCTGTATGGCATATTCATCATGAGCTCAATGGCTAGCCTTGCGTATGATCTGACACCGATGTTCTCTATCACTCAGGATCTTGACGTCGAACTACTGGATGAGGAGAAGCTATGGGAAGCCAGTAATAGTGAAGAGTGGGACGCACTACGGCAGCCACGAGAAGGACATTCGAGCGTCACAATTAGGCATGCCTTTACCCACCTCGTCTTTGGGAAAGAAAGTCACTCGTCTGCTGCGTCAGCGTCGCCTATGAGATGGACCGCATTTTCCACCTCTTTCATCATGCACGCGGTCAACATCTACATGTGGCACCTGATGCAGTGTACTCAATCCTTTGGCACGTTCGCGGTTGAGGGGTCTACTAGTGCGAGTCTCAAGACTTCGCTGGTCGCCCAGACCGAGGCTGCGCTTACCAGATGTTACGCCTTGCTCACGGCAGATCGTCCAGAGCGGGAACGTACATCTGACGACGCCGAGGGGCCGCTGCTTTTCAACTGTCTTGCTCTGCTACGATCTGCACACATCCGGGTCTTCACGGGAGCCGACAATTCCAATCGCATGACACTACTCTGTGGCAGTCCTCATCAAGTCTCTGCGTCCATTGATGCATTCATTTTCGGTAGTGCTCTCGAACGAGGACCTCTTCTAACTCGCGCCGCCGACAAGGCTTACGGCGGCTTCCTCACACCAATCAAGGCCGGCTACTTGCTCGTACGAAAAACAGCAGCTCTGACCTGGAGCTTAGAGCACCCTATCGCCGCCTGGGACTGCGCTCTCTTCGTCACAAAATGGGTGCACACCCTAGAAATGTCGCAACTCGAAGCCCCACCCAACCAAGATGAAATCGTCATCATCTCAAACTTGCGCAATCTACTGAGCGAAGCAGATAGTGATTATAATGGGTATGGCAGCTTGGCAGGCGAGATTATGAAGGTCTGGGCTAATTTGATGGATGATACATGGACTTGGGGGATCACACTCCGGATGGGACAGGTCATGAGAAGGCTTTCTGCTGCCTTCAAGCAAGATTGGATAAGGAAGTTTCCACAAGGGAATCCTGGTGGACCTATCAGTCAATGATTATATGACGAGAACAAGAGTTTGGCACGGGGAGAACTGGAGATTAGTATTAGGGTTGCTTGGTCCAGGCGTTGTTTTTAGAGGTCACCAAGTGAATTGCAGGTAACGTGTGATCACAAACAGGTAGTCACTGTTTTGGTTATGACCCCAGCCCTTTGGACAAACACGCACCTCCGCTCTTAGTCTTCTTTGTGTCTACTATCATCCTACGGCCCCGAGTATGTACATATATCATCCCAAAGTCATTTCTGTGCCCACGATCGAATCACCAGCTGTGGATTGCCCCAGCATAGTGTGGCAGGAGTTCTTACAAAGACATCGACTACGCAAAGCTGTGACAGTGTGGAGCGACCTCGACTGTTTTACGCTCGTCGTGAGGAGATTTGAACTCGCCACGGCCTTCACCATGTCCGTGCTTGGAGGACTGAGTCGTAGAGACTGAGGGGTAAAAGACCAGGAAAAACACGGCGATCGAGGCTGCGTTTGTGGTTCTTGGACACTATAGAGCAGGTGTGGACAGACACATCCGTAAACTTCGTGAAAATGTGATATGGAGATGTACATGAGACATATTCTCTTCCTATGATATCCGCAAAGGCAGAATAGAAATGACAGGCTCTATCAAACTTCTGCATGCGTCTTAACGCCAAACTTTTCCAGGAGGTTGTGGCGAGCCCAGTAACTTCGGTATCTGGAGGAAGTCAGTTAGCGGCTAGTCATGGAAACGACAGTTAAAAATATACTCACTTCNTTGCCAAACACGTAGACTGGAATGGATGCTAGACAGATTGCTAGCCCGATTCCACCAAAGACGCTGTAGACGACAAAGGGGCCGGCTGACGCTGTCCAGTTGTTGACGAATTCGCTGAAGCCGTAGAGAACGACGTTCTTGAGCAGCATGATCGCGATGAAGATCTCGTTGCTCATGTCGCGGTAGGCATCGAGGGCGTATGCTGTGGCCGCGGTGCAGATAGACACGACACCCACAAGGATAATGCCGTGGACTGTAGCACAAGCATATAAATTGATACCGTGTTCAGCCATGTAGCCCCAAGCAATCAGGCCACCGCCCATCAAAAGGCCTCCAAACATGACCACGAGACGATATTCAGGTTCGTAGGTTCCAACGTTGCGCTTGCTGAACCATTTGATCAGAGGGTCGAGCATGATGCCTAGAGCAAGCGAGCCGATGATGGAGCCAACAAATGGACCTAAAGACAAGTATCCAACTCCAGAAGCGCTGAGGTTGTATGGTGGTAAGGTGAAGATCTGTGCGAGCACAAAAGCGACAGCGACAAATAGGACGGTCGATATGCCCACAGCGATGATGCACCAAGCAGCTGCCAAGTTCGTCCACACCGCAAAAGATCCAATGACGAGTTGAAACAGAGTCTCGTCCGTGTAGGTACCAGTGAAGATGGCCAACTCCTGTCGGAAAGTCTTGCGGGAGGGTAGAGGCGTTGCTCGAGCGCCAGAGCTCGCAGTCTTCTCCAACTCGACATCATCGCGGTGCTCAGCCTCTGCAAGCTTTTCGAGATCCACGTTTGCATTTTCATCAGTGTCATACTGCTTGTCTCTGTTGAAGGTGGTTTCGGGACAGAAGAAAAACAGCAGGATAAGCTGGAGTGCGACAAAAGCGTTCAGAATGTGGAACAGGTATTTCCAACCCAAATTCTCCACGATCGTTCCCGTAATGACGCTTGAAAAGTTGGAGATGCCCGCAAGTAGAAAGTTGATTGCCGAAGCATAGATACCACGTTCGTGAACGAAGAACAAGTCACCGATTGCCGTGATGACCAGCGACTCGTAGGCCGATATAGCGAAGCCTTGCACAATTCGAGCAGCGAGTAGAGAATCGAGACTGGTTGCTACAGAACCGATGATGGTTCCAACGACACCGAGTATGGAACAGAGAACGAACAGCGGGCGTTTGCCATATTTCCTCGAGAAAGCACACACTGGAGGGCCAAAGCAGCCAGCGACCAGCAATTGATAGCCAGAGATGACAGTGATATCTCCGAGTGGGACGTTGAAGTCTTTGGAAATTGTCGAAAGCCCAGCATTGAGCAAAGGCCCAACGGTTCCTGCATAGAGAATGACTCCAAAAGCAAGGATGAAGGTGATTGTCAGTTTCTTCGCGGTGGACCAGTTGAGTGGATCGTTGGGGTCTTCAGAGGGCTGGGGAGCGAGCACGACTCCAGCGTTCTTGCCTCTGCCATGTCGTAATCCGCGTGTGATGTTCTCTGAGTGAGCGGCCTCTTCGTTGAGGATGACCGTTCCGGGTACGTGAGGAAGATGGGAATCCTCGAGGATGCCACCAAAAGCCATGTTCGCTTTGTATAGACGATAAAACTAAGATGTTGTGATCGACAGGCGACAAAATCCGCGAGATATATAGATACCGCTTCGGCAGTAACATGTGCGACACAGTCGCGCAAGGTTTCCGCCCTCGCTCTTGCCCCCGCAGCTTTCATCAAGCATGTGGGGTACCCCACATCCCACACTAGCCACACAAGCCATCAGGATGATCAGCAAGGATACCCGAGATCAATGCTTCTGCAGACTGTGTCGTGGTGTCGATGTCAGTGTGGCCTTGAATTGGGCATGTGGTCTCCCCGTGTGCCAAAGACTGTTGGGATATAGCTATAGAATTGCACAACATCCTTTCAGAACAAAGTTGTGTCCAAGAAGAGCTCTTATCTCAAAGTCGCTTCTATGGCGGCACGTCTAACGTTTCAAAAATTGTGCTTTGTTGTATTATACTATGATACCAGTGCTGGCTAGATGAGCTACTTATTCTGATGTAACTACCTTATACAGCTTTGTAAAATCATATTGAAGATCGTTTGCACCCTTCAGCATGACCTCTGCGAACTCAGGGTCTTTTTTCAGCCTTCTTGCACATCTGCAATAAACCGTCGTGAAAAATCGCTGTCTCGGGATTGTGACTGTGCAATCGACGGATGTTCTCCACGGAGATAGGATCAACTATCGACAGATACTTCTCCCTCCTTATCCTGCTGTAATCGTCCAAGATAGACTCGTCAGCCACTCCATTGTAGATACCGCGAAGACAATCGAACAGACCACCGACGTCCACGATTCCGCCAGTGAGCCCCAGACCTCCGNNCTGTGTTGAGGTTAGTGTTGTTGCACGCTGGCGCGAGCGGGATCAGACTTACAATGGATTGCACAAGTGTGCCGCATCAGCAGCGAGAAGAAATCGACCAACTCGCATCTTCCTTGCCAGTCGTTGATGAACACGGTAGGGGCTGATGTTGACGAGCTTATAACAGTCTGGTCCCGAATAGCCTGGCAAGATGTGTTTGAACTTTTCGGGTTGGCGAGCAATAATCTCTTCCTGAGAGAGTCCTCCAATCTCTCCATACGAGACTCTCCACAGGCCATCGTTGGATATGCGAGCAGCCATGTGCCAATGCTCAGGGTGAATGATGAAGTTTGAATCTTGGTAGCCATATTTGTCGAAGTCGTAGTACGTCTAGAATATTGCGCGTCATTACATAAGCCCAGGAAGCTAGAAATTACCAACACTCACGTTTGTGGATACAATCTGTTCGTCCAGTGTGTGTCCAGGGAAGTCCATGTCGCCAAAAAGCTTTCTTCGCACGATGCTTCGTGCGCCATCACAGCCGACGACGTAATCAGCTCCAAGACGTTTGTGTCCATCAGGAGTGTCGGCATCTACCCAAGCCTCATTCTCGTCCTGTCCAATGTCGACAACCTTGTGACTCCAGGAGATGGTTGCCGTCGATTCTTTCTCCAAGTGCTTGACGAGTATCTTGCTGACGCGATTCAGTGGAAGACAGGTGACTTGGTCCAGAGTGCCATCGAGCATAGTGCTGTCCAGACCTGCAATGACTTCCCCATCGAGTTTGCGCCAGCAGAACTTCCGACAAATCAGGCCTTCAGTTTGAATGTCGTCCAATACACCTGCACGAGCGAGCTCGCGAACGGCAGGAGTTCCGTAATGTGTCGCTCGTGGTTGATCATCCAGTGTCTTTGCCGAATCGATCACGTGGGTTTGAATACCCCTTTTTGCGAGGAAGAGTGCCAACAGCAGTCCAGCGGGGCCGGCGCCGACAATTAACACCTGGACGTTGTATTGTGTTAGTCGACGTTGCAGAAGTCTTTGGTCAATCCGTACATTCTGGAAGGGAGTTACTGTCGTGGCGGCGATCATCCTTTGCGAGCTGCTCGAGTTGATGCGACAAGTGCTTTTACGCGCTCGTAGCAAAGCGGGAAGATAGAATTGAACAGCGACTTCAGAAGAATATTTACCCTCTACCTTGATGGTTCCGCTTGATGTGGGGCGCAAACAATGACGATGCTTCCCCGCATCTCGGAGATCCACCGAACCCGCAACTATTCCTTCCACCTCCCTATGTGCCATAGGCCCTCACAGTGTTGTGGTAGGAATGCACAATAAGTAAGACATACGAGACAAGACCAGCCGCCATGATCACGACTCTTAGCGGACGCTACTTATCTTCTGAAAGTATTGTGCATCTCTATAGCTTATCATACCACTGTGCTTCGCCATGAGGGAGCGTGGGACTGCTTCGCTCCGCAATGTTCTGGTGCGTCCCAAGATCATGTGGGGTAAGCCATATCATCAGCCTGTTCGCCATCGAGGCGGCGACCTTGACAGATGCACTACGATTCAACAACCCAATCAATTGTATACGATATGACCAGCCCCACTCGTCTCCGCTCCCGACCTTGCTCAAGTACCACACATAAGGCAGGCCTCAGCTGCTTCTCCGATCTCAGCAGAATTCTGTTTGTTGTCTATGAATGCAATGATGTCTAAACCAAGAGAGTACCAAGATATCTTCCATTGGGCAGAGACCCAGCAGGACGGAGCTGTATCTTCCTTTGGAACCAGAAAGAATGATCCTTACGAGGTTAGTCCTTCCTTGGCTAAATTTGATTACTGCACGACTGACCTTGAGCAACAGTACCAATCAGGATTCAATAACAGGTAATTTCCAAAACGCTATCAAACACCGACATACCTAACGATTCACAGTTTTGCGTCCGAAGCCGTACCTGGGACTCTGCCTCAAGGACAAAACAGTCCCAGAAATGTTCGATTTGGTTTGTACGCTGAGCAGATGACGGCTTCTGCTTTTGTCGCGCCTAGACACCTGAACAAGAAAGCATGGCTATATCGAGCAAGACCCTCAGTGGCTCACCAAGGCTTCGTGAGTAAAATCTGCCGCTGCCAGGGCGCCTTGACTGACTCTTTATCAGNNACAGACCTTCCAGACAACCTTGACACAGAGTCTAATTTCCTCCCGAGTAATCCAAGAGTCCACCTTTCCCCCACTCAGTTGGCCTGGCTTCCATTCGAGATACCAAGTGGCAATGATGTCGACTTTGTTGCAGGATTGAAGACGATCACTGGTTCTGGCGATCCAACCCTGCGAGAGGGCATCGCTACACATGTCTACGCCGCGAACACAAACATGAACAAGTCTGCTTTTGTGAACTCAGACGGCGACTATCTCATCTGTCCACAGCAAGGCGCTCTGGACATCCAGACCGAATTTGGCATGCTTTTTGTTCAGCCTGGAGAAATTGTCGTACTACAACGTGGTCAAAAGTTCAAGGTCAATATACCTGATGGCCCATCTCGTGGATACATTCTTGAGATCTGGGGTGCCAACTTCGAGCTACCAGAGTTGGGTCCTCTTGGTGCCAATGGATTGGCCAACGCCAGAGACTTCTTGCATCCCGTGGCCAAGTATGAAATCACACAAGAGCTTTGGTCTGTCACATACAAGCTTGGCGGCAAGTTATTCAGAAGTACTCAACAACACAGTCCCTTCGATGTTGTGGCCTGGCATGGCAATTACGTACCATACAAGTATGATCTGACCAAGTTTGTCAACGTCGGCTCTATCTCTGTGGATCACATCGACCCCAGCATCTTCTGCGTACTAACAGCTCGTTCTCGCGATCCTGCTGCACCCCTGGCCGACTTCCTCATCTTCTCGCCGAGGTGGGATGTTGCATCGCACACATACCGCCCTCCATATTTTCACCGCAACGTTGCTTCGGAGTTTATGGGTCTACTGTATGGTGACTATGGCGGTCGTTCGGATGAGTTCCAGCCTGGCGGTGCCTCGTACGAGTGTGGCATGGTTCCACACGGTGTCGCCTATCAGGAGTTCAAAGCCGCCACCGAGAATGAACCTCCTGTCATGCAGATCTCCAAGGGGGCTGTTGCAATCATGTTCGAGAGTTCGAGGCCGTTCACTATTACCGACTTTGCATGGAATACCGACAAGAAGCATGAACATGATCCCAAGATGTGGGTTGATCTTATCGGTATGTCTGAAGAGACTCTACTCTTGTGTTCGGACTCTGCTAATCTCATAAACTACANNGACAACTTCTCCAAACATCAGGAAGAAGTCGAAAGACTATTGGCGACCAAGAAACAGAACGGCGTCTGATGACAGCATCTAGATAGTATGGACCCAACCTGTTATCGTTTCTCATCTCTGTCTCCACTGCATGTAGTCTGAGACGTGGATGAAGACCTTGCCAATATGGTGGATCAATGATCAGTGCAAAGGAAAGAAATGGATGTCTCATTGACTGTTCGGGGTCTCCAATATATCTGTAGATGTACTGAGACATATGGGGAATGCTTGTTGTGTAGCCCACGAAAGCTCTCACAACCTGATCTTGATATGATACTTATGCTTCTTCGTTAACCTAGCTGAGTCTCACGTTGTTATCCTTACATACGTTACAGGCAGCTGAACCAACGGTCGATACGTTGCTCTATACGCTGTCTCATTCTTCTCATATCTCCACGCCCGATACTCCAGAGGGACCTCTGGAGGACTCGAGGAAATGTGGTCAACCCTGTTCTCTGGTGTCATCCCATTCCCTTCTTTATTGTCTCCGTGTGCTCTACACCTTTGACACCGCAGCTATGGGTACGCACGACATTCCAAGAACGAGACATTGTCTAAGGAGAGACGTTTGCCTGCGGGCTTCTCTGTGGAAACCTTTTTGAGGTGCTGACGGTTGTGCAATCGTATGAAGTGCCGGGACACTACCCCTCGAAAGGAGATGTTATTTTGCTCATCTTAAGCATGCGTCTCGTCCATGTGAGATTTGTCCACCCTGAGATGGGTCTGTACGACCTTTCGAGTCACAAAATCTTCTTCAAAGAGCAATATAATTCGATGGTACGGCTGAAAGATTGCTCTCGCTTCCTATAGACAGGGTCATACCTACCGCAATCAGGCCGCATACCTACCCCACATCAGATTAAGCTTTTGGCTTGTCCTCTCTGCATGTGGGGAAATCCAAGACGTCGGTCGCTATGTTACCCCTGCCTATTTACGAGACTACCCGATTTGCCGTACATCAACATGGCGGGCAATCACAATGTCTAGGGTCAATGTCAATACCGCGATGATCTATCTTCAAGTGTGTGCAGGAAGCTGTTCGTGAACTGCTTGAACGATCAATGGCCTCACCATGTGCCAGGATCTGTGAATACACCCTCCTTCGGCAAGACTGTCGAGTGAGGCGTAGGCAATAATAGGCACAGTCTTGTTCGAGAACATAAATTAGGGTTGGAGAACTTCTCCTCCTTTCACCCTGATCATGTGGGGTAAGGCCAACCCATACAAACCCATCATCAACAACAAGGCTTCCATCTCACCTGCGAAGCTGACTCGCTTTACCTTCTGGAAGCCAACCACGAAATGATGTTCCTCACAATGAATTTCATCAAATCAGTCGAGATCCTCGGATTCTTCTCCGTCGGATATGCTCTATCATGGATTATATATGCACGATTTCTCCACCCTCTGAGACATATTCCTGGACCGTTCTGGGCTTCAGTCACTCGACTTTGGATGGTCCATCGTATTCGCCAAGGAGACATGGAAGTCGTCCAGCGAAGATTGCATGAACAATACGGTCCGCTTGTCAGAATCGCTCCGGACGAAGTCGCTTGTGCGGACCCAGACGCCATCCGGAACATCTATCGCACACAGGCACCCCTGACCAAAACTCACTTCTATCCCGTTTGGGGCAGCAACAACTTCTCAAAATACCCTGATCTGTTTGTCGACACGAATGAGAAGCTTCACAGCAGTCGCAGACGCATTGTCAACAATGTGTACAGCATGTCAACTATCTTGACTCTTGAAGCATACATAGACGACTGTAGCGCTGTACTGCTACAACGCTTGGACGAACTCGCAGCTTCAGAGACAGTGGTCAATCTCGGCCAATGGTTGCACTGGTACGCGTTCGATGTCATTGGCGAGATCTTCTTTGGAGAAGCTTTCGGCTTCATGTCAGAGGGGAGCGATTATCAGTCATATATCCAATCACTGGAAACGTTGGTACCCGTGATATGTCAGGCTGCAGTAGCCTCGCCGCTGGCTCAACGTATCATTCTCGGCTCTGCTTCCATCAACCCTGCTACAAGGAAGGCTATGAAGGCAATGGCGCATATTGAGAACGCCGCGCACACAAGTGTTGACAGCCGCCTTCAAGATGAAGAAACTGGAAGACAGGATTTGCTACGTCATCTGCTCGAGATTATGAGATCCAAGGGCGACAAAGTAGACTCTGGCGTCGGAGAAGTGAAGCTGCAGGCCTTTAGTGCTTTGTAAGTTGCTCTAAGCCTGGTGTTGGCATTGTTAACAAGATTACAGANNTTCGCTGGTGCCGATACGACAGCGATCGCCCTAAGGACAGTTTTCTACCATTTGCTGAAGTACCCTCACGTCATGGAAGAACTTCGTGCAGAGCTTGATACCGCGACAAGAGAAGGACACCTCTCCAACCCACCAAGGTTTGCGGAAGCATCAAAACTTCCCCTGCTCACTGCTACCATCAAAGAGGCCATGCGGTTGCATCCAAGTGTCGGTCTGACCATGCCTCGCATTGTGAGTGACACAGGGCTTGAAGTGGCTGGTACGGTGATTCCAAAAGGCTGGAAGGTAGGAATGAACGCCGCCGTGGTTGGACGAAGCAAAGCGATCTATGGCCCTGATGCCGACGAGTTCCGACCTCAGAGATGGCTGGAAAGTGGCGGCGAGACTCTGGATAGGTATAATCTGGTGTTTGGTGCAGGCACACGGACCTGTATCGGCAAGAATGTAAGTGAGAGGATCATCAAAGACCTGAATCATCTGCTGACGCGCTTCAGANTCTCTCTGAGTGAGATACACAAGGTTGTGCCTTTGATTATACAGAGATATGATATCAGCCTAAAGCATCCAGAGAGGGAATGGATCACCAAGAACGCCTGGTTCAACAAGCAAGACGGTCTTGATGTCCTGATTAGAAGAAGGAAGTCTGATCACTAACCACACCTGTGAAGAAGGTGAGAAGCTTCCGATTGCGACCGGCGGGCGTGTTGTACCCATGCAAATGTACATAGTCGTTCCATGACAGAGTTCTGATAGTGTTTTCAGTCCGTCGAAGCCTTTTTGGAAACAAGAAAAGTATAAAGAACGATGGTGCCACATGAGAAGGAAGAACAGATGATGTTACACGGGAGAAGTTATGGAGATGTTGAGATTGTGCAAGGGATGGTAAATCGTAAACTCAGCGGTTACTGTCTTGTAGATCTCATCAAAGAGCATGCGGCACCGTCATTCGAACAGAGGCTTCAAGAACATTGCAGTACTATATGAGAATGTCCTCCAACGTCCAACTCATGACAAATATCTGGTCCATGGCTTGGGATCAGTGGCGGCAGCACGCAAGTTCTTGTCTTTCTGCACTTCTTCTGCACAGATCTCGACCAGGCGAGTCAAATTCCGCGACGGGATCGGTCAGGTAGGCTGCGCTTCAGGGCGTTGGAAATGGCAGTGACATCTTGAGAATTGGTCAGTGTTGACATGGTGTAAGGCCGGGACAGATGAACATACCTCGAAGTCAGCGGCGGGGTCCTGGGCAGCACTGGGAACAGCAGCAATGTCCTCGATTCTGGGGTTGGCGTACTTGACAGTACCATGCTTGGAAGCGATGCGCTTGGGAGCTTCCGCGTCTGCGTCTTCGCAGGACTTTTCCTTGACCAGGGGCTTGCTGTTTCTGATTGCGTTGCGCGTGCTGCGGCGCTTTGAGACAGGCTAAGCGGTGTCCGGTCATGACGTCTGGCGAGGTTCGGAGAAGACGAGGTCCGGGGATCCGCGAGAGAAGTGGCCGTCCTGGAGGCAGCTATGATGGTGAATCAGTGAGAGGTCGCACAGTATAAATCATGGAAAGTAGACGGGTTCGTGACTGACTTGCTGTAATTGTTAAAACCGGGACCATCGTCGTGTCTTGAGATTCCTTTGCTATCCATGCCAGAGTAGATAGTGTCAGCGATCGCAGTGGCTGCATTGTTGGTTTCGATTGACGCAGACTTGCCAGGAACGTCAACAGGTGCAGACTCTCTCCAGCGATTTCAACTGGCGCAGGCTCGTCCTGGCTGCGGTGATGTCCTTGGCGCACTCGATGGTGCCGATTGCAATATGCTTGTCCTGGTAGTAGCTGCGGCAACGCAATCGGTGGTGTCAGCTAGAGCAGGCGCGCCTCAAGTGAAGGCTGATCGGGATATTTGTAGGTGGTTGGAAATTGACTCGGTATGCGTTCTTTCCAGGCGGGTAAGGCGAGCCTCGACTTGATGAAAGAGCTCAAGAGATTGCGCGATAATTTATTGTCATCTGGTTGCAGAGGGGCATGCACAAGTCGGGAGCTTTTGCGTTTCGGAGGAATGTGTTCGTGGGCGAGCATGCGCAGAGGCAACAGAGTTTGGGTAGCATCTGTGAGAAACAGTCAGTAGTTGTGCATGGAATATAATCGGAAAACAAGAGTGATCATGGATCTGAAGGTAAGCACGAGACGTGAGCCAGTAGATCGGCAAGGGTTGCGGCGTGGTTAGGATGAGAGCCGAGAAGAGGTGAGAACAGTTGGCGATGCCACATGGAAGGTGCAAGTAGCACAAGACGCGTCGTGAGCAATGGTCAGTGCGACAAGACTGGTTGAGGCGCGACTAGGTTGCAGCGTGGTGTAGACAAACAAGGCAAGACAATTTTGGGTTTGCTCTGCGAGGCAGTCGAGAACTTTCTTTCTACAAATTGAGAGAAATGGCGGGATGACGAAGCACAAGTCAGAGACACAATGGCTGACGACCATGAGGTTGGTGTTTGTTTCCTCGTGGTTGAGCTGAGATGCAAGAAGAAAGTGCACGAAGGGAAAGCGCAAGGCGGTACGCTGCTGCGAAATCAGAATTTCCAGCTTCGAGAACGCACCCAAGAGGGCGTCTCTACACATTCCTGTCCCATGCAAGCCTGATGCTTTGGAATCGAGTAGCCGTTTGACAGGACGAGGGAGAAAAGAAAAACATCCAAAAAGAATTGTGGCGAGTGAGATTCGAACTCACGATCATTGCATCGTTGTCTATGTTACCAAGGGGAAAGAAGAGAAGGCTTAGGATGGACACCCAGACCACACGAGAGAGAAAGGGGGATAAGGCCGAGGAATGATACCAAGGTCATGCGAGAGAGAAAGGAGGGAAGACTAAGGAGGAGACCCGGTCACAGGAAGGCCGAGGGGAAGAACCCCAGCCACGGGATGATAACATGACTGACACAGCGCCCTAGCCACCAGGCCACCGCCACTTCTGTTACCAATAATTCTGTCTACGATGATGATGACTGCATAAGCTAGGTGGAAGATTGTGGGTTCGATTCAGCGAAAGACCGTCTATCGTTGAATCAAGGTCATCAGGATCCATCAGTGTGGCGCTGCTATCCTTGAGGCACACCCGGAAGCAAAAAAGAAATCACGGCGAGTGAGATTCGAACTCACGATCTCCGCATCATCGTACTACCTGCATGTGCGACTGATTTCAGAAGAGATACCAAGTACGAGGGCTTGTTTTTGCAAGACCTATCGATGCAGCGCTCTAACCACTGAGCCACGGCCGCTTTTGTAGATTGTTGATCAGCCTATAACGAAAGATTGGGGTCTCGTGTCAACGATCATCGCTCCCACGTCCCAGACTGACGGGGTCCTTCCTCAACATGATTCTGGCTCACTTCACGCACGACGAAAAGCGAAGCTCGGAAGTTGCTAGCCACCAATCGTGTATAGGTTTGCTGGGAGATGCGGAAGGGGCTAACGTGCTAGCAGCTTGATGAATCTGCTTGATAAAGTAAGAACGATGAATTCGCACTTGCTCGACTTCACAAATGTTTCGATGTTTATATCAAGTCCTTAACTAACCCTTCTATTTCAACGTTGCGCGACCGACATCATCGCGACCAACCTCTCTTGCTTCAACCTTCATCAAGTCAAATTAATGCCGAGTAAAGGGGGAGTGTACGGCTTATACTCATGCGTCGAGTTGATTCCCAATTTCATCATTCAAGATGGACTCGTCAAGGCAGTGGCCAACATGCTTGATGTGCCTAAGGCCTCTGTCCGCGGCGGCATGTCCAAGCCAATGGGATCCCCAAGACAGTGGTCAACTCCTTCCGCTCCTCCTCACCCCTCCACTCTTTCCCCGTCTCTTCCTTTCCCACCACTTTGCCCTCGCTTATTTTCCCCTCACTTTCCCCTCTCTCCCTTCATCGTAATCCAGGTACCCTCCCAGATCCACTTCCCCTTTGTGGCTGAGGTGTCCTACTCGGCCGTAGATAGATCTCATGAATGCTATGATATTGTCGCTTGCAAATTCTCTCCTTCGTGGTGACATATTGGTGCGGTGTTCGAACAAGGTTGACTCCAGCAAGAGGCATGATGCTATTACATCGGATTGTCACTACCATATGACGAAAGACTGGGTCTGATATGATACAGAGAGACATCACTGTGGTCAGAATCAAACAGCAAGAGCTAAGAATGATAGAAGTTTGGATCAGTCACACACCATAGGGGACATGCATCCAAGTGTGTAGCAAAGAACAAATTTGTTTAGGTAACAAAGAAATGTAGACCTGATGGCCTGGACATTCGAAACTGTAAGTGACAGAGATGGTCGCACGAATAGTTCCATGGATAGCTCATCTCTCTCGCTGACCCCATTCAAACTTAGCTGTTATTGATCAGGCACTGCCCTTCGCTCGGTGTCATTGCGCGTTCCGATCGAATACAGGAGCACTGAACATTCATATAGGCGAGAGTGAAAGTTGCACAGAGAAGTGGATCGATCCCTCCCTCACCACAGACGCCGATCATACACGATCAACGCGGCGAGCCAAGAGCCCGTAGATCATCACTGACTCTCCACAGCCGGTGACAGCGGCAGAGTCGTAGCTGACATTCACCACGGGCTCGATGCTTCTGAGAGATGACGCAACGACTAGGGGGTTCGATGGCGCCTTTTGCGGAGATGGAAACCGTCCACACCGAGCACGTTTTTCTGAGGTATGCGGTGGCCGACACCGCAATTTCACACAAACGTGTCGCCAGAGACAGAGGCAGGTGCGAGTTGATAGGTGAGGTCGTGATTGTAGGGAGAAGGATAGACTGGAGCGGTGGCATCAAAGCGTTCGTAGTTGATTGGAAGCGCTGGACGAAGAGGCGAGGTAGCAATGATGCCGACCTCCAGGCGCATCTTTGCAAAGAGAGTGTCGAGGGTAGACGAGGTTGTAGCATTTGTAGCAGTGGTACAGACAGTCCGTGGTGTCGGTCCGTTGTGTGTGGCAGCGGGCATCTTTTGCCTTCCACTTGGATCAGGAATGGCTCAAAATTATGATTTCTACCAGGACTTCCTAAAGGGAAAGGGTTGACTAGTATTGTAGATAGTTCACAAGGTGACGACTAAACTTCGAAGGCACCTTTAAATGTGCTATCCTTGATCTTGCAGTCATGAAACGCGATCCTCAATCCCAACTCAGAGACATCCAACCAACACGAAACTTGCAATTCTGTCCACGAAATCACTCTGGATTTGCCTGTCTCATTCATCGCATCAGTCCTCCAGATAAATCTAGAAGTGGTTAGGTCCAACAGGAACGCCAGCAATATTGGCTAGCTCTTTGACAATGGTGCTACCAAGGTAAGGAAGAGCACCCGGGTCCAAGACATCTAGGAATTCGTTACGGATAGAGCAACCGGAGATGGGGACACTAGCAAATCTTGCGCGAAGGAAGTTAATGACGTCTGGGAAGCTCGTGGCGGCTTGCTGGAAGTGCTCGCCCGCATAGTCTCTAACATAGGTGATTGATACTCCATCGTTGCAGAACTGCTCAACTAGCGCGTCCGTATCGGCGATGGGAGAAATCTCATCCGCGACCGCCTTGTACACGAACAGTGGCATCGAAGGGACGCCGTGGAGGCCCATCTGCGTGTTCGAGCGGAAGTACTTTGCGATAGTCGGCTCGGTAATGATATTGTCTCCATCGTAGAAGTAGGAGGACATGTTCTGTCCAGCAAACAGCACAACATCACCGTAGAAGCAGTTGGTTCCCGCCTGATAGAATTGAGCTGCGGATGCCGGAATCAATTGCTTTGTCAGGGCTGCTTCAAATTCAGGGAATGAATTAGCCAGGCCCAGAAGTCCTGCAGCGGCGAGTCCTGCAAAGGGACCATGGTTGATGGAGTTGTACACATTCGGCACGTTCGGTGTAACTCCGCCGATGGCAGCCCCAACGAATTTGAGCTCGGGAGCATAAGACGCCTGCAATTCCATGGCCCATTCAGAGGCGAGGGCGCCACCGCTGTAGCCCCACATCTGGACCTTTGCGTCGCTTTCGACACCTGTGATGCTTCCTGATGAGAGTACTGCGCGGACAGAATCGAGAGTGGCCTGCCCAGCCTGGAAGCCCTCGATGAAAGTGGAGTTGGGCCCNTCCCAGTCCGGAGTGCTGACTATCCAACCCTCGTTCAGAGCGCCAAGAATGAGAAGCATCTCAACATCCCCAGTTCCGGCGTACAAAGCCTTGGAATCGGTCTGCAGAGTGTACGAAGGAGCGCAGTTGATTTGACCTCCGCTGTCTTCGGCCACTTGGTATGACACGACCTTGTCATAACTGGCATTTGCTGGAACGATGACCGTACTGACAGTGACCTCGGGTTCACCCCTGGCATTTGTGGTACGGTACAGGATTTGAGTGACCTGTTTAATGTTCAACGGAAACAGGCTGAGTGCCTCAAGTCTGGCAGGTGCGGGTCTGGAGTCCAGAATGGTTCCTGGTGCTGCCGATTCATAACCTGCTGGTGCTCGATAGAAAGGATCCTAGGCAGGAGGTAAAGGGGCGACACGGCGGTGTATGCTTCCCAAGACAGCTTGAGAGCTGACGAGAAGGTTCAACAACATAAACTTCATGATTGATGAGAATGTAAAGTGTTCGAGTTTGGTAGACGGTCAAATGAATGGAGTCCTAGATTGGGAGACGACGTTGGCATACTTATACCAAGTCAAGTATGGCCGACAAGAACGGACGAATGGGGTATACATGCTCGAGAGACTGTTCAAAAGCTTGTTCCAGTATACGCAAAGCTTCAAAATTGTCATGTTGTCGATCTGGGCTGCCTCGGATGAACTTACGTGCGTATCAGGCATTGACTTGGTAAGGTAGACAAACTTCTGGATCGCGAAGGACTTTGTCGACCCCTTCTTGAGCGGTCAAGCTCTATTAGTGTCGATAGTTCATTCCAACGATTGTTCGAACAGGGTTGACAACCAATAATTGGTATACACCGAGGTCCATCTGATCTTCGTCTCGGCCTCTGCTTACCTCGGCGTTGAACTCTCACTCAACGATAAGGGATACCGCTTCTGCGATGATCAAGCTTGTGGCTCGAATCGAACGTACGCGATGAAAAGTCCTGGCGGAGGTCGTGATCCGGATCTCAAGCGAGATTTATGGGATACAAGATCAACAATGTCGCATCTGGTGCGACCCGTAACATATTCGACATCGCCTCTGCCTGCAACTCTTCCTCAAGGGAAGTCTTAGCGTCTACCCCTGAATCGACCTTGCTGTATCTTCTATGCTGGTACAGCACTCTTGGAGGGATCACCGGGTGTGGAATAGCGATGCAGGGTCGGCCTTTGTTGTTCTTGGAAGAACTGACAGCTTGATCCTTAGCAGTAGATGCAAGAAGACGAGTACTACAAGCAGAATCCAAGAGCGAAGACATCATGGCTGCGAACACAAATCCATCATCTTACAAGGATCGCGACTCTTTACCTTGACCTTTCTGACTGCTCGACTCCCTGTCAAGTCTTGACTTCGGAGCTTCGAAGCGTCAAGGCAGCCTTGGCGTCGGATTCTGGCGTTGCAGCCTGCCGCTCGCCTGGCTTGTTTGTCAGCGCCGAGTTCAACTCTCAGCACCTATCTCGTCCATCATGCGACTGATCAATATCATCAGATGATCCTTGTTCGATCGTCAACCATCCCTCACCATCCCTGGCGTCCAGTACTTCCTCTCTTCTCCGACTTTCCCATCTTTCTCGTCGCCCCCATCTCAGACAAGAGCGACCAACTCGAATCACGCTCGGTCTTCTACCAGCAGCACCATCAGCAGCACCACCGACCGACCATCTTTTCATCGCACCATTATCACCACCGCCATATGTACGGCACAGCAGCAACCCAACTCATCGACTCAACACATCTCCAACAGCTCACAATGGCCCGGCTTACATGTCCGCTCGAAAGCATGTCCGCTTTGGTCTCGTGTCGCTCCTGAGATCAGTCGTCCATACAGATCCATTGCGTCTTTGTCTTTCTTGCTTCTTTGTCTTCCGGGTCTCTTTGCCTCTTCCGCGCTTCTTTGCAAGTCCCCGTCATCGCCTCTCGTCTCGGTCGACGCCGCATCCATACCTTAAATCGATCGCCCTCTGCCGTCAACGCTGCCATTTTTTCCATCATCACCTCCACCGCTTGGTCACCGCCATCCGATACTGTGTTGTTGACTATCTCTTGAGGAACCTTTGCTAACACCGTACCAGATGGAGTTGGCATCCGGAGGAATGAGTTTCGCACAGACCAGCACCATCCAACGTCACGTCCTGTCGGCTACATCAGCGACACCTTTGCAACATCAAGCCGCCGCAGCGCCTTACTCGGTCAGCGCGAGGAGATGGTTCAGAGCTCCGTTGAGAAAGGTATTCTACACACTTGCGAAATGGCGGCCATCTGCGGTTTCATAATCATCAACATCTTTGACGTTGCTGCTATCGTTACCGTCGTCGTCTCCATTGCTACCCTGCTCACTCGAGGTATGGACGCTGTTGACGCTGCGCCGATTCGCATCTACCACGAGGTGCCTGCACGAAGTTCTGCTGTCCTCTATACCACGACTGAGACTCACCGACCAGGTCTGTGGCTTCGCTACTGCTTCGCATGCACAAGAGGCTTAACCTTGCTGTGCTCATGTCTCTTAGTCTGCGTGGTATGAGAGTTGTTGGATGCTTGATTCAGTTTTTGTTGCTTCGGGTCGTTATTCTTCGTAACTGAATATCCCTTATCGCAAAGAGGGACTTGTCTTTGTCGCTACAAGGTATTGCGCATTGCTAACGCTAACTTGACGCAGAACTCATCAGCAATGGCCAAGAACAACACACCCGCTACTTCTTCTCGCTTGAGCCCTGCGCGCAAGATCACCACCAACCCTTTCCGTCTTCCTCTCTCTCCCACAATCCTTCAACCAAAACAGCCCCTGCATCGAAATGACTACAACCCAGAGCACACACTTCCAGCAACAAACATTACACCTACAAGAGGCCCGCAGCAACTTTGACCGCACGACTTTCGTATTGCACGCCATAGACTCACCTCTATTCTGCGTCGCTCGTTACCCACTCTATTGCCCCTTGCCATCGTCGCTCTTGCTCGTGCACATGGAGGCACTTCAACTCAACCATCTCACAATCGACACAGCGCAAGCAATATTTCCACGGCCGAGTCCGTAGAGCTCCACACCCGCGCCGTCGCAACGCTGCTTATCTGCCACGCTCCACCTGTTCGAGAGAAATACCTTCTTTCTGCTTGCTCGACAGCACGGAGCTCTCTGCCGCCGACCCGTCTTTGGGCATGGTCGTCAGACCCAAGACGGCAGGACTCCGCGCCCGTTTTGTCACCGGTTACGTCTGAGACATGGTTGGCCTACATCCTGTGTGAGGTGAGCGCGGCTATCACTTTGAGTTTTTGGTCACGGAGCTGCACGACCGTTCAGCGTTGCGATTAGCAACTGGGACACAATTCTCTCGCCTGAATCACTGTGTCGAGGATGACATTGCCTATGATCCGGACCGATCCTCCATCAAGGAGCACTTCCAGCGCGAAAACCTGCCTCTGGCAGAACTTCCGCGATTCCTGAACGATACCTACATACTCGAGAAGCCCCTCTACACTGCATGGAGTGCATGCGAAAACGTTTCGGTGCTGGAGAAGCTGCACTCGGGAAAATCCAAGATCAGCAACCTGTTCATCATTGATGAGTCGCATGCTTACTTGCTCGACATTGCTGGCGTCAAGTCGCGCCTGTCGGGTGTGCTCTTCGAACAGAATCATACGGTACGACTCGTTGTCGAGCCCTCCTCCGCACTACCCCACGACGCCTGTGGAGGCACCGAGGTCTATCACGTCAGAAGCTTCCCTTACACTTTGTCATTCGAGGAAACTGCCCTGGTTACCTTACAGCTCGCTACGACTCCCGAGAATACACCATTCGCATTTGCCCTCCCAGACCGTTCCTGATTCTGTGACCAACGCAGACCTCAGATACCCCTTGAGCTCGCTACTTACCAAGCTGTCGCTCAGAGAACGCTATCATCTCCAAATCCTGACATTACCAGAAGTCAAACACCGACAGAAGTCACTATACTTCATACATCAAGAGAACCTGCAGCGGGAACATGGGCTCAACACGTGTACTCAAACCATACTAAGGAAAGCATTTCCCCGCACTCCCTGTCGGTACTAGTTCTTCCAGTCGCTGTTGGCAAGCATCCCAAGCGTCCTGTCGGCCCCCAGGCGAAGCTTCGTGGTCGTTTCCATGGTCGGGAGAGGCTAGAGCGCTACTGAGCTTGGAAAACATTTCTCACGCTCAAGCCCAGATCTTTCAGTCCGGAACATGTCGCATAGCACTGCTGATATCCTTTATACTCTCCGCGGAATCAACGTAGATCAAAAGTATGCTTCTCGTTGCCCCTGCCAACTCCTGCCTTTGCTGGAGACATTTCCGCTCCAAATGTTTCACTGCTCGACCATCCCGATTATACATACTCAGCATAATCAGAGATAATCACAGCACTCTATACCTGGCGCACCGTCGCATGGATTGGTGGAGTACAAGGTCATCGCCGATGGCTCTGCCGTATGGGGGCCTCAGAGAAATTTGCATTTGGGATGTAACACAGCTCGGACACAAAACGTACACACATCTTGAATACCCAGAGATTATCGTGATCAACGCAGATGCTTTTGAGATCTCATTGAACGGGTCCGTGGACCGGGACCGTGAGGAACTGCTGTCATCGCAGACGAGGTTTTGAAGCAAATCAATTTCCGACAAAACGTCCCCTTAGTCTTACACGTATTGCAAATCTGTACTGCCTCTCGTAGGCTCTCATTCTTTCTGCCCTTGATGTGTATTCAGTAGCCTACTCGTTGCCAGTGCCAACGATGGGAGCCATCCCTCTCCCCACATCGGCTGCGCCTCCACAGCCATCGTCACCACCTACTCAACGAAATCTCCTCCACTTCCCGACTCGAGCGTCAGTGGATACGGTTCGTCATATTTTCTCTTTACCCTCAACGACTATCGACCGTGCCATCGGATTGAAGAGATCCGTCTTCCATAGGGCACACCCGTCTCCCGAAGGACATGGCGGTTGCTTAATTACCACTACTGTGAGGCACTATGCTCTTGCTCAAAGCCCTTACTCCCGGGACGTACAGTATATAAAGCTTGGAGACCACACATATCATAAGACATCATCACTAGTCTCTTCTGCTATCTTGGGACCATCCGCGAACATTCTCATCTTCTTACATCTTTACCTTCCCGTTCTCCATGTCTCTTGTACTCTTGACTCTTCTGCTGCTCGGCCAGAGTCTGTTCACAAATGCTACAGACAATGCGACCTGGCCAAATGCATACCCAAAACAGCTTGCTGCTGTCCGCCGTCGCTCTGGCTTGACCACCGCAGAGTATCTATATCATCACACTCTTGTTCACGGAGCCAAGTCCTGGAATGCTCCTGACACAGTCGATCAACCACTGGCATATGTTCAAGATCACGTCTTTGATTCTGCGTACGGGATCAACACTTCCGCCAACAATCCTGCTCCTTCGTACTTCGGACATACAGATATGACTGAGCTGTATAGCCGCTCTGCTCAAGCATTCAACACCACACCGACCAACAACTACACTGCTGCTGTCATCGGTCCCGATGGCAATGCTTTCAGCGATTTCTCTGCCGCCTTCAGTATGTACGCCTTTGAAGAGTTTGAGCAGGTCGAAGATAACTGCGTACTTTCCGGTTCATCTGAGGTCTTCAATGCATTCCTCTGGGTGTTTGCTGAGGCTACCGACTCTGCTACCTCGACCTTTGACAACCGCACCTTCGCTGCTCCCATCATGGAGTCACTTCTCGCCGCTTTCCCGCCCGGCACAATATACAATGCAAGCACTCACACACCAGTCCCTGGGCTCGATTCTCGTCCGTATTATGGTGGTGCAAGCAATCCAAGCATTAACGCTGTCCTCAAATTCTGGCTGTGCGATGACGATGTCTCTGTGAGCGCGTTCAGACGCGCGCAGTTGAGATTTGGTGAGCAAAATGGGGATTTGGGGATCAATCTACAGGAGAGCTTTGTCTTATTCACAAAAGCCTTTCTGGTATATGATCGCGCTACTCAGACCGGATTTAGCCGTGAGAGAGGAGTTGCTGCCTTATTGGCGGACCAGAGACGCGGAGATGTTGCTGGACCTCCTCTAGTCTCTCGATGAGCATGTTGAATTACCCACCGTTATTTGATGCGCCTGTGGGCTAGAATTCTCTGCTGCGATGCTAGCGGAACGTGTATCGATCGGTTCTGTTTTCCTCAGACCAAGAGTTGATCGCTCGAAGACATTGCTGAATTTTCAAGTCAAAGCCCTCACCCAGATCGATTCGAGCTTGAGTGGCAAAGACAAGGGAATCACAGTTCATATCAACCGGGGCAATGAACAAACGGGCATTGTCGATTTGAGGGGAAAAGCACAAATGATGGAGGGATGGAAAACCTGGATTCGATACAGAAAGGTGGAGTTTGAACATGCGGTTTTCACACTTGAGAACTGCATTCAAGTCAAACAATACACCATTCTAACTCTGTCGTTTCTTTTTCTTTTTGGCTATCGTCCACATTAGATAGACAATAAACGTCTCTTTCCAGCATGAATATCTGCGACTCAGTCGATGAGATATTGCGCTATCTGTACTATATCTGCTTTGTAAATTGCCAAATCAATCAGATGAACTAACCGTTTGACTATAACACTTAGTATCTTTGCGTCAAATGCACCACCTGTATCCAGAATATTGTCCGTTCCAGTCGATACTTATAAGATCCCTAGCCTCCTCTAGATAGCCTTTGGTGGTGCTCATTGCGAGGGAGATACCGACGTGAATATCCGGCACCAGGCGATGCCGATTGGCGTTGGTACATCAGTATACTAGCACGGAGGCAGGACCAGCGTGGAAAACCTAATCGCCTCCAGCGACAACATCGGTACGACAGCACTTGCGTTTAGTCATCAGCGCTATCGACGGAGGTTCACAGGTGGTCCACCACTAAGTCGCCAAAACCCGAGTCGAAGCGACCGAAGAGGCGAACGAGTAACCCATCTCCACAGAAGACGAGACCAGCGGCCACCACAAATGAAATCCCATCCAGATTCAACACCCAACGGCCTCTTTGGCCTGCATTGCTTGTACGACTTTTATCATCTCAAGGATAGTCTTGCATGGTCACGTTGGAAGTCTCGCCGTCGCATTTGGGCTGTAAAGATAACAACTTTGCGATTCACAAAGCTCAAAACTATGACGGTAGTTACGAACTCCAGGTTTGTGGTTCGGAATTTCCAATCCTATGACTCGTCCTTGGAGCGGACACGACGAAGTTTCTATACGTGTATGCTGCTGTCACAGCCCTGTCCTTCATGGACAAAAAGACACAGATCCATCTTTTCTCTTGATGAAAGAGCCAGATTATTGCACCTTTATGATCGATTGATTATTCACCATAGCTGAGTGTAGCTTTCTCAACCACAGGGACTAGATTGCATTTGTCATCCCGTCGGCTACCAAGCCCTCTTCTTGGTTTTCTACTGAAACCGCATCACGCTCCCTTGCATCCACGGTCGCATCACCGCAACTTCTTTCTCTATACACTGCTATCAGGTCAGATCCACGCCTCACTATCAGTATCGCTCCCCGACCCCGACCCATTCTCAACACCCTTATTTTCTTCAGATATCTCACAAGACATCCTTCGCTTCCAGGACATATAATTCAAGACGTATCGCAAGCAACGTAGCGTTTAGATGCAGTACCTAAGCTCCAAGATACATAACAGTCATAGTCACTATCGTTAAGAGACTGGCAGCCCAGCCGATGCTGCTTTCACGCCTAGCCGCGCCCTCTATGCCCGAACCATTTGTCTCGATAGCATTAGCAAAGTCGTTTGAGTCGATTGCCTTCAAACAGTGGAAGGAAGACTGTCGTAGACGATCAGAAGACGAGGCCGAGCTCCCCGTATCGAAAAACAAGCTCATTACTGGACTGTATGCGAACCATGAAAAGCTGTCATTGGTGCTATAGTTGAATGAGTATAGAGGAGTGAGCTCATTCGTCTTTGGAAGTGTCGGCCAGCAATTTGACGATGCATTCGTGGAAGGGGAGATGGGTTCCGGAGCATTGGATCCTGTGAGCACTACGGGGTGGACTGTGTAAGGATAGATGTCATTCTGTTGCAATCGCGAGCACGAGGCGGGTGCCGTTCGCGATATTGAGTCGGCAATGTTTATGCAAATCGTTGTACTGTTCTCCTCATGTGTTGCTGCGGCCGCAATTTCGAGCGCGGCAGCTTGGAGGTCCTCCAGGCATTGGTCACCAGTATCCATGCCAAACCCCCAGCTGCAAGAGTCGGATGTGACTTGAGTAGGGTCGCCTGAGCCGTACGGAAGAACGAAACCATGGCTGTCGGGCCTGTCGAATATGAGGGCACACCCTGTGTAGCTAGCATTGGCCAGATCGGTCCCAGGAGGCGTACCAAGATAGAACGATCGTGTGACACCAGGTATTTTGACATTACCACCACCATACAGATCGGGCCCAGGCTGCACACCAAGAGTCCATGTGAAGTCACCAGCAGAGGCGTCAACTGGATTCGGTACAGTCTCGATGCCCACCCAAGTATGGTCTTGTTCCTGAACCTGACATGACGTTTCTTCGTAATCAGGTGAGAGGTTTGGACAATGAACTGCAGCACAGCCAAGAAGGGTCTCGCCATTAACAGTCAATGAGGAGAATAATGCTAGAAGCATGGTCGTCGAATGGATGATCGTAGGATGCATAGTGAAGTAATATTGGAAGAGTTGCTGATTAGTACAAGGTGGTTGATGGCTGGGCGGCTACACAATGCCTTTTATGTTGTGATACCTGTTTCGCCTCGTGTCCGACCACATAGCAATCATGTAAAGACAGGTTGATGATGCCAAGCTATGTAATCATTGCCCAGAATTGATCGTCTGAGTATGCATGCGGAGCCGCGGAGCAGCAAGGCACCCCCACTTGTTTGCACCTGAAAATTGACAGGAGGGTTGTGCAAGGGATGGACTCGGCGTGCCAGGTCAGCGTGACGGTTCGCGACGAGGCCGGTAGCGCTTTGATCGCTGCATACATGCTTTGTACAAGACCGACGCTAAGTCGTTGTCTTTGCCTTCCTCTTAAGGATTGCAGACAAATCAAGCGGCAAAACATTTGACTATGGCACTTATCGCTTGGCGGCTTGGCGGCTTGGCGTACATGTCTTGCGAAGTGCTTCACTCTCCAGACAGTTAAAGCCGAGCTACACGGGAATAAGCCTAAGGACTCCGAGGAAATAGGACCTACTCGCGAAGTCTAATTTGGCCTCACGCCAACTATAACGTCGACATGGTCGGATAACTACTTGGATGGATAATCTCCTCATTCCACAATGACGGTGTCTATCTTGCACCGTGCAACAAAACACGAATGGGTCCCCCAGGGGTTGCTTCTTTAACGAGTCACGCATGCTTTGTCTCGATTGTCGTCCATATGAACGTCGAAAGTATCTCTCGCTGCCTTATACAGGTGGTCCGCGGCCCAAGCTAACGCACTTCTCTTTCATCCTCGATCGACCGGACATGTTGACATCCAAGCCCGTGAAGTATAGATTGCGGTTTATTTCCATGTGTATGAGATCTCGTGACTGCATGTTCTAGCGTGTCTGACTCACATCGTGCCTACGTACACGGCAGGTCTGCCTGATACTTAGCGGAGAGTTTGGGACGATATGTTTGTACGTTCGGCGACCACAGAAGCTGCATATGACGATCTCCAAACATCTTACATTTCCGAGGACAAGACTCATCTTCATCCCATTATGCAGTCAGCCGAGCTTCTCTAAGCGCCTTATTTCTTTTTTTTTGACACACTGACTGCTGCATTGGTTGGATAAAATGGAGGAGCCAGCTCAAAATTCCCATGCCTTGTAAGAAATTCACAACTCTACAGATATTCAATTTTACCTCCAAATATTTGTACATCGTCGCTCACTACCTCCGGCGGAGCCTGCATTATACAGGGACGCGTACAGCATAAGAAGATACTTGTTGCTACCAGCAATGTCACCACAAGTCGATGTCCTATCATCAGCGAAGTGGTCCGCTTGCGGCTGGTGAGTATCTGGGTAAGCAGGAACTGCTATCACGACTGACGATATGTAGCGACCGATCATCTTGGCGTGGAATATCGAGACCTTGGCAGATTTGAAAGTCGAATCAGCCATCATCAGATGGTTGTGGTTTGCCGTCTGTTTAGCTACACTTCGAAGATCAGACTTCAGCCCGATCTTGGCGAAGGATTTCAATGTATCCACCATGAGTCTGACTGTGTCGATTGCAGTTACGATCTGAACGATGAACCAAGGATAGTATATCCTCGGCCAATATACTCTGTGTTAATGTGTCCTGACGCCAAATGCTGCGGCTTCGGTGCACTGCGCTATTGGAAAGGTAGGTGTATAAAGCCCTTGCCCTTCCTTCTCAAAAGCCATGTTCTCGCCTTATTTCTAACATCATCTTTGGATCAGACTTCAGACTTGCTCCTATACTCTTCCCAAGATGGCTACTGCTCTGGGCGTCATCTCCAGCGCCATCTCGATCTTCAACTTCGCCGAAGGCTTGTTCCCCGAACCAAAGACTTATCACTCCAAGCTAAAGATCTATGTTGGTTTTGACACTCAACCAACAGCAGATCAAGATTCTCCAGACAACGGCTACAAATACAATGGCAACGGTGGCAATTCCGGGTCCTTGGCCAATGCTGCTGGCCGATGTCCTGATATCCGACTCTGGGATGATGCCGAGAACTTCCTCGGTATCACAAACGATGACTCCTACATCCAAGGAGGTAACTATGCCGAGAAGGAGGTCAACCACGGTAGTAGCAATGCCGGCTCTGCCTATGGAGTCTTCACGGCCAACGATGATGCTATCTGCATGGCTTACATCCTCAACAAGTGGCCTGACGGTCAGTCATACGGCTGGACTGGAGGCTTTGGCCGCGTCTGTGGCCACAGCTGGTATCCTTCAAGCGTAGCTCTTGGCGGGCACTATACAAATTGCGTCTGGCTCTCGAACAATGGAGCTGCCACTGATGTCACGGCCATCCAAGTCCACTTCCCCGACTTTGAGGACAACGATCTGAACAGACAATACCATGGTGTTGGTGCCAATGCCGGCAGTTATTGTCAAATCCCTAGTCTCGCATTCGACAAGGACAATGATCCCGGCTACATCCTCTACAAGCGCGATGACAATAAGACCAGCACTTCATTGATCACTTCCGTCGCGCACACAGTCTCCGACACAATCTCAGGTGCGGTGAATAAAGTTCGCACCGGTAATCTTCTTAGCGATACCCGCCTCATCCAAAGTAACATCCCCGAGCACAGCGCAATCGATCTTTGTGAAAGCGAGACTAGTGTCGGTCCCGACTTCGTCTCTACCGTGGAAGGCGTAATGTGCGACATGGGAACTAAGCAACACATGCCTCTCTGTGCTGTTGGTGTGCTTGGGAGGTGTTTCGATCTCAAGACCACGAGTGTCTTGGTAGACGGACTTCTGAGCGCTGTTGAGAGTATCTGGAACTATAGCAAGATCGAGGTTTGGGATGATAGACATGCCGAGGACGAGATGTGATCTTGGCACACTTCAGCGATATACGATGTATAGGGCAGAAAGGAAGCGCTTGTGTCGTTGAGTATAATTGCGTGTATGTAGCCATAGGATTAGAATATCCTAAATCGTTATCTTGGCAAACCCTAGAAGACGACCTGATATTCTCTCTATGAACTTTCAAGAGGTGTGTATGTGTTTTAGCGACGCTACTTCCTGTCCCATAACACAAGCCAGACCATGATGTGACTCTTTGCGATCAAGTCGAGACTGCAAGTGTTTGACAGTATCTTCCTCTGGCCGAGAGCTCACGGTCGACCCCTTCTTTCTTTTTATGGAGCCTGAGCCTGTCATTGCGAAAGTCGATAGGAAGCTTGCGAATCTCGATCTTGTGTTCATTCACGGCCTCATCAACGAAGGCTTATAACTCTTTGTCTGTAGCTGAATCAAAACAGATACATTGACTTCGCTGAACACGGCGTGCATGGCGGCAAATTCTGAGAGAGTGGTGGGCAATTCAAAGCCGTCTGCGGGAGAAGATGAGACAGCCACGCAAACTCGAATGTATGTACTTTCGATGCTTCATGATCACCGTTGGTCAAATGAGCGAGCGAAGACTTGCGTACTTCACTGGCTGCAGCGGAAGCAGCATCGACAGCTCCAGCGGCATCGACGACGAGCCCACAGCGACTTTATTGGCTTGCGAAAGCTCAGAGTGCGCCTGAGTGGCGTGTCGAAGCCTTTTGGCAGGGGTACGGTCTCACCACTAGCGACAGTATCGCAAACAGCAAAACCGACCAATATTTTCTACTTCCGTCTCTCCACTCCTTTTCTAAGTCGACATCTTGGATGCTTGTCCTAATCAAGATCAGAAGCAATGGACAGCGACACCCATTGATTGATTGAACTATGGAGCTCTGTGATGCGTTCGGCTATAACAATGCATCGTGCTATGGAGAAACGAGACATCGTCCAAAGAGAGTCGACATTTTGTCGATTCGCTTCGACTGCCGTCATGCTGCGACGGGTCCTTCAGAGTGACCTGCCATGTGTATGTTCGTGCAGGCTTCGATCTCGACGGTTTTACGCTTCTGGGAGTAGTAGAATAATCAGAGGTGGCTCTTGTGTAAATCCTGATCAGTCAGCCAATGTTTGATCGTTGAGGTCGCTGTTAATTCGAAAGAGAGCTGAGGATATACTTGTCTTTATCACAAACCCGTCATGACCAAAATGTGGCAGCAAAGATCTGCCGGCAACGTTTTCTCCCAGACTGCCATGAGATACACGGCTTGCCACAAGGTCATACGAGATACTCATTACCGTCTGCGCAGAGTCAACAGAAGCAAGAAAGGAAAAGATGCTGGATGTTATTCTCACATGCTGTATTGGATTCTAAAGGTAAATCGTCGAGGTTGCGGCGTTTTGATCTCTCTTCCGTCTCAATCTGTCTCCCGCTTCAACACAGGCTTGGATCTCGTCTTACCAGCCTTGGGTCATTCAGACTGCTACAATTTCTCCCGCTATCAACCGAGTTTTCTTGTTTTGCAAACTTGACCGTCTATCCAATCTGTATAACCACAAAGAATACCCTGATGCAAGCGAGATTACCGACACAAGCAATATTGAACCTGCTACGGCGTAATATATAGCGATGAAGCACCTCTCTCAGAAATCCAGAAGAAGAGGAATGAGTCCTCTATCGGTAGCTAGGTCCTTGGAGGCATATAGAAAGCAAAAGCCAACGTCGGCATCTGGCTTAGGTGTGCTCGGGGTGTAAATCCACCGACACGAAGAGATTGCCGGCGAATTAAGAGACCTCAGTACTCATAACTCCTATGACACATGACGATTGATTGTATATACGTTGTCATAGAGTCTGAAGCCATTGAGAAGTATGACCATCCAGATGTTTCGCTATAAGTGGTTTTTTGCCGAGAGACGCACAAAATGCACGCAGCAGCAACGACAGGATACACCGATTGTCTTTTCCTCGTTGGTTCTATTCAGCGGGGCCATTCCGAAGCTTAGGACAAAGCAGGAGATCGATGGTTCTCGCGTTCAAACATCATGAATTTCACGCCTCTGATTCGGGGACGCATTGGTCATGACGCTGAAATAGAGAC